AACTCCTCATTGTCAAAACTATTTCCTAATGTTTTCAAGTGATTTACTATATGTGTGAAGCATGTCTGGAAATTCGTGATACTTTCATTCTGCTGCATTTGAAACAATTCATACTCTTGGATGTGTGTATTCTTACGTGCTCACTTTACTTCATTTGTTCTTTCATATGTCACTTCAAGAGTGTCTCATATTTCTTTTGCTTTCTTGCATTATGAGACCCTGAAAAATTCATTACGAGTTAAGGCAGAAACAATAGCATTTCGGGCTCTTACATCATAATGGACACAGTTGTTTTCATCTAGTGTCCATTGGTCAAAAGTCTTTGAAACGGCTCCAAACTCCATTGCTCTCATCAGAATGTAGGGACCGTTGAGTACAACATCCCAAACACCGTAATCTAGTGTTTGTAAAAATATTTTCATTCTCGCTTCCCAAAACTGATAGTCTTCTCCTTCAAATAGTGGTGGTCTGTTTATAAAGGCTCCTTCCCTGTAAACCTAACTCTGTATAGACATATTGACAAATTGTTTAGAAATAATTTATCTAACCAAACTCTGATACCACTTGTTAGACAAATGACATCTAGAGGGGGGTGAATAGATGCACAAATTAAAATAGATGTCCAATTAAAATTTTATTTATTTAAGATGTCAAATAATTTGTTAATTCAATTTTAATTATCAGATAAAATACAAATATAGCGGAAGCAATATAATCAGAGAGATAAAGGAAAGAAAATAAGTAGGTGTTATCACAGAGGTATAAGGAAGAGATAATCACACAGTAATTTATATTGGTTCGGGTATAGCCAACCCTACATCCAATTCTCAGTCAACTCTAATTACAAGAGTGACTCTAATTCACTATCTTTCAAATTCAGTTTACAAATTACAATCAACTCAGCAGAGGAACCAATAAAGAGTAAACTAATTAAAAAGACAATGACCTCCTTAGAAACTCACTAAGGATGAACACCTCCTTAAAATTCCACTAGGGATGAACACCTCCTCTGAACAAATCAAAGGATAAAAAACACCTCATTTGCAACCAACACATAAAGGATAAACACCTCCCTAGAATCACACTAGGGATGAACACCTCCCCAAACAAATCAAAGAGATGAAAACACCTCCTTAGAATCTCACTGAAGATAAACACCTCCCCGAACAAATCAAATGAAAACACCTCCTTAGAATTCCACTAAGGATGGACACCTCCCCTGAAAAAATCAAGAGATGAACAACAATCACTTAAACCCTAAAAAGGGAATTTAACATCAACCATTTAAACCTTAAACAGGGAATTTAACGATAACCACCTAAACTCTAAACAGGGAATTTAACATCAACTTTCTAAATCCTAAAAAGGGGAAGGTAATAAAATAAGAACAGTCACACCTGGATAATGGAGACAACAAATTGTAAAAGTCTGTAGAATGTCAATCTCCAAGAACAAGTGTGATTAACAATGAAAACACAGAAGGCAGTAGAGAAGATGATTTTCTCAAAAGGTATAAAATATCTTTGTTGTCTTACTCAGAATTTTTTTCTTAAAATTGAATGAATGTAAAATTGTATTTTCAAATTCTGTAATTATGTATTTTTTATTTTTCATCAAAACTCATTTAAATAAGAAAATAACATCGAGAAAATAGTCGTTGGTCATTAATACTTTCGTAGAGAAAAATCAAGATGTATTAAAAAACATTTATTCTTCAAAATAGATATATTTTTTAAATTTGAACTGCCATAATTGATTATGTTACCAGTATAATCAATTATGACAAAGAGAAAATCGTTTTTCATTTCTGATGCATCATAATTGATTATGACAGTGAAAAATATCATGTTACGAAATTTTATCACACTTGTGCTTTGGAGGCTTATGCATAATACTACTTCATCAACTTGTACCTCCATATCCAGTATTCTAAGACTCTATCTAGTCTTCAGGAATCATCTTGGGTTTGCTTGAATCTTGAATAGAATATTTATAAAATCATATATTAAGCTTGCTTGAGTCTTGAATGTTGTTGACTTAAATTATCATCAAAATCATCTCTTGGGAATGTATGGACATGTTTCACATTGCTATCAATCTCCCCCTCATTGTTTTTTTAGGAAATTTTGGAAATGCCCCACCAAAAATAGAAAAGGAAATCAGAGGGTTTTTGGGCCGAATAAACTACATTTCTAGGTTTATTGCACAACTAAAAAACAAGTGTGCACCCATCTTCAAGCTGCACAAGAATTAACCAATAGTTTAGAATGATGAGTGCCAACAAACCTCTAATCCTTTACCTATCAGTACTCGAAGATTCTATGGGATGCATGCTCGGTCAGCAAGATGAGACGGGAAAAAAGGAGCAAACCATATATTATCTCAGTAAGAAATTTTTAGATTATGAGACCCATTATACACCACTTGAAAAGACATGTTGTGCGTTGGTGTAGGCAACTCAACGTCTTCAACAATATATGGTTAGACATAGACTTGGCAGGTTTCCAAAATGGATCCAATCAAATATCTGTTCGAAAAACCCGTCTTGACTGGAAGGATAGCTAGGTGGAAAATGCTCCTCTCAGAGTTTGACATCGTTCATGTCACCCATAAAGCTATCAAAGGTAGTCCTTTAACAGACTACCTAGCACACGGTTCAATAGATGAATATCAATCCCTATAAGACGACTTCCCAGATGAACATATCATGTATATTCAACACGAAGAGCCCAAAGATGATGCATGGGTCATATTCTTCGATGGAGCCTCAAACATGCTTGGACACAGGATTAGAGTTGTTTTAACTCCTGAAAAGAAATATATCCCGATAACGACAAGGATAAACTTCAATTGCACAAATAATATGGCCGAATATGAAGTCTGTGCCTTCGGTATCCAAGCAGCTCTAGATCACGGGGGTAACCAAACTCAAGGTATTCGGTAACTCATCCCTTATCATCTACCAACTCAAGGGTGAATGGGAAACCAGGAATTCCAAACTGATCCCGTATCTAGTATATTCATAATTTGACTTCGAGGATGGAAAACGTCACTTTCGAGTACATCCCTTAGGAAGATAACCAATTTGTATACACCCTCGCTACTCTGTCATCCATGTTCGTCTTAGATCAAGAACATGAAATGTTTATTATCCACATCAAGCTGCATGACAAGCAAGCCTTTTGCATGGCAGTAGATAGTGAGGAGGATGAATCCCCTTGGTATCATGACATTAGGCGATACCTCATGAAAGGCAAATATCCCGAGGGAATTAACGACAATGATAAAAGGACCATTCGGAAGAGGACCATGGGATTCACATTGATAGGAGAAACCCTCTACAAGAAAAGTTTTGACTCCACTCTATTAAGGTGTGTGAACCGCGAAGAAGCTCAAACTCTGATCAAAGAAATCCATGAAGGAATCTTCGGGACACCTATGCCGGGGCATGTCATGGTAAAGAAAATCTTTAGGACAGGATACTTTTGGTCCATAATGGAAGGTGATTGCTATCAATATACCAAGAAGTGTCATAAGTGTCAAGTCTACGTTGACAATGTTCATGTCTCACCGACGCCTCTCAACATTTTGGCTAAACTATGACCTTTCGATATGTGGGGCATGGATGTTATCAGACCTATTGAACCTAAAGCGTCCAATGGTCATCGCTTCATCTTTGTGGTCATTGATTACTTTACCAAATGGGTGGATGCGGCGTCCTATGCACACGTGACCAAGAAAGTAGCCACCACCTTCCTCAAGAGGAATATCCTGTGTCAATATGGCATCCCTCATCGTCTCATTACTGATAATGAGACCAATTTAAACAACAAGATGATGGAAGAGTTATGCCAAGACTTCAGGATTCAACATCACAATTCTTCACCCTATCGACCTAAGATGAATGGTGTAGTAGAAGCAGTCAATAAGAACATCAAGAAGATCATTCAAAAGATGGTCAAAACCTACAAAGATTGACATGAAATGTTGTCTTTTTCCCTTCATGGTTATCGGACTTCCGTACGGACCTCCACGGGGGCCACTCCATTTTCCCTTATATATGGCATGTAGGTCGTACTTTCGATAGATGTCGAAATACCTTCCCTACGAGTTATCATGGAAGCAAAGTTGACAGAAGCTGAATGGGTCCAAAATCGATATGACCAGTTGAATTTTATCGAAGTTGAATACCATATGTCGTGGACAAGCCTATCAAAAGAAGATAAAAAAGGCTTACGACAAAAAAGTCAACCCCCCTTACTTACCACGAGGGGGGTTTAGTGGTAAAGAAACCGCTTCCGACTTAGAAGGACAAAGTTGGAAAATGAGCGACAAACTATGAAGGACCTTTCATGGTCAAACGAGTTTTTTCAGGAGAAACTCTTATGCTCGCCGATATGGATGGAGAGAAACTTCGACACCCAGTCAATTCAGATGCAGTAAAAAAAGTATTTAAAAAGGTTTTGCAATACCCCTTACTTTATAATATAAATTTTAACAACTTCAATCAATTTTATAAAATATAAATTTAAGTTTTATATCTCATATTTCATACAATTATTATTTGTTTTAAAACTCTAGTAGATTATTTTGATATAAATATTATATATATTAAAATTAAGTATATAATAAAATAAAAAAGATATTATTAAGGAAGATGTGTTCATTGATATAAACTTCTTCATACTTAAAATTTTCGTGGATAAAAACAATTATTTATGAATTTAGAGAAACAAAATAAAAGAAAAACATTTGATTGGATTTTGGATGAGATAAAGGGTGCTTTACATGGCTGAATAGTTGGGTCCCACTTTAGAATATAGTAGAATAGAAAATTAGAAGATGACTGAAACGAAGAAGGTGCTGCCAAAAACGCCCGCCCCCTCCTTCACCGTCTAATCTTAGGCCAAAGCCAAACCCACGACAATCGTTTGGGTGCCAAGGGCTAAGCCTCAGCATCGACAAAGCGCTTCTTCATATGCCGTCTCTCTGCAATTCCCATGGAAAATAAAACACAACACTCAGGTTCATTTTCCTCACCCAATTCTCTATGCCACACTCTTTATTTATATTCTTCACTGCTACGTTTTCCGCTAGGGCATCGCGCTTTTCTTCAAACCCTAAAATCCCAGGGCATTCCACATAAATTAACAATCCATTTCTTCTGTTCCTCCCGTCGATCTATTATCTGATTGATTGTCATCATCAACATCATTAGTGTATTGTAGATTCTCTTTCCTTTTCTTTTTGTATATAAATTGATGCGTGTATAATCTGAATATTCTCGGAATGAGTTTGGCTTTTGTTGGCTTCAGAGTGGAATCGAATATTTTTGGATTATATTCTAATTTTTTTTTCGAACTTGTTAGTTTTCATTTTTGGATTTCTAATTGTGTGAACTGGCTAACTTCACCTATGCAGACACTTCACAAAAAAGTTCCCCTGTTATTATAATATATGAAGTATGGCACTAGGATCTTTACAAATTACACGTGGTATCTGAAAGTTTCTTAATATTTTGGTTGCGTGCGTAATTTTTTGTTACAGCAAATAGTCCTCCACCAAAACCCTGGGAACAAGCAGGTTCCTCGTCTGGCCCAGCGCCTTTTAAACCCCCGTCAGCTGGCAACACAAGTGATGTAGTTGAGGCTTCAGGGACTGCAAAACCTGGGGAAATTGTTTCTGGTTCCGATAGGACTGCAGCTGCCAACAGGAATACTCTTGGGAGGCCCGTGCCCACAAGGCCATGGGAGCAGAATTATGGGAATAGCACCTATGGAGGTGGTTTTTTCTTCTTTATTGAAAAATGTGTCGTCTTGTAAACTCTCATCTCTGCTTGGAACTTGTTTGCCTATTTTAATGAAACTGGTTATGTTTATTATAATATGCAGGATATGGTTCTACAATGAACTATAATTCTGGATATGGATCTGGAATGTATGGATCTTCTTATGGTGGACTAGGAGGAGGAATGTATGGATCTTCTTATGGTGGGGGAATGTATGGCAACGGCATGTACAGGGGAGGATATGGTGGCATGTATGGTTCATCCGGGATGTATGGAGGTGGGATGTATAACAGTGGCTTTGGGGGTCCAATGGGTGGTTATGGCATGGCTGGTGGTCCTTACGGAGATCAAGATCCCAACAATCCATTTGGTGGCCCTCCATCCCCGCCTGGATTTTGGATTTCTGTCTTACGTGTGGTGAGTTTAGTTTTTCTTCCATAGGTATGATTTATGAAAATGAACAATAGTCATTGTTTCTCCCCATTGGTTTGCTAGATTAGATTGTTTGTGAACTCATACTTAATTCTTTACCTCTTTCAACTTCATGTTTATGATGATTTACTGGTTCTAGATCAAATCCATTCATTTTGTCATAGCATTGTGCAAAAACAATCCAAATCCTGTGTTTCAATCATGGCATTAGTTAGGAGTGCCTATGAGCCATGTGAGACAATACACTATGATAACAGGGATAATTTTAGTGTTTGTTTAATTTCAGTTTGTTTTGAAGAAACATTTGCTTTGTTTTAATAAACTTTTGAGAAAGCTTTTGAAAAATAAGTAATTCCAAACTTTCTGTCAATCTTTGTAGTTGGGAGTTATTGTTCTATTGTGAAACTTCTAGTATTTAAAGTTCTTGGTTATCAAAGCAGCATAGGAATGTTATATATAGGTACACATATATGTGCACTCTGTGTATCTTATCTTTTATTTTGGGTCCTTTTAGTAGGAATATTCTGAAATCAAGTTATTATGATAATCCAGAAAAGTAAGGAATGATTAGCTCTATATTTGCAAATATTAGGAGAATATTGTTTCCTTTTTGTAGATATGATTTTTTAGATGTTTATGGATTTATTTCTCTTTTTAATTTTTTAATATTTAGCTTGACATCAATCCATCTGCTGTATATATTGTACCTTGGTTTCATAGTGAAGAAAATACACAGAAATTATCTCTAAACCTTTGTTTATAAAACTTTTTTTGCATTTGTTGAACTCATTTCCCTCTATTGACAGATGCAAGGTGTGGTTAACTTTTTTGGTCGAATATCAATACTTATAGACCAGAATACACAGGCTTTCCATCTGTTCATGACTGCACTTCTGCAGGTTTCATATTTATCATTCTCTTTCCATTTTATGTCATTTTGTCTTTTAGCTAATTGTATGCCCAGCTTGTATGGCTGTTGGAAGAATGAAAATTTAGTGAAAAATGAAGTCATACATGTTTTTAATTGCTGTGAAATTTTATCTTTGGGGAGGATGACTTATACAATGTTTGATAGGGTTTTTTACATTTCTTTTTTGTATTAGAAAATTGTCTACAATGTGGTCGGTGAAATTGTTTTAATTTGGATATTAACAAGGAAATATATTTTTTTGCTGTCAAATAATGAGAAAGGGTATAGAAATGATGCATTATCTTTCATACAAAAATTTAGGGGTGTTAGGTCATGCGTGATGAGTGATAGCCTATTCCGGCAAAACCAATAGCAAGTTCCTACCAGCCTTCCAAAGACTCACAGTTTTTAGAAGTAACTAAATAATCTTGTCGAAGCACACACCGATTAATGGCTGGGTTATTTCTCCGGAATGAACTCTAACTTATCTGATATATATTTTAAAATAGCAGTGAGCAAGTTGTGTATATAATATAACATTTTCTTTTGCCTTTTGTTGAACTCATTTCTCAGCAGCACAGTGCCAAATCTGGGAATTCATTCTATGATATAGAACACGTAATTTTATTGTGCTATGAACGTAATTTAATTTCAGATGATTACTTGATCTCTGTTGCAGCTGTTTGATCGCTCTGGTTTATTGTATGGAGAGCTAGCTAGATTTGTGTTGCGGTTGCTTGGGATTAGAACAAAGTCCAAGAAGGTTCACCCGCCAGGTCCAAATGGACAGCCGTTGCCTGGACCACAGAATTCTTCTGGAAATGTAAATTTGATTGAGGCACCAAAGGCTGCTCCAAGTGGTTCATGGGACAATGTTTGGGGAAATGACGCCCCTCAATAATGATACGGTGGAGTTGTTCTGCTAAAAGAGTTCGTCCAAATACATTGAAAAGAAGAGGCCACAGCATTCCACAAGAAGATACTGAAGCTACAAAAGTCGTGTATATCCCAGATTTTAAATTCATATTCGTGTTCTCTTTGCTTGCGTTGGTCTTGATTTTACTAGAAGGGGATCTTAAATAAGATACCATCCCTGCATTATACCTTGTAAGCGTTTTATGTGAATCTGCAGGATGCTTCTATTTGCTCCTTATATGTATTATTTTGTATCCATAGCGTAATATTGCATACCTGCATTAAGATTTTCGGGGGCCATTTAGTTACGTTCCTTTCCGTGTACTTGTAATGTGACTATTCTTCAGGTTTGTTTTACGAATGAATGTGCCATACATAGGTGTGATTAATGAAGTCTGCGTTAAATTTTAGGTTTAATACCAATGGTATAATAATGCATAATTTTTATTCTTCGTTGCAATTAAAATTCTTTTATGACAATTGGTCCGTCTAACATATCCCAAATTTCAGTCGCCAGTGGAGCCTACCCAGACTGTTCCTACCCATATTAATAAACAGTATTTTAAAAAAGTATATTAAAAATTGTTTTACTAATACTTTTAATAAGGTAATGAAATTATCAAATAAATTAGGTTTAAATATATAATCCTGTCGTGAAAATTTGGCCGATCTTACTTATCCCAAATACGTGACCCATATTATACTTCTACCCTCCAAAATGATTTCGGCCACGTTAGAATGGGAAGGAAATGTTAATATCACAATGTTTAACACTCTTCTATTGGCTCAGCTTTTTTAAAAATTGCAGAAGTTATGAATTTCGCTTCATCAAACGAATCTCGTTTATAATTTTATACTATGCAATATGTTTTTATTAAAAAAATTTTCTAGAAAAGTGTGTGAAGAAATATGTACAGCACTAAACATCTTCGACATTACCAAGTAATGCAGGCTGGTTTCAGTAAGAGATTGTTAATAAGTGTTTTGTTTGCAGTAACATGTATAAGTAATTCTTGCAGTTTTCAAATACTTTAATTAAAAATGAAATATGTATCAAAAGAACTGTTAGAAAATATGTTTTTGAGTATTTTTATGATTCAATCTTAAATTTAAACAAGAAAAATAATTTATTGTATATAAGAAATAACAGAAGAAAAACGAAAAATAAAGCATGACTATTGATTAGTACAAAAAGAAAAGAAGAGAATTTTGGGGAGCATTGATTCATGAACCATGATTTTGCTTGCACGCACAGATAGATTCAGTAGCCACTCACTAGCTCTCCAAGAATAACATAGTGTCACTAAAAACTAACAAGCAAAACAGAACGCGGATTCCATTCCGACAGATCAACCATGAAGAACGACCACAACGACAAGAAGACCGAACACAGCAAAGACACTACCGTGGGAATCCTAGATTCCCGATTCAACCAGACCCTCAGAAATGTTCAAGGGTATCTATCCTCATTTCTTCTCCCCACTTAGTTGCTTTTAATTTTTCCTCACAATTCTGTCAAAAACTCATGATCTCGAGAATTTCGCTGCCTGATTTACTGATCTTCGCTTCTTAATATTTTCATCGGTCGGATTTAGAAAACCCATTAGAATTTTTTAATCCTTTTGGCATCAAGATCACGAATTTTCGATGGGTGAAATTGTAAGACGCGGTCCTTAGGAATGGGTTATAAGCGTCTGGTTTAACCACCCCATGTTGATGTGATTGTGATACGTCCAATCGAATTGGGTAGCTTCTTTTTATGGTGTGGATTGTTGCTGTGAAATGCTGGGGTAATGGAAGCATATGACATATACAATTGATGGGAATTTATAACTTATATTTTTCGTTTGTGAAGGTTACTCAAAGGTCGTAACATTCCTGGTAAAATATTATTGAGCCAGAGGGTTAGTTCTCCGGATTACACAAGCTTATCTTCACCTACTTATATAAGGAGCTCCTCATACAGTGATACTGGCACAAGTGACCACACATCAGACAGATTAGAGGTGATTTTTGTATTCATGTTCCATAGTTGTATATTTTAATCGCATACATCTATATGAGATTGATGATGGGTAGCACTGCATCAAGTGAAACCTCTATTCTTAACACAGGAGGAAGTTCACATTCACAGTAAAAGTAAATCATTTGGTACTCCCGATGAGAATAGGTTAAAAGTATCATCATCCAATGTAGAGAGCTCATCTGAAGAAGTCCGGAAAACTTCATTTGGTGCTAGAGCTACAGATTCTGCTAGGGTTATGAAGTTCACTAAGGTGCTCTCTGGGACAATGGTTGTATTAGGTATTATAATCTCTTCATTTCCATTTCTTTATATCACTTATTGACTGCTTCTTAATTGCTCCTTTATGGCCACTCTGGTTACGGATGTGTCATTAGCTGAGCCGTGTTCCCTGGTTAACACAATCATGACATATTTGCTTTTGCTTGTATAATTTGCGAAGACAATATGAGTAGTTCATACCTTATGGCTCAAAATGTTGTTCCTATTTGAAGCATCTATTCTTTTTTTTTTAGCACAAAATTATTGAGAAAGAGGAGAAATACAAAGTGACTAGGATAAGAAATCCTCTACTGTTTAAAATTACTGAAAAAGAGCCTTTATCTGGCAAAATTATCTCCTTAAAGAGACCTTTGGCATGATTCCACCAAGAAGCTAGATGAATTACTCCATCTAAATGAATTCCATGGGTAGAAACTCTACCAGTTAAAGTTCTGCCATTTCTTTTCAACCATATACGCCAAACTATCACAAACTTGTAAAACCTTGCCTTTTCTAAAATCACTGCACAAGAAATATGAAGGATCCATAGGACAGACCCATCTTTCAGCTCCCGCACCCCCACCAAACAGAGCACTCCATAGATGGGACTCAGCAGGGCAGTTGAAAAGACAAATGGGAGGCATCTTCAGAAGTCAATCTAAACATAACACAAAAGTCAGGAAACATGTCATTTGTATTAGTCCAGTAAAGAACTGCAAATAAATTTTAATCCTCAGAGGACCAATTGATTTCCATATTTGCTTATCCAATACAAAAGATCATCTATTAGGGGTTGAACTGAGAAATTGGATATAAAATTTGGAAGAAAACAATTCTCAAGAATCAAGACATCAATTGCTTCAGTGTCGGTTAGGAATGATCATGACAGAGTTCTATAAAACCCAAAGGTTTTCTTGTTCAGAGGTTTCCCTGCTTCATATTTAGTAAATTTTGTAAATTCCTAGGCACATTAATTTCAGATGAAGTCTTGAAAATGCAAAGAGAGGAGGGTATCACACACCCAAGGATCCTCCCAATATTTAATATGGGATCCGTCTCCAAGACCATAGAAATAAGAGATGTAAAAAAGTTATAACCTTGAGAGATGACATTCCAAGGGCTGGCATAAGCTTTCAAAGCAGAATTGACATCCCACTCATTCTAGTGCAACCCAGACTTTCTTTTTATGCCAGAGTAAAGCCTCAATGGGAAACTTCCACAGCTACTTAACTACCAAGCAGTATCATGCATTGACAATATCCAAAGAGTTTTCTATTTTTCAGCAATGAGTCAACGATGCAGACCTTATATTTCTTCCTTATTTATCTTGTAGAGAAATTGCGTGAATTATCTTGGAGTGGTGTTCCAGATTATATGCGTCCTACAGTGTGGAGACTTCTCTTGGTAAGCTCTGTGATCTAAAGCCATTTATATTACTCAAGCATGAACTTTCATGACAGTTATCAGTTATACTTTGGAGTTTAGATTATACTTTATAAGAATATGCGTGCTCTTTTGGCAATATCTGATTCTTTCTTACAGAAAAATATCACTTTGGGTGGGCTTGCAGAAATGTTCTTTCATAGGGATCTTGATATATAAATTATACACAAGACCACATCAAAATATATAATATTTTTAAAGTAAATAGGGAAATATCAGGGGAAATGGCATAAGTCATTTAGAATACAACTAGCAAATCCTATCTGTTTTGAAACTAAGAAATATATAGAAAAGGGATCTTCAAATGATTTCAACGCTGTAGTCTAGGTGACGTGTATTCATTTCTCTTGATCTTGTACAGTTGTGATGCATTCTACTTGTCACTTAGTAACCAATTATGTTAGCATAGATGGTCTCTCTTTTGTGTATATATTGAGGATTGTAGTAGCATTGTTCCTTGGCAGAAGAATATAGAAAACTTTTCATACACATTATTCTTGTTGTTTCCAACTCTCTTTTTTTCTGTTTGTTAATCACATGTTTTCTATGGATGGATACTTTCTTTTCTTATCAATGATTTAATGAACAAATTTGGAGTTCAGGGATATGCACCAACTAATTCAGATAGAAGGGAGGGAGTTTTGAGAAGAAAGCGCTTGGAGTATCTTGACTCTGTTTCTCAGTATTATGATATTCCTGATACAGAGCGCTCAGATGATGAGATCAATATGCTTCGCCAGGTAGTCTCGATTATAACATTTTCCTAACTGGATTAGTGGCAAAATTAAGGTTCTTTATTTTTACTGCTTTCATTTTATGATTGTTAGATTGCTGTTGATTGTCCAAGAACAGTACCTGAAGTTTCATTCTTTCAGCAAGAGCAAGTTCAAAAATCATTGGAGCGTATTCTTTACACATGGTTAGATACTAATGTTATCTTGTTTTTCGGTCTGATTTTAGTTTGAGCTAGTGTTCTTTGTTGTGAATTTTTTGAGGTAAAATAAGGCTAGATTACACTATATTTACATAGCATTTGACTTGACTTTATTCCAGCTTAAAAGCTACTTCAAACTTAAAGTTAAAAATAATAGTTTTGATAAAGTTGAAAATGTTTGGTAATTTATAATTCTATAATTTTTTGAATTTCAAATTTCCTGTACTGTGTTCTTGGATTTTGGGATCTGAAATAATGTAGGAAAAGGAGAAGGCAAAAGCTCCTATAACTAGTTTGTTTAGAAGAGAATCCCAATTAACTTAGGCCAAATACTACTTTAAAATGGGATTTATACTTTTTTTTTTTTATACTCAAATATTTTCTACAATATTAAACAGATGAGATTATTGCATAGGTTAGCAGATGCCATGAATAATTTATTATTATGCGACATAGTTAATCAAGCTCCTAAAACTGGTGGTTGTGATATACACGATGGATTAACTTCATTCATTTTTAGACTGATCATAGATTTGTTTCCATTTATCTTACAAACCTTGATGGAGTCTGTGAGGAGATTCTCTTCTAGAAATGCTTTCTGCATTGCAAACGAGAAAAAATGGTCTAAATTACCTGATGATGCATTTCTATTGCACTTTCAGAAGATGCTGAGAATAGTTATTATGATATTGTATACTTCTGTTTCTTCTTAAAGTAGTTTAGAGAAGTAGCTTGAGAAATAAAAATAGAAAAATAATTATAGAACCACAGTAAACCTTGTGATCTAGCTTTCCCATTTTAAATGCATCACTCAGTTATCAATTGGATTGGCAGTAGTGTTTACCCTGATAATAATCTGGAACTCTTTTCCTCTGGATTATCCTTGTTGTTGAACTGACTTTTTCTCACTAATTGTGTGTTATTGTTAGAAGTTATTTTACTTACATGGTTTCTGATATTCTGCCAGGGCCATCCGGCATCCTGCAAGTGGATATGTTCAGGGGATAAATGATCTTGTTACGCCATTTTTAGTTGTTTTCCTGTCAGAATACTTAGAAGGGGCCATAGATAATTGGTCAATGTCTGATTTATCTTCAGATGAAATCTCTAATGTAGAGGCCGACTGCTATTGGTGTTTGTCAAAGTTGCTTGACGGTATGCAAGACCACTATACATTTGCTCAACCAGGAATTCAAAGGCTTGTTTTTAAGTTGAAGGAATTGGTCAGAAGAATTGACGGTAACCTTTTTCTCAGGACTTTTTAGGAAAATATAACTTCATTTGACTAAATTATCCTGTCACTCTGTATTAATGCTCTTTCTTATTTCTCTTTACGGCTATACTGAGCAATAATAAGAATGAAATTGAAAAATAAAACAAAATGAATAAATTAATGACTTTGTTTTTTGAGTGACAAATGAAATGAAACAAAAGTTATTCTAGAAAACAACTGATATTTTGAAACGTGGGAGTATATTATGATCTGTATATCTCCAATTGAATCTGATACTGAATTATGAGTCCAACAGATCCTGTTTCAAGCCATATGGAGGAGCAGGGATTGGAATTTCTTCAATTTGCTTTCCGCTGGTTCAACTGTCTTCTTATTCGTGAGGTTTGCTCTGAACTATTTTTTTCTCATAAAGTGCAATACTGTTTTCCCAAGAAGAACTTCATGCATATTTTATGAATTGGCTGCATAAAGCCTCAAGAACTTGTAAATTTAGTTAGCAAAGGGAGTTGTGAACTACCAATAATTTGCATAATTTTATGTTTTTGTTAACTATGATTTCTAATTTATGCAATTAGATACCCTTCCATTTGGTCACTCGTCTTTGGGACACATATCTAGCTGAAGGAGATGCCTTACCAGACTTTCTTGTGTATATATTTGCCAGTTTTCTTCTAACGGTGAGCCAGCCTACTTTGCCCTTTTCACCAATACAAGTAATTTGAAATATATTTCATCCTTTAGCCAAGATGCTGATGGGTAGTTTTTGTTGGTCCATTTGTCAAAGCTTCTTTTACTCCTTCTGGTACATTTCAGTAGGTAATGATAATTATAATGTGCATGTTTTTGCCAGAAAACATTTGTCTTTTGCACCACTTTATGCCGTTAGAAATGCCTGTTTAGCGAATGCAGACATGTCTTTCTGCAATATTGTGCATTCTAACAATCACCAAAACACACAAATGTGATCTATATAATGTTATATCGTGGTATAATCTTGCATAAACAAAGATTATTTACAAGCTTTATGTTAGATTCTTGTTTCATTATTTAGGTAGGTTGTATCAGTGCTAAGATCCCATTGTCCATTCGTTATGTATCAATTGATTGTTTCCATTTAGGATGCCAAGTTACAGAAACTTCCAGTAAGTTGGAGACAGTCTAAATAATAGTTATACATAATAACATACACAATTTCATGATAACATGAAAAAACTTGTCACAAGTGAAAAATGAAAATTCTTTTTTGAGACTATTTTTCTTTATTTAAATTTTTAACACCCAATTGAAACTTTCATATACTTGTCAAGAATCAATTTGATCATTCTACCGTTATGAATAGTAGAGAATGAATATCCTCTGATCTCCCAGTGTTTTATCAGTGGTCAGAAAACCTCCAGAAGCTTGATTTCCAAGAGTTGGTAATGTTCCTTCAACACCTTCCAACCAAGAACTGGACGCACCAGGAGCTCGAAATGGTACTTTCTCGTGCATTTATGTGGCACAGCATGTTCAACAACAGTCCGAGCCATTTAGCTAACTGAGCAAGCAAGCAATTGTGATTTTCTGTATTTAGTTACTGAATTTCTGGTTTTTTTCTCACTTCTCATCCGACATTTTTCCCCTTTAGTGTGAGATGAACTAATGTTTTTGACCAATTTTTACCTGTATTTTGCCTTGTAATGTAATATCTTGTAAAGGAGAGACAAATAATCAGGAGAGAAAGAGAGGCTTTTTATTGTATTAATTTTTTATTTATACACATTCTAGTAATGTCAGCAGGCAATGATAGTTACTTGCCATTTCTTGGTAGCATAGATTTCAAATTAATACAAGTTTGTTCAAATTAATATGACAAAGCACCACTTATGACCCGCGAAAGGATAATTAGATTTATGAGGTAGATTTATGAGGTACAAGTCTACAACGAATGCTTCTACAGGCCAATAGCATATAATAATCATCATAACAAAAGATTTCAATTGAGGTCAATAGTAATATTTGCTGCAACAACTGCCATCAACATCACCCTGTACCGGAAGCTGTAAATTTCTTCATATAATAATCATCATAACAAAAGATTTCAATTGAGGTCAATAGTAATATTTGCTGCAACAACTGCCATCAACATCACCCTGTACCGGAAGCTGCAAATTTCACACAAGATCAGCGCGTCTCTTTTTTGGCTGAACACACAAAAGAAAAAACACATATTTATTATGTTTCTTTTGTAGAAATAAAATATATTCAAACCACTGAACTACGTATGCATAATCTTACTTTATCTTGTTGCAGTTGTTTAAGGAATTTATCAGGGAACTCCACATGATCAAGACAGTCTTGTTTGAGAGACTCCAGCAGTTGTTGGTGCTGCCCGTTTCTTTCCAAATTTGTGATCAATACAGTGAAAGTGAACTTATCGGGGGAACAACCCCATTTCTTCATGGACCCGTATATCTCCATCGCCTTCTCCGTCATCCCAACTTGCAAATACACCCCGATCATCTCACCGCACATCCTCGAGTCCGGTTTCAATCCCTTCTCCAAAACTTGAGAGAAGAGCTCCTCCGCCATATCGATTTTCTTGTTTCTTCCCAGCAACATGATCATGTCGGCGTAGAGTTGCAGCAGCGTATCATGCCCCACCTCCTCGCGAATAAAGTGAAAAACCTACGGTATAAATCGAATTCGAATTAAATAAAAGAAAAAAATAAGCCACGATGATTGAAATTGAAAGAGAAAGTTTGTGTTGCCTTGAGAGCTAAATCGAGCTGGTTTTGTCGTAGCAATTCGTCAAATAGGTTTAAGGCATCAGGTTTCAAAAGGCGTGAGAGTTTGGCGTTGAGAACGTGTTCGGGGGATTTGGCGAGTTTAAGGGCGTGGATGACTTGAATGCTCTCTTTGGAGAGTACCCTTGTGCGCCGCCGCGCTTTGTAGCTTGAACGGAGGCCGCACACCGTCACTTCTCTGCTGCAATTCAAATTCGAGACTGGGAAAGGCCTTTCACCATTAGCCCACCGCCCCTGAACACCCCATAGCGCTACACTCTCACAGACTCTTCTTCCAATCATATTCAATTACGTCTCACAATCATGCAAATCGAACCTTTATTATATATGTTTTTCAATAATAGTTTTTAAAACTTTTTTTCCCTATTGGTTCTTGAACCGAGACAAGAATTATTAAAAATATATTACCTTTGATTTTTTTGTAAGTATCTCTGAGTCAGGGTTCGAACCGAACCATTTTTTTTATCAAAATAAAAAACATAAGGTTGTAGAGAGGAGAGCGATGGGGTTATCGGCGTCAAAGAGAGTGGAGAATAGTTTGTCAAACTCGGGCGATTTTGACTCGGCATGCGACTCGGCCTTCTCACACTGCCTCGCTCTCACGCAGCACGCTTTCCAAGGGGTGTTTCCATACCAACTCAAAACCGCCTCCGACTACATCCACGCCAACACCACACACGCGCTTGTCCGAAAGTGGGTCCCAGCACCACCCGATCGCACCCAAATCGACGCCGCACTCCGCCGCCTCCCTCCGAATCACGACGACGACACCCTCCCACTCCCCCTCTTCAAAAAATGGGCCCACCACCTCTACACCGACGCCGTCGTCTCCGCAGCCACCAAAGCGCTCATGGTGCGCCTCCCCGTCGGCGTGGCCGGGATCGTCGGAATCGGCGCCGTCACTCGACCCCCTGCCCAATTGGTTGGCACCTTCGTCGGAGCCTATTCTCTCGGCGTTGCCCTCTCCATTTTTCTTGGCTTATCCGCATAATAATAATAATAATATAATAATAATAATTGTATTTTCACTGTTCTTCACTTCCATATCATTTTCCCTCTGTATTACCACTTCTTGTGTGTATTAGTTGTTTTATGATATTGTTCTACAGTTTTTTAGTAAATTACTATGAAATGAAAAATATCATTTTTATGATTTATCTTACAGTTTCCACAGCTGCTAAAAATATATAACAATTTTAAACCTTTCTCCTTTCTTTCTCCCAAATTAACTATGAAAACTAGAAGTCAAAAAAGAAACATGAAGACTAAAAGTGCAGTAAATTCAGGGTGGACTTGACAAAATAACAATAATAGTCAAAACAACAACAGTGCTATGTTTTATTTTTCTGTAATAACAATAATCAAATCAATTGAAGCCACAGGCCTTCAATTCTTTATTTACGATTGTCTGGGAAAAATGACATCTTTAGCATGTAAGATTATCACCAGTGGCAACACCCAATTGTGTGCAGTATTCAGTGTAGTAATTAACACGAGCTTGAACAGTGGAGGGGTTGGCACCATCACACTCAAGTTGACCATTAATGGCTCTGATGGTTGCACCAAAGCCCTGGTTGATGACAGGGCGCACGTGCTTCATCCAGTACCACAATGCTGTCTTGAAAGACACCACAGCATCATTCGACACTGTTTCTGGCGCCTTCAATCCATCGAAATTGTTGTCCTGTCCTGCTGGTCCATAGTTGAAGTTCCATGACAATTGGATGGGACCACGACCGTGGTAGCCTTTGCTAGAAGAGCATGGATACTGTGCAATCGTTTCCTCGTCGCAGTAGTCCTTGCTTGCACCGTCGATCTCTTCAATGTAACAAAAATCTGCACCCCATGTCACACTTTAGAAACATAACAAAATAACAACAACAACAACAACCTCATTGTATGTCACCATGTTGATTCAAGTTCTTCAATTGTTTCAAATACTAAAGTTTCTGGTATATAAGAAAAAAGTGATAGTTCTTACGTCCAGTTTCATGTGTGAAATGAGCAAAAGCAGCTGCAATCTCGCGTTTGGAGTCATCCTCGGAACCAACTCTACCGAATTCATTGTAGGAATTGAGAGCACTGAGGAAAGTATCTCGCGTGTAAAAGCTCTTGCCAGCACAACCAGAATCAGCTTGATCAATTATGCCATTGAAAAATTCTGCTGTGACAATGTTAGCAACATTAACATCGTTGGGAGGTGAACTTGTTGTAGTACAAGGTCCCTGTTGGCACCCTGTGCCACAGTATGCTTCACCAGTACCACAGTATCCATGTTGGCTGCAACATAACCCTTCAGCACACCCACAGTTTTGAGCACTCACATTTTTTGGCACCATAACAAGGGCCACTGCTACAAGAACGAATAGTACTCTCTTTCCCATTTTGAGGGTGAAGCTATCAAATAGTATGAATTTGATTGATGAAGAATTGAGTTAGGGGGTGTATTTATATTGATTCTGCTAGGTGTTGCGCCGCCTAGGAGAAATGCTTGAAGAAATATCTGCAGTTGAAAATTAAGTTTGAATGTTTCAATATCAAATCTGAATCCGTTCTAGAATGTTAACGTGTTGGTGTGGGTGGGTGGACTTTGATTCGTCAATTGTAATACAACAGTTACGTACATATCCATACGCATGAACCTTTGTCGTCGTTGCGACATTAAATAACCGTGGTTGTGTCCACAATGTATGATCAATGATTTTGTTAAATATTTAAAATATTCACAATTGTTTTTCATGGCTGGATCCCATTACGAAGTGTGTTGCGATTTGCGTATATCACTTGAGAGATGAACTTATCTTGTTTTTAAATTTTTAAATTTTAACATCATTTGTTTGTATTAAGATTTTGTTGAATTTTAGTTGGTTAATTAACATAATATACACAAACTGAACTCAAATTTTATGTTACGTAAAATGTTACTCATTGAATAAAAAAAGTCTAAGCACTAAAAGAATATAAAATATGACATCAAATAGACAAATTTTACAATATAATTATTTTTTATTTTTTAAATTTAAATTTAAATTTGTCAAAAATATTTTCAACCCTAGATTACGGGGATAACGTGTGAAGCAATTTTGACTAGTCTAACTTATGTGGTTGAAAAAAAGAATATGTTAGCGACCATGTTGATTATTTATATTATTTATTTATTATTTAAATTTTGTGATATATATATATATATATATATTTATGTTTTTCATTTACAAAATTAAACTAGAAATTTATTTAACTGTAAGAAAAAATATATTTAGAACAATTTGTGGTTTAAATGACCATTTGAGATTTAGATTTGAATCATCTCGATTATTTGTTGAAAAGGGGAAATTATTTTAGTTTGACTATTTATATTATTTGTTTATTACAAAAAATTAAACATGCTGACATCATTATTACTGATTATGACAATAATTTGTAAAATTCCACGATTATTTTATTCATAAATAATTATTAGATTTTGGGTCTGGGCTTTATAAAAAAACTCAGCCCAATACAAAAGATGAAAAAGCAAACAAAGTGAGTAATATAAGCCCTGAACATTCAATTGGGTAATTTGCAAGATTGAGTTTTACTTTTACCCAAATCATGTAATATGGTGCGTTTTCCGAGCTATTTTGGTTATAGTTTCATGCAGAATTTCTGTGGCAAACCATTTGAAATCCATTTCTTTAGAAACCATTCTAAAAGTGCAAGTACATATGGAGCACTAGAGTCATTAAGCACAATGAATGGATCAATGGTGAAGCCAAGAAAACATGTTCTTTGTACTGCACTTAGTTCTTGTGCAAAAACCCTGAATTGGCATTTGGGTATACAAATCCATGCTTACATGATTCGATCTGGATTTGAAGATAATTTGTTCCTCTGTAGTGCACTTGTTGATTTCTATGCTAAATGTTTTGCTATTGTGGATGCAAAGAAGGTTTTTAGTGGCATCAAAATACATGATCAGGTTTCATGGACTTCACTTATTACGGGATTCTCGATCAATGGACATGGAAGAGAGGCCTTCTTGTTGTTCAAAGAGATGCTATGCACCCAAATTAAGCCCAATTGTAATACCTTTGCTAGTGTCATTAGTGCCTGTGTTGGGCAAAATGGTGCCCATGAGCACTGTTTAACTCTTCATACTCATATCATCAAGCGGGGATGTGATACTAACAATTTTGTAGTCAGTTCATTAATTGATTGTTATGCAAATTTGGGACAAATTGATGATGCTGTACTCTTATTTGTTGAAACTAATGAGAAGGATATTGTTGTGTACAATTCTATGATCTCTGGATATTCTAAAAACCTGTACAGCGAAGATGCATTGAAACTATTTGTAGAAATGACGGGGGAAAATGTGGTTCCTACTAATCATACTTTATGTACCATTTTAAATGCTTGCAGCAGCCTTGCATTGCTCCTTCAGGGAAGACAAGTGCACTGTGTTGTTATTAAAATGGGTTCAGAAAGAAGTGTGTTTGTGGCCAGTGCTTTGATTGATATGTATTCAAAGGGTGGCGATATTGACGAGGCTCAATGTGTGTTACATCAGACTTCTGAGAAGAATAATGTGTTGTGGACATCCATGATCATGGGTTATGCTCAATGTGGGAGAGGTTCAGAGGCTTTGGAACTTTTTGATTGTCTATTGACCAAGCAAGAGTTAATTCCTGATCATATCTGCTTTACTGCTATCTTAACTGCTTGTAATCATGCAGGATTTCTTGACAAAGGGGTGGAATACTTCAACAAAATGACAACAAATTATGGCTTGTCTCCTGATATGGATCAATATGCTTGCTTGATTGATCTCTATGCCAGAAAGGGAAACTTAAGTAAGGCAAGGGAATTAATGCAGGAAATGCCCTATGATCCTAATTATGTAATCTGGAGTTCTTTCTTGAGTTCTTGTAAGATATATGGAGATGTAGAACTTGGCAGGGAGGCTGCTGATCAACTTATTAAGATGGAACCATGCAATGGAGCACCATATTTAACAATGGCACATGTCTATGCAAGAAAAGGTTTATGGAATGAAGTAGCTGAAATCAGAAGGCTTATGCAACAAAGGAGAGTAAGAAAATCTGCAGTTTCATACATTTGCAGTGGATGATGTTACTCATCAACAATCAAATGAAATCTACACATTAGTATAATTTGTTTTAAAGCCAATAAATTTGATGAGCGTAATCAATAGATGAATATCAAAATATTTATTAGTTGAAAATATAAATTTAATGTGTACAGAAATTATTAAAGAAAATAACCTTTTCTTGAAGTAGATTCTTCTATCCTGACTCACATCACATAGACATCATTTTTATCCTTAGTAATTTAGTAAAATTTCTTATAAATCATAATTTGTTTTAACAAAATATTATTTATTTTAGTTTTTTTTAATTATTTGATCCTAAAACAAAAAAAAAGGTGTAATATGATTACAAAAGAATTCATTTCATGTAGAAAATTAAAATTATGTTGATAAACCTTTTTGAATAATTTATATATTTGTTAGTTAATTCAACAATTAAATCTACCACAGTTTTTATTTAATAAGATGCCTTAATAATTCTTAGCATTTGTCAAAAAAAAAAAATAGCATTGCATTTTTTAATTCATTTACAAAAAAATTCTTATTATGAAATATAACTATAATATCAATTTCCTCAAAAAAAAAATTATGACAATTTGTTTCCATTTCAAATCTTAGTATCACGTTTTATTAATTTTCTATTTCATTACTATAATTTCTCACCATTTAGCTAAAAATAATGATAACTTCTATAGTTTCTTAAATAGAAGAAATTTTCAAATTAAGAAATATCTTAGAATTGTAGAAACGTTTGTGTTTGTTTTTCACGTGCGTACAACACTAATATATAATATGTTTTGTAAATCAAAGTTGTTGCTATTATTAGAGCAACGAATGCAAGGTATAAAAAAATATTAGTAAAAAATATATAATAAATAAGTTTCAATAATAATAAAAAAAGTTAGTATAATAAAAAAAAATCAACACACCATTAACGAGGACGAATATATACAAATAAAAATATTCAAGGTGTTAAAATTATTAATAAATATTTAATTTTTTTTACTCTAATCTTACATATTCAAATCAACTTTTCGTTGTTCTATAATAAAGCAATTAAGAATATATAATTATATGATACTAATTATTATTAATTTATATTATTTAAAAAGTAAATTATTTTTAATTATCCATCGTTACTTTTCATAAATAGATTAAACGAAGAAAAATATAATTTTAAAAATTTTAAAAATTTTAAAAATTCATTTATTGGTACTATAAAATCTTTTTTCTAATAAAATATGTTTTTTTTTTAATTGAAGATATAAAAAGAGGAAAGAGCACGAGTATTTTCATACATATTATTTTGCCAAATAAATGGTCTTAATAAGATATATCAAAGCCGAGAAATCAACACTTCTCACACTCCACCATGCGAAATGACTTCATGGCATCTTTGAATATCGAAGGCAAAATGCTTTTATCCTGCTGAAGCTCTCTACAAAATCAGAGGAGTCCACAGCAAAACTAATTCGAACCCAATTCTTCAGTCCAACTGTCACACCTAGTATCAATGATCACCATCAACAAAAAGAGAAATTTTCATCATCACATGACTTTATTTTGTTTACTACGGAATTAATGAAACTAAGATTCTTGAAGAAGAAAATCATATTACCAGGAAGAAGAAGGACAGATTCCTCTTCAGCTAGCTTGACACAGAAATCTATGTCATCAACAATGTCCTTAATTTCTGAAAAGTTAATTTTCACCTGATCCATTCAAGTTAGTATTAGTATGTGATCCACTGTTAATGTGATAACATGATGAAAACCTTGTAGCCCTTTGTCACTTACCAACACGGACATGGCTCCTTCTGGTTTGTTAGGGCATGTTAAGCAAGGAATCTCCTTGCATAAATCATAGAATATGTTTGCTGTCTCCCTCAATATATTCAGATTTTTTAAGAAGAAATCATCTTTGGTTTTGCCAATGATTTCAGGTATTGCTGCCTGCAAACTTTCTAGCCATAATTTTTGTTGAGGGAGAAGAAAATGAAAAAAGAAGAAGAAGGATATGGGCATGCAAAGTACAAACTTTTGAATGCATGTATGCTAATTTCAACAGAAGAAAACAAAAATGTAAATTTGTAAAAGTATTTTTATATTGCTCATGTATTTTGATCATGCTAGTTTTCATTGGTTACCTGCAAGAAGGTTGGAAGGTCAGTTGTGATCTCCAAGTAGTTAATGATATTTTTCACCAGCTGATAATTTATCAATATTTCAGTCAAATATCAATTATCTAAGCCAAGAAAAAAATTATTCCATTTGATCTTCAAAATAATGAGGAGAAAACTCACCCCAGTTTTATGAAATATTCCATGGGGGTCACATGTGGCTATCCAACCAGTTCTCCAACCGGGAACCAACCATCTTTTTGATAAAGATCCAATTGTTATAACAGGAACTATTGGTGAAAACACTCCCATGGGGACAAATGGATTGCTTCCATAAGTTACATGGGCATAAACCTCATCAGATATAACAGCAATCCCAAGTTTTCTAGCAATCTCAGCAAACTACAAGAGTTCTGATAAGTTATAACATTTCATTTCCAACTCTTAAAGAAGCAAATTCAAGACAATGTGTACCCTTTTTAAATGTTGGTATGTGAACACATTTCCACATGGATTGCTAGGATTGATGAGGACCATAGCCACTGTGTTGTCATCTGCTAGAGCTTCAAGGGAATCAAGGTCAACCTCCCAACCTCTCTCAGGCAAAAGATCAAAGTGTCGAACTTCAAGGTGACAGCAAGAAGCACGAGATTCATAGTGCGGATACCCTGGTCTTGGAAGAAGAATGTTGGCACCAGGACGTGCAAGAACTGTTAAGATTATATTTATAGCCTGTGTTCCTCCAATGGTGAGAAAAACATTCTCTGGTGATAACTGGTAAGGAAGATCAGCAGAGAGATGATTTGCAATGGCCCTGCTTCAGGAAATTACAGTTCATTATTACCAACATAAAAATCAAATATTGATTTTGGTTTGAAAATTACCTATAGGCTTTGGAATTGCATGCATATTCATTTGTCGTATTGTCAAATACTTTTACATAAAAAGGAAAAGGAAAAGGAATGTACTTTTAAAATACCATTAGATTTAATCATTATATAGATTTGGCCCTTCAATCACTTAACAAAACTTAATCCACTAGTCATTACAACTGATTACTAAAGAGCATCTACAATACCTAAGCTGATACTAATATCCTATGAGACTTAAGAAATTCTACATGTTTTCTCTCTACAGTGCAATCCTTAACAACTTAACAAATGTCCTATAATTATGTCAGAATATTTAAGAATCCTTGTTTACATTGGTCTTTATTCTAATTGTCAAACGAATTGATCGACCAGAAAAACTGTGTAAGAACTGATTCTTTTAAGTTTAAGAACCCTGCAAGCAACTTTCATTAGAAACACTGAATAGTTACTATTACATGACAAAATAGTTTTATTTGATAGACGAGAGTTGAGAGTGAATAAACCTCTTTGCCTGAGGTAAACCAACGGTGGGAGGGTAACAGTTGAAGTTATATGAATGAACAGCAGTTGCAACAGCATCAGAAGCTTCTAGGGAAGTCCGAAACAATGGGTGGTCTGTAGGATCTACACGACAGAGAGAAATCAAAGGTTTCTTGTCTCCATTGTTCTTCACTCTCTCCATCAACCTGTTATAGACCCCTCTCACAGACACCGATGAAGCATTCACCTTCTTGTTCTCCTCAAAATTCCATTTCTCACTTCTATTCTCCATTTTTTTGGCTCACTATGGTGCCTGAGTTTGGTCAACCAAAGGATCTTAACCTAGCAAACCAAAGGATTCCGATTAAGAATCACAAATGCACTGCTAACTAGCATTTCTCAAAAAATTAGTATTGCATTTTTCAAGTAGTTTACAAACTATTAAAATAATAACTTCCATTAAATATTATAATAAATTAACTTCGCAAAACTTAAATATGCATTTTTGAGGTTATAATTATTTCTTTAATTAATAAAAGTAGATTATGCGTTTAATATATCATGTTTATACATGATATTGTTCGAGTTATTTTGTAGTTTTGTCAAAACTCAAAATACTATAAATAATATGTTCTACGAAAATAACCTTTAAAAGGAATCTATAATTTCTTACCATTTAGAAAGATATAAGAATTAAAAAATTAGTAAGTATTAGTAAAAATTATTTAATGAATAAGTTAAGTTTCAATTTATTAATACAAAAATATGTTAATACATTAATAAAATTGTGAACATAGTAGCAATATTAGGTCTCTTATCAAGCATAATAATAGATCTATTAGAAGATCTTTAGCATGTAGTGTTTAAGTTTTTACGTAATAAAAAGTATATGTATCTTATAAATAATTATATTAAAATTGATTTACGTGATCACGAGAGTTCCTAAAATAATTACAACATCATTTCTAGAAGTAATATTGATTAAAAAAAAAAACGTCTCAAAAAAATTATTTTCTTAATATCACTATAAGAAAATCGCATATTTTCTATGAATTTTTACCGACGATTTTGTAACTCGTCGAAAAATGAGTCATCATCCACAAAAATTACTTATATATATAGAATTTGATCTTATCCGTCGGTAAAATAATAATTAGTTACCGATAAATATATCTAACGGTAAATTAACAATTAATTACCGACAAATATATCTAGTAAATCCGTTGGTAAATTAACAATTAATTACCGATCGAATATATTAGTCGATAAATTCATCGGTAAATTAACAATTATTTATCGATGGATATTTTCGTCGGTAAATCCATTGATAAATTAACAATTAATTACCAACAGATATATTTGTCGGTAAAATTATATAATAATTACTTAATATATTATAATGAATTAATTATTCACCTAATTAAAAAATTAAATATTTTTTTATTTAATAATTAGATTAATTTATAATAATTTATTAAATTAAATAATTTTAAAAAATAAATATTTTATTATATATAAATATAATTTATTTGAAAATTATTATAAAAAAATTATAGTAGTTTAGTGATTGAAGTATCAGTTTCTAACTCTAAGATATCGAGTTTGAATATCTGACAATAACAATTTTCTTAATATGATAATAATTCAAAGCTATAAAAATATAAAGGTACTGATTTTGAATCTTGCCAATAACAATTTTCTTAATATGATAATAATTCAAAGCTATAAAAATATAAAAGGGAGAGAGATCTCTAAAAAAATAGGCTATAAAATAAATAAAAAATGCAAAATCTTGCCAATAACCATTTTCTTAATATGATAATAATTCAAAGCTATAAAAACATAATGGAGAGAAATAAATAATAAAAATATAAAGGAGAGGAGATTTCTAAAAAAATAGGTTATAAAATAAGTAAAAAAATATAATAAATAATATTTTAACCGATCAGTAATTTCAATATTTCTTACGAGTATATTCTCAATATTCAAATTCTCGAATCATATTTATTAAAATATAAATAAATTTAAAAATTATTTGACATTAATTACCAACCAGAGTAAGAAAGATAAAAACATTTATATTTTTATTTTATTTATAAAATAATAAGAATAATATAATAATAATATATAATCCTTGTTTACATAGTTTTTAATTTTTGTAAAATTAATTTAGTTTTAATTTTGATCTTATAATTTTTTAAATCAATCTTAATAAAAATTAAAAACCGTTTATAAATTTATCATTATTTTAAGTTAAAATATTACATTAAATTAATATTTAGTTATAATAATTAAGATATCTTTAAGTTGTCAACTGAAATGTAAATAAAAAAAAATTATAAAAATATAGATACTTATAAAAATTATCCATTGAAACAAAACTTATAAAAATTTCGTATAAATTGTTTACAAATAATCTGAATGTTCTATTTAAAGTAAAAATATGTTATTCATAAGAAATAATTAATAAATAGATTAAGGTGAAAAAAAAATCTTAATAACTTAAAAACTAACTTATTCTGCATTAAAAATTATTTTTTAAACAAGTTAATATGATTTTGTTTTAATTGATAATAGAAAAAGAGGAAAGAGGAGATGAGTAACTTCATACATATATTTTGCAAAATAAATAATAAGATATAACATGACTTCATGGCGTCTTTGCATATCGAAGGTAAAATGCTTTTATCCTGTTAAAGGCATCCACCAAATCAGAAGAGTCCACTGCGAAACTAATTCGAACCCAATTCTTCAGTCCAACACTCACACCTAACATCAGTGTTCATCATCAATAAAGAAAATTTCTCATCATGACATGACTTTATTTTGTTTACTACCAAATCAGTGAAACAAACATTCTTGAAGAAGAAAATCATATTACCAGGAAGAAGAAGGACAGATTCCTCTTCAGCTAGCTTGACACAGAAATCTATGTCATCAACAATGTCCTTAATTTCTGAAAAGTTAATTTTCACCTGATCCATTCAAGTTAGTATTAGTATGTGATCCACTGTTAATGTGATAACATGATGAAAACCTTGTAGCCCTTTGTCACTTACCAACACGGACATGGCTCCTTCTGGTTTGTTAGGGCATGTTAAGCAAGGAATCTCCTTGCATAAATCATAGAATATGTTTGCTGTCTCCCTCAATATATTCAGATTTTTTAAGAAGAAATCATCTTTGGTTTTGCCAATGATTTCAGGTATTGCTGCCTGTAAACTTTCTAGCTATAATTTTTGTTTCGAGGGAAAGAAAATGAACAGAAAAAAGGATATGGGAATGGGAAGTATAAAATTATGAATGCATGTATGCTAATCTATTCAGCAGAAGAAAACAAAAAAGTAATTTTGTAGAAGTATTTTTTATGTTGCTCTTGTATTTTGCTTGTATATGCTTGTTTTCGTTGTTTACCTGCAAGAAGGTTGGAAGGTCAGTCGTGATCTCCAAATAGTTGATGATATTTTTCACCAGCTGATAATTTATCAGTATATCAGTCAAATATCAATATAGCTAAGTCTAGAAAAAGTTTACGCCAGTTTTTATCATCAAAATGATGAGAAGAAAACTCACCCCAGTTTTCTGAAAAATTCCATGAGGGTCACATGTGGCTATCCAACCAGTTCTCCAACCGGGAACTAACCATCTTTTTGATAAAGATCCAATTGTTATGACAGGAACTATTGGTGAAAACACTCCCATGGGGACAAATGGATTGCTTCCATAAGTTATATGGGCATAAACCTCATCAGAAATAACAGCTATTCCAAGTTTTCTAGCAATCTCAGCAACCTACAAGAGTTCAGAAAAGTCATCACATTTCATTTCCAACTCTTGAAAAAGCAAATTCAAGACAATGTGTACCCTTTTTAAATGTTGGTATGTGAACACATTTCCACATGGATTGCTAGGATTGATGAGGACCATAGCCACTGTGTTGTCATCTGCTAGAGCTTCAAGGGAATCAAGGTCAACCTCCCAACCTCTCTCAGGCAAAAGATCAAAGTGTCGAACTTCAAGGTTACAACAAGAAGCACGAGATCCATAGTGCGGGAACCCTGGTCTTGGCAGGAGAATGTTGGCACCAGGACGTGCAAGAACTGTTAAGATTATATCTATAGCTTGTGTTCCACCAAGGGTGGGAAAAACATTCTCTGGTGATAACTGGTATGGAAGATCAGCAGAGAGATAATTTGCAATGGCCCTGCTTCAGGAAATAGCAGTTCATTATTACCAACATAAAAATCATAAATTGATTTTGACTTGAGAATTACAAGATATTCATTTGTTGTATTGTCAAATACTATTATACCGCCAAGAAAAGGAGTACACTTTCGAAAACCATTAGTAATCATTATGTAGATTTGGCACATTAATCACATAAACATCCAAAAACTCCCCACTCTCTTGTTATAAAATGATATAATGATGAAAAAATCTTTGAGACGATGGAATGAAAAATCTCTCTTCAAGTAAGAGGATAATATCAAAGCCAAAACCTTCTTTTCAGATATTATCCTATGTCAAAAGTTGTCCTTTGGTTGTGTTTTGGATTTATATTGGAACCACGCAAAATCTTCCTAAAAAATCTCTCTTCGATGAAAAGAGGTAAGATGAAATTTCTGGTGCACTCTTGAAGTTATAATGTAATAATCATAGAGGAGAATCATCCCTCAAAAGCCAGCCCAAAATATTATCCTCTATGCTGATCTTCTTTTCAGATATTATCCTAAGTCAAAAATTGTCCTTTGGTTGTGTTTTGGATTTATATTGAACCAGGCAAAATCTTCCTAAAAAATCTCTCTTCGATGAAAAATCCTCCTCTTAAAGAGGTACCCTCCCAAGAGGTTGGAGAAATAATTATAAAGATAAGGTGGAGAACCATCCCTCAAAAGCATACCCAAGAGGTTGGAGAACCTCCCACCTTATAAGGTCTCTCTAATAAGGAAACTTTTCCGATGTGAGGTTTGTTACATACCACCCCCTTCGGATCCCTCAAAAGCCGACTGGTACTTCAGTTAGAACCCTACGTGAAAACACCAATAAGGAGGGGATTCCTCAAAAGTTGGTCTTTTTTGCCAGTTAGAACCCTTCGTGGTTAGTCCTTCTCAAATTGGTTGCTTCGTGATTAGTCATTCTCAAGTTGGTTGATTTTCAATGAAAACGTCAATGTAATAATCATAGAGATAAGGAAAAGATTCCTCAAAAGTGAGCTGCTAGTTCAGCCGGCCTTTTTTGTCTCTTAGAACCTCAATGATAGTCCTTCTCAAGTTTGGTTGGCTCTTAACGAAAGCATTAATGTAATAATCATAATAATAACCAAGGGAGTCCTCCTTTAAAAGTCTACCCAAAGAACCTCCTTACTTATAAGATCTTTCTTCATAAAGAGAACTCTCCGGGGCTTGTTATAATAACACTCCCTTTGAAATCCAATGTCCTTGTATTTACCGGTAGTTCACTTGACTTTTTTACCGATCAAAAACCCTCCGTAAATAGTACTTCTCAGGTTTACTGATTTTCAATGAAAATACTAATATAATAATCATAAAAATTAAGGAAGCAACCATCCCTCAAAAAGTCAGCCGAAGAGGTTCGAGAACCTCCCATTATAAGGCCTTCCTGGGGACCTCTCAGGTGAGGCCTTCCTTGGGACCTCTCAGGTAAGGAGACTTACCTCTCTGGTAAGGAGACCTTTCCTACGTGGGGATTGTTACATATACGTAGGAGATGAGGGTTGAGAGTGAAACCTCTTGGCCTGGGGTAAGCCAACGGTGGGAGAGTAACAATTGAAGTTATAAGACTGAACAGCACTTGCAACAGCATCAGAAGCTTCTAGGGAAGTCCGAAACAACGGGTGGTCTGTAGGATCTACACGACAGAGACTAAGCAAAGGTTTCTTGTCTCCACTGTTCTTCACTCTCTCCATCAACATGTTACAGACCCCTCTCAAAGACACGGATGAAGCCTTCAACTTCTCGTTCTCTTCAAAATTCCATCTCTCACTTTCATTCTCCATTCTTTTCGCACACTGTGCTGCCTGAGTTTGCTCCACCAAGGGAACTTACTTCACCAAAAGAAGATAAGAGGTAAAATGAAGAAAAACAAATGTCACTGTTAACTTATCTTCTATAAGAAACTACGCAACACAAGTTGTGGTTTTCAGTTATCTTGTTTTTTAATGCTTTTTCCACTTTCATATCACCCTGAAATTTGATAATAATTTATAATGTTGGCTTTTAATGTCAATTCAAGAGTATGTGTCCCCTTTTTAAACATGATGCTTCTATTTTATCATTATAATGTACGTGACAAATAGTTATGAAATTTCATTCTCTTCAAAATTTTCACTGTTATATATGCAAATTTACCAGCAATAATAAATTTATATAAAGTGGCAGATTTAACTGAATGGGATAATTTATTTTCAAGTATTAATTTTGAATTACGAACATCATGTTTAAATATATAAAATTAGAATGTAATAAAAAAATTAATACTTGATAATAATAAAATTATTACCTCTTTGTTTGAGAACAGTTTTTGAAATATGATTGTAGGACAAATAAAAAATCTTTTTTTACGTTAAAAATATATCCGAAGCTAAACAAATTTATTTAAATAATCATACTCTAAGAATTTTCATATTCATGAAAATAACTTATTCTCTAAAAAGAAAAAAAAACTTGTTACTTGATTTTATAATTGAAGTATGAAACATCTAATTTAGTTGAGAGACAACTTTTTTTTAATAGAGATAATAAATGAATGTTTAAACATACTTCTAGAAGAAAAATTAATAAAAAATGAGTTTTTTTTAAGCTACTAATTGATTTTTAACTCATGCAGAGATTAATTAAGAAATTTCAGGTATGGAAAAAAATTATTATATTTTTTATTTATAAGATAATTTATCATAATAATTATTAAAATAATATATATATATATATATATATATAATTACCAATTAAAAATAAAAGTGTACAAAAAAAATCATATATGCATTATTTATTTAATTTCTATATAAATAAATTAATCAAATCCTCCTATTGACTAAAACAGATATGATAAATTCTATCCATTTATTTTTACGATAGTTAACTATTCGTCTACTATTTTTAAAATTACAAGATATTCTAATCAATCAAACAATTTTTTTAAAACAATTAAATACATGTTCATCTTTTTTAAATTCTTTAAAAAACTAATATTTAAATTTTGTTTTGGAAAGTATAATTTCAATTTTTAAAGAAATAATTATTTTTTAAAATATACTATGAGATTCTCACTAGTGGAAAAATAGTTTTCTATGACGGGTTTTTATCACGGTCGTAATCCACCCGTCATAGTATGTGGAACGGTGGCAATTTTGTAATAAAATCATAAACTTTCTATGTCGAGTAAGTTTTAACCGACATAGTAAGTGGAAAGGTCACTTTCTATGTCGGGTAAAATTTAACCGACGTAGAAAGTATCTTTGATGACGGGTGTTAGGGCAACCGACATAGTATCTTCTGCTCCTCCCGCGCTCCATTTCATTTCATCACTTCCCCCCATAGCAGAGCTCCCCTGTACGTTTCTCCCTACGCTCCATTTCCTTTCATCAGTTCACCCATACCAGAGCTCCCTCGTTCGCTTGTATACGTTTCTCCGCACCCACATTTGCTCGTCACGCCACCTGCCAACGCTTCGTGCCGCCTGCTGCTACTGTTGCCCGTCGCCTGGGATACGTTTCTCCCCACCCAGCTCTGCACGTCACGCCACCTGCCACCTCTGTAGGTTTTCAACAGGTAAGATTTCGTGCTTTTAGCTACCTATGTAGCCAATGTAGGTTTACAGTATTGAATCTAGTAAGTAATAATGCTGTCAAGCGAGGGAAACATCACGGGTGCCTTTAGCTAATTTAGAGATGTATTGTAAGTAGTTTAGACAAAAGATGGTGTCAATGCTCGTTTGGACATGTTCAAAGAACTAATAACTATTATTTTTTTCTTTGAACACAGATATGGCAGATTCATCTGGTACCCCTCCTCCTACACAGTCCCCCTCCTACACAAGGTGGTGATCGAGTCGACCGTCTACCAGGAAAAAGGGTAGGCGTGCTACACGGTTGAGGGAGTTGAATATCGAGCCGCAGCTCCGATCGGAAATTGCCTATCCAGTTTGACATGCAACCTGGTAGAGCCACTGGAGAGCACAGTGCTAGATTCACTAGCTATGTGGCCTTGCTTGGGAGAAGCAAGGTTAGTATTCTTATTGAGGATTGGGACCATGTTCCGAGACACCGAAGAACCGGATTTGGCGAGTATCCTGGTACCTACTCTTACTTGAGCATTTAACATGTATATATATTTAACTTTTTTTGGGAACTTCATGTTATTTTTATTGTGTAGGTCACATATGATGTCCCTAACACTACTTTGTTGAGGACAAAGTGGATCTCATATGCTCGGGGAACGCTGGAGAGGTTTTAAGAGTGATCTGACCAGTCGATACATATATGGGGCATTGAGCAACAATAACCCATGTGACCAGTGATCGCTTTTGGATGAGGAGACATGGCAGGCATTTCGGACTCAGCGATTAGACCCTAGGTTTCGGGTTAGCACATTTGTCATTTGTTTGCAGTAATTTTTTTTAAATAGAGGTTTTAAATTTGGTATTTAACATGGAATGCAACAGGCCAAGAGGCGTAAGGCACAGGATATTCGGAGGAAGAATATCCACCCCTACAGAGTTGTCTCGTGGGGGTTATGAGAAATTGGAGGAGAAGATGATGAAGGAGACTTCTTCAAGTCTACCTTCGGATGACTCCGTTGTGAGTTCTGTCACCCGCCCTTCACGCCATGATAAATGGAAGAGAGCTCTCCAGAACTCATCGTGGAATTACTTATCCGAGCAAACTAATGTTGTTGCTCAACGTATTGTAAGTAGCATATCCTAAACTAATTATATATGTTATACTACAATAGGCATTTGTATTTGCTAAAAAATCATTCGTTTGTGTTGTAGGATGAGTTGGTTGAGCGAGCACTCGGGGATCATTCCACCCACATGGGCGTCGGGATATATTGGCAGTGGCCATTGGTACCTCGGAGCATCCTGGACGTGTTCGTGGTGCTAGACGAGGGTGGGCATCGAGACGATACTTTGGTGCCCCACCCGTGACAACTCCTTCTTTGAGGCAACTTGAATGAGCAAGAGTTTGAGTCCCTCAAACAACAAATTAGGAAGGAGATTCGAGATGAGGTGTACTCGAATTGAAGGCGAGTTATTGAGCTCAATGCGAGCAGAGTTGGCATCTTTGTCATCTCAACCTTCCGTCCCCGCACGAGCGGCATCCCCGATTCATGTCGGCACAAAGGAGAGTTGTGATGCTCCCGATAGAGGGGCAGAGGTTGCTCCTACCGACACCTGCCGACCGTCGGCTGTATGTTGCGGGTCCTCCCGAGCATTTGGTGGCATACGGTACGTATTATATCTTTGACATGTATTTGGTACAGTGTTACACATTATATAGTCTAAGATATTTTATCCTTTGTTTACCTTAGGGAAAATGTATGCATTGGGGTCAACCATCCACCACCGAGTATTGGAGATGATATGATCGAGTGGTGGTTGTAGATGTCCGGATGCTGCTGCCTCAATCCCTATTCCCACCGAAGAGGTTCAAACGAGTGGGACGGGCACTCGGCCATTTTATCTTATGGCCAGTTTCATTAACAAGACCCATCCCAACACATGCACAGGTTGATTTATGCATTGAACGATAGTACTTATTATTTTTTGATAGGTTGATGTATATTAATGTTATTGATTTTTGGTACTTGTATAGGAAGAGGCTGAAAAAGCAAAGGAAGTTGTGCATGAATCACCACCACCACCATCTCGCTTACGACGACTCGGTGCAACTGGCAGCGACTATCGGGACCACTCCCATACGGTTAGATATGCCACCCGAAGTCGTATGCGGGACCAAGACGATCCCTTTTTTCTTACTCCAAAGGGATATTTTTGATCTTCTCGCTGATACTCGATATGTTATGTGTATCGGTGTTGCGGCTTTGGGAATTGTAAGTATATTTACATATTTTTTATATTCTCACTGGTACATTATTTTATAACTTTATTTATTTTCAATGTTGAAGGTATTTACATCGTTTGTGTGTTGAGAGGAAGATCCGCTATCTCTATGGATTTGTTGACCCTGTTGCCATTCGATCAGTTGGGAATAAAGTCGAAGAGGTGCAAACGTACTTAATAGAGGCATTTCAAAATGGGGGCAAAGAAGTCTACTTAGCACCTTACTTGCATCGGTAAGTATACATCTTGTAAATTAATGCACATTTATGTAAAACTGAAATTTTACTAATATTATTGCAACGTGCGGGGTCATTGGCAGCTCATAATAATTGTTCCTCGCCAATTTCTTGTGATTCTCTTGTGTTCATTACACAAGAAACCAAATGATTTGGATATTAGAAAGCACGTAGACGCGTAAGTTTGGTTGTTTTTAATTGTTGTATCATATGTGCACTACTTACACCAAAATTATTTGTCCTTTTGTAGAGCTTTGGAAGCTCACCTAAGGTTGCAAGGTCTTCCATCTCATGCTAGAAAGAAGTTGACGTATATTGCACCAAAGGTGACCAAACACCTCTTACTTGTTGTTCAATTTGTCATTTAAAGTTAATCCGACATGTATTTAACTTGTAGTGTCCACGCCAACCGGAAGCCATGAGTGCGGGTTTTATGTGATGAAGCACATGCACACCATTGTAGTCAAAAATATTCTTGACACGTGGAGGGAGGTAAATATACTATAATTAAGTCAAATATGCCAATTATGTAAATGATTTCTAAATTTGAAATGTTTCAATATGTAGGAATTTACGAGACTCATCTCCAATGAAAATTGAAGTCTTAGACGATATCGAGAGCAGAGTGGGTTTCTTTCCTTTTAAGCATTCAATCTTCATAGGAAATTTAACTTGTAACAATTTAGATAGAATTGATTTAAGTTAGGAAATTTACATTCGTTTAAATAAATGAACTGTCAGGAACTGGATCCGTCCGTACATATATTCATTTCAATGTGTTTCATATGTACATATCTCGTCTGCAATCGAATCTGTCTGTACTCGGATATATATCCGTAGCAAATTTATATATGAACTGTGCATATCTGTCTGCATCTGGATCTGTGGTTATTTGTCTGGAACTGTGATGAATAGGCAGGTCTACTCGAAGAAAGGTAGCATCTGTAAATAAAATGCAGGTATTTTAAAAAAATATAACACTTTCTACGTCGGTTATGTCATTACCCGACGTAGTAAGTACTTTCTACGTCGGTTAATGGCATAACCGACGTAGAAAGTGTAACATTTTATGTCGGTTATACGCATAACCGACATTGATAACACATACAATCACTGGTTCATCGTTAACCGATATACATACTTGGGGTTATAGAAAGTTAGAAAGTAAGACTTTCTATGTCGGTTATAATTTTAACCGACATAGAAAGTAAGACTTTCTATGTCGGTTATAAGTGTTAACCGACATAGAAAGTATTATGACAGGTCAGATTCAGTTATGATCGATCAGATTAGCTTCATGACCGATCAGAACCAGTTATGACCGATCAGGATAGCTCATACAACATAAGACTTTCTACGTCGGTTCCCAGACTAACCGACGTAGAACGTCTTTCTATGACCGATCAGAACCAGTTATGATTGATCAGAATAGCTCTATGACCGATCATAACCAGTTTGACCGATCATAATAGCTCAAAGAAAGTAAGGCTTTCTACGTCGGTTATTAGGATCCGACGTAGAAAGCCCATTTTAACCGATGTAAAAAGTCTTTTCTGCAGTAGTCTGGTCCCTTTTTTTTTGGTAAGAGTTAATGTATTTGCTAAACCACTAAAATTATAAGTCATTATTATTTGTTCAAAAATGATTTCTTAAATTATGTATGATATTGTTAAATATAACTATAATTTAAAATAATTAATTTCATAAATATTTTTAAATAAAATTTAAATTTATGGCATTATTAATGATTAAAATTAATAATATTAAAATATTTTTACTGGTCTTCATTAATTAAATGTTTGTCTTTTTTTTTACATATAATATTTATGACAATCGTAATAATTATATAAGATTTTTGGTAAGAAAAAGAGAGAGTATGTTTTTATGGTATCAATCAGATATCGTGAACAACTTAAACGCATGATATAAAAACTGTTATTCGGACAAATACATGCAATATAACTAAACCATACACGAAAAAAGCGCAGTATAGTCCCACCCACAGCTGATAATTTCCTGATTGTTTTTTTGGGTCTTTCAGCTTCGTTGCTCTCGCATTGCACCTCCCTTCAAAATCTCAAAAAACCACTCTCTCTCGATCACCGGGAGAACCGAACCGAACTCCTCCGCCGCCTCTCTCGCCGTCGCGCCCTCCGGTCACATCGTCCTCCCACCGAAGCAGCTCCTCAATCGACAAAATCAATCCCTAACCGAGGCAACCTTCCCTATTTAGCTCCTCGTTTCAACCTCTGCCGGAATCCGCCAATTAGGTTGTGATCAACCTCTCACAGGTTCGTTACTTCTTATCCAATTCCTCTCTCGCCTTCCTCCTCATTCGGTTTCTCTTTCCAATTCCGCTCTGCTTGCTTTATATTTGCATGCATGCTTTGATCCTCTTCAAACAGCTCTTAAATTAGGGTTTTCACCTTCGGAGAAGCCGCAGTTTCCCGGGAGGACCACAACGGAAGGTTTCTTTCTGTCTGGGGAACTGTAAATAGGATTTGTGATATTCTACGCCGCACGAATCTCCAGTTTTAACTTAAAACTCCCAATCATTATACTCTTGGATTAGTTTCCATATGTCCTAGTATAAGAACAAGGGACTTCAGTTTCTTTATTTCTCTTTCTTCTAGGGTTTGGAGTAATGGAAGTTCCGGTAAATGTTGCATTCCGAAAGCAACAAAGCTTCAAATAAGTTCGCAATGTAGGTGTGTATGCCTAATAATTCGTTTGCACTGGGGACTCGGAACAGAGGAAGGGTTGTTCCCAATCTGCTAGTCTTCAAAGAATCTTTGTGAATGTGTGATAATTTCACCTTCACGTTGCTTTGTATAAAAACAAGGGACTTCAGTTTCTTTATTTCTCTTTCATCTAGGGTTTGGAATAATGGAAATTACGGTAAATGTTGTATTTCTGAAAGCAGCCAGAGCTTCAATTTAGTTCGTAATGTAGGGAGTGGAGGCCTAATAATTCGTATGCGTTGGGGGCTCGGGGGGCTCGGAACAGAGGAAGGGATATTCCCAATGTCTTCCAAGAATCTTTGCGAATGTGTGATCATTTCCCCTTCACGTTTCTTTGTATGTTTCTCAGTTATTGTAATTCATCGAATACACTTTGTTTCGAGAAGCCTTGTGGTGTCTATTTAAAGGAGAAAGCTTAATATTCTTAAGTTAGATATAGGATTCTGCTTATAGGTTATATGCGGTTCTGATTTAGATAGGGTCCTTGGTATAAAGGAGTGAGGGTAGGCAATATTAGGACCTTGGCTGTGGTTGGAACGGGGAAGAGGGTGCGGGAAAGAATTAGGGGTAACAGTGTAAATTCCCCCCAAACCACGAGTTTCTCATTCAGGCGGACTTTTTTGGTGTTACCCGAGTAATTTGATTGATTTTATAATATTATAGTGTATAATGCAAGGCTCTTTGCATGCTTCTTGGAAGTAGCAGTTACAGTCATTTCTGTGGGAGGGCATTTTTTTCCCGTCAACCAAAGTTCTCATTGAAATTGTTTGTTGTTTACTTTTAACTTTTTGACACTACAAATTTATTCTGAGAATTTTTTATGTTTTTTAGTAGTGTAGTTTAAGCCCCTCTGAATATTATTTTTCTCTATTTTGTGAGATTTTTGCAGTTTATTTTTAACATGTGTCATGTAAGCCTCACTCATAATGTCAATTTAATTACAGTTAAGTAAATAAGTTTTGGTAGATGTGAATATTATTTAATATTTTGCTTTATTCAGCAAATCCAAAGTTCCATTCTTTAATTTCTTATATGAACTACTTTATATTTTATTTCGGAAGGATTTTATTAAACAAATTTAGGATTTATTGTTATTGAAAGTTGGTTGAAGTCCCATATTTTTCTCATATCTTCTAAATCTTCTGTAAAATACCAAAGGATGTAGTGGCAGTTATAGCTACAGCATGAATGCCAATCTCCTTATGCCTTTACTAATGCATGAATGACTACTGTGCTCTCTCAACAACCTTGCATTTGGCATGCTGAATTCACCATCTTGTGTACCACATACTTGATTCACTTTTAAGATAGAATTGTGATGATAACATAAAAAGGGACAAACCATTTATTCATATGAATTCTATACTGTACCCATACCATGTTCCTGACCACCATATGAACAGATTTTAGTTATTCGGCATAAAATAGGTTTAATGTTCGAAAAATTGTTTACAAAATTGTCTCTGAAAGGTTGATTTTATTTAATTGTCTATCATATGTATGCATTGTTTGAGGTGTGTTCAATTTGAATGAAGTATAATTTGACTATAGTAGCTAAAAAATTGTTGTCCTGATTCATTATATTTTATAAATAGACTTGTGCATTACGTTGATCACTTGAAAATTTGCATTTTCATGATTTGTGGCATGTAAGAGTTGGCTTTCTGACATAGGGAACTCTAGAATTTATAAGAAAGAAAAGCACAAGGTGCTCTGCACCATACCAAACAAACTTTTATCTGTTTTATCCGATACTGTTTCATAGCTCTCCCTCTCTGTTCCCACCGGCTTCAAAATCTCAAAGACCAGATCGTTCGAAGATGTTGAAAGCCCTTTCCCTACCTTTCCGGATTGCCTCTCCACCTCTCTCTGTTTTCACAGTTGCTTCTGCCATTGTCTTTTTATATGCTTTCTGTGATGTGTTTATTAAATTTTACCCCCAGTTTAGAAATGAAACTTGCTTCAACATGGAAATCAACCATAAATATAGGTTCATTTGATCATATATCCAATGGGCACCAAATAGCTTTGACAACTTTGCATAACTATTAGGCTATCAACATCAGCAGCAGTGCCACTTCTGTTATGTTCTTTTAGAAAATTAGCTTGATTTCATAACTTTTGTCTTGAAATCTTATGTAAAATCTTTGAGAGTTTTTGACTTACAAATATATCTTTGTTTTTTCTTTTGTTATCATTCCCAGATTAGAGGGGCAGGGGCTGTAATTGAGGATGAATTTGCAACAGTCTGGGCAGCCCAAATTCTCCAATGGATATGGCCGCCGAAAATCTGACAGAGAAGGGGCAATTAAATCTGAGAATAAAATCCTGTCAGGCAAATTAAATGCCAGTAGATTGGCAAATACAGGTAAAATTCTAAGCTGCCTAATGTATTATCATTTATATGTTGCCCACATTCTGCATATTGATATTTTTTGTTTCTTGTCACAGGTGCAGTGACTGGCAGTAAAGGTGCCAGTTACGAGAGTCCTTCACACGATCGATTAGTATATATAACAACATGTCTTATTGGGCACCAGGTGGAAGTCCAAGTGAAAAATGGATCCACATATTCTGGAATCTTTCATGCAACAAACACAGACAAAGACTTTGGTATGTTCTGTTGCATTCTTTTACTGGAAAATGTGTTTAGTCCCTGTACTTTCATTTAAACTTGGTTTTAGTCAGTGTTTTTAAAACTGGACAGGTGAAAACATGGGTTCAAGGTTTACAAGTTTATCCGGGATTCAACCGGATTTAATAAAATAATATTTTTATAAGGAAAAAAATATAGGTTACTATAAGTTATAATAAAAAGTATAAATATAAAATACATTTAAGAGTGTAAGATGGATAATTGTTAAAATAATATAAAAATACAATAAAGTAACTATTATTTAAAGTTGACCTAACTAATACGAGTTAAAAAAAGAAGAAAAAACTAAAATATATTATATCTTATATTAAAAATTTTGATCCTAAATATATATATTTTTTTACCAAATCTAGTTCGACTCCAAAAGCCAGCCTATTTTTTTGGTTTTGTCTTGGTTTTTCCAGTTTTATTCCGTTTTAATTAAAATCTGGTTATTTGAAAGCAACATACTGATTTCTAGTCTGGTTTCTGGTTCAATTGGTTGAACCGCCTGGTCTGGTCTGGTTTTCAAAACACTGGTTTTAGTATTTATATACTTTCAAATTGGTGAAATTTGTCCTCCAGCTTTGGAAAATTTGCTTTTAGTCCCTTACCACTAATTTTGTTGGTGACAAAATCACATATTTTCAGAAGTTGGAGGATTGATTTCATCAATTGATATGCACAAAAATTGAAACCAATTTTTTCTGAAAGTATATGATTAAAAATACATTTCACCCCTCTTTTTCGATAGATTTTGGTGATGTTGAAGATATTATCGTTTATTATTTCACAGTTAACTGTAGCAAAATTGATTAGCAAGCTATTTAAGACAATTATGTCTTTTTGGAATATTTTGTTATTACCCAGTTCTGGTAATTTTTTGGATTTATCTTATTTTATTAAGACTTAATTTTGGGAGTTATTGATTAACTGGGATTTGACTAGGGGTTTTTCTAGATCATTATCTGAATAGACTTCTGCTGCTGTTTCATAATTAATTTTACAGGTCATAGAGTATTTGACCTTTTTGCTTCTTATTTGAACATATTATAGGAATCATTTTGAAAATGGCCCGCATAACAAAAGATTGTTCTTCACGAGGACAGAAATCTGGTGCAGAATTTTTCAGCAAGCCCCCTTCCAAGATTTTAATTATACCTGCCAAAGACCTTGTCCAAGTTACAGCACAGGTTTCCTACTTCTCCACTATTTGCACTGTATTTTGGAATGTGGTAGTTACTGAGCTAAAGTTTTTGTTGGAGTGCTGTATACTAAACATTGGTTTTGGAGAATTTAGGATTAGGAGAAGTTGCTTTTAACGCATTGCTGACTTTTTTGCTGATAATATTATTTGTGTTTCAATCATGGCAGGATGTTGCTATTGCCAGGGATGGTTTACCTAATGAATCTCATAATGATATGCATCAGGAAATCATGGTTGATTCATTGATATCTCAATCTCGTAACGTTGATCTAGGGAGAGAATTAAAACCCTGGGTACCTGATGAAGATGATCCACAATGCCCAGAACTGGAAAACATATTTGATGGCCACTGGAATAGGTTGCTTACCTTTTATAACATAATTTGTGAACAATATAAATATCACTTTTCCTAAACTTTAGATTTTAGAATGATATCTTTCTCCATTTTTCATTGACAATATTTCTCCTTCCATTATCAACACTTAATATTGGGTATGTAGTAACAGAAAACAATTTGAAACCAAGAAATAAAACCTGTTTGTAGGTTTACATGTACATCCTGTATTTTTGGATGACCTGGACCCATGTTTCTTGTTAAGGACTATTCCACCTTGCTATGATTCTCTAAACTCTTCGTTTGGGATCTGATTTGAATAAAGATTCTGTCTCTGGGTTTTATAGGTTTTTTACTTGTTTTCTTGTGTTGCCTCAAGTATAGTTTATAGGGTTCTCACTTTCTTACGGGTAAATGTAAAATTCACTTTTCTATCCCATGGGAGCTCTCTATATAACCAGAACGCTGACTTTCTCATCTCAACTTCCTTACTATAAGAAATTGGAAAAAAGGAGTTAACAAACTCATACAACAGCCGAGCTTTCAGTCAATAATCATTTATGGAAGCTAACAAATGTTACCCAAGGAATTATCAAAAGATCACTGGCACACAATTGATTAAGACTATGTTCTTGATGTAGGAAAAGGAAATAGGATTTTTTGTGGTATATCGTTAACTATTCAGAGAGGTTTATTATAATTATTTTATATTCATGTATTTTCACCTTTATTTAAACTGATTTCAAATTTTTCATGGATTGTCCATTTTTGTTTACGTTGGCATTTTTTTGTATTTTCAAAGGGGATGGGATCAGTTCGAAACAAATGAGGCATTGTTTGGTGTAAAGAGTACATTCAATGAGGAACTCTATACAACAAAGCTTGAAAAAGGACCTCAGACAAGAGAATTGGAAAAGCAAGCTTTAAGAATAGCAAAAGAAATTGAGGGTGAGGAAACCCAAGATCTTCATCTTGCGGAGGTTCGTGTGGTTTCAATACTTGTTCTTATTTTTCTTTGCTGCTTGTAAATTTTTGCTGTTTTTTGTTAATTGACTATTTGAATTCCGCAAACTATGTGATTTTTATTAACAGGAAAGAGGCTTTCACTTGCATGAAGACTTTGATATTGATGAAGAAACTAGATTCTCTTCTGTCTATAGGGGTAAAGGTGCTGATGACAGTGGATTTGAAGAGGACGTAATGTTTAATAAGAGGCCTAGTGAAATAAGTGGTGGCAAAGGAAATGATGGAGCTCGAACATTGGCAAATTCCTCCTCCATGGTATCACCTCAATTTATTGTTTAATTATTTACTCTGTAGTGTTAAGTAATTCTTAATCAGTTGTCACATTTCGGAGGGCACTGGTTTGTCTTTTCTTTTTCTGACTATGTACTACTGTTATGTTTTCATATTGATTATAGATATGACCAATGTCATCCCTGCAAGACTTGGGTAGTTGTCATCCATAGAAACCAGTTTTGTAAGGCTACGTCATAAGTGTGTAAATTCTAAGAACTACCATATTTTATGCATCTGTGCCTTATTTTAAGTAAATAGTTTCTTTTAGATTTTCTTGTATTCCAAAAATCTTTGGTTACGCAAGGGATTATTTCTACCTTATTTTGTAATTGCTTATATTTTAGAAGCTATCTCAAAATGTTTGCTAAAGTAAATGATTATTTCTTGAAAATGAGCTGAACCAAACATGTGTTGAAGATAATGGCTCGTTGTCTACTACTTGATTAATGACCATAGAAACTACTTGATTATAACATATTATCAATACTTCTGGTACATGACTATTATTTTGAATTATATGCTCGTCACTAACTTCTGTTTGAACATGTCCTAACAATCTCGAGTCTTATTATGCTTTTAAAATTGGTGCCACCTGAACCTCCAACAGTTCTGAGTCTTTTTGGTAAAAAATGTTGATGTGAAACTGTTTTTTTTTTGAAGTTTTTTCCTTTACTCTCCTTCCTCCTACAAAGTAATTATTTTACTTTCTAAACTTACCTTAGTACTTCTTGTTAATTTGTGTTCAGGATCACACACAATCATCTCAGTCAAGTACCAGTGTGGATTTAAGCCGATATGGTTCTCATGATCACGCTAAGCAGTTAGCATCTGAACTCCCTTCTAAAAGTTCTGTATCAGGGGATGGGGAAAGCAGGTGTTTGTTGCCTTTTTTCTCTTCTGTATATCTTGTTCTCTCTGTACTGATTTGTTTTGTTTTCCAGAATACATCATTTCATACATGTTGCCTTTTTTCATCTTTATCGTAATTTTTGATATTCAAAATCTTACAGGATTCTGGAGAACTCAATTAGTAATCAGCCTGGAGACAATGACACGAAGGAAGAAAATCTGATTGTGAGTTGAAGTTTCTGCATTATCTCTTAACTTGTGTCCGCTATAGTTCTAACGCTCTAAATCTCATTTTTATTCTCTTCATTTTATGCAGCAAACTGAGGATGTTCAACTGTCAAAATCTGAGGGTCTGTGAAATCTTTTTCTTAGCTTTCTCAAATTGAGCGGATTTAAAGTGTTGTGCCTGAAATTATGCAGTTGAACTAATTCATTTTCATTTAAATGATTATTCTGTTTATTATAAAGGAAGTGCTGAAGCTCTGTTAGTACACTTCAGTGATTCTGAATGGCAGCTATCACCTACATTTATATGTATTCCTCTGATCTTGCCAAATTTTTGTGCAGATTCGCGGGGTCCACTCTACTTGAAGAAGGATGGCTCTGATAAAGGGTTATTATCGGCTAATGCCAGCTCCTATGCCCCTTCATCTCATTCTTCATCAAAAACTCATGAAAAGATGGGATCACATGAAGATTTGATTGAGGGTTCAGCATCTGGCAAGGTTAATGAGGAAACAAAATCTGCAGCATCTTCTGGTCCTGCTTTATCTCCAAGTTCATCAGTTGGTTCACTGTCTTCTGAAAAATCAACTCTGAATCCCAATGCAAAGGTGTGAAAGTTCAAGCTTGATTTTTTGGAAAGGATTTATTTTTTTTCACTATCTGATTCTAGTCTTTTATATTTCCGACATATGTCTGAGTTTCCCCTTTCATGTCGTAAGGAATTCAAGCTTAACCCTAATGCGAAGAGTTTTATTCCATCGCCTGCTCGGCCTCCCGCTCCAGTGTCGGATGGTTCTTACTATTTTCCAACTACTGTAGCTACTGTACCAAGTATGGCAGGCATGCCCATGGGTGTTGGAGTAAGTTATTTGGTGCATTTATTGAATATATATAAGTGCATAGTTAGAGATTGGAGTAATTTCCATATAGTTGAATATCACCAGTGTAAAAACAATTATGATTTATGACAAATTGACCTGGTTGTTCCACATATCCATGTTGCGCGATCGTCCAGGTTATGATTAGCAGTTTGGTTGTCCAATCTTATGGTGTTTTAAATTTCTGCTTCTAAATCTATGTAAAGGATAAATATCTCATTTTGCTGATTTGTGTAAAATAGTTTGCAAAATGAGAATTATTGGTTTGGCTTAATATATCTCCTCCCTGCCTTCGTTTTGCTCATGGTTTGCAGATTGGACCTACTTTTGCTGGTCCACAACCTATGATGTATAATCCTCAGGTAGCGCAAATGCCGTCTCAAGCTTATTTTCATCCGAATGCACCACAGGTATAAAGATCACATGTAGTACATCTCTGTTGACTGTTTCGTAAATATTGGTGCTTCAGGGTAATTGCTTAATATCTAATTTCAGTATGGACAGCTGCTTGGTCATCCTAGGCAAGCTTTATACATGCCGAGTTACCTGCCTGTAAGAACTCTCGTACTTCATTTTTTTTAAATCGGTATCTAATTGATATTGCTTATATTATATTTTTCATTGATCTCTATATTCTCGATTCCTTTTCATTTAGTGTGGTTAGAAAACATCATATGTTTTGAACACTGGGCGGATAAAATGATAAAACCAACTATTTCAGTAAATTAATGCATTCACCTTGATTGATGTGTCATGCATGTTGGACATTCTTCCTTGACACGCGTACGTTTATGGAACATGACGCGTCTTCACTTAACACATATCAAACTGAGTTTGAACAATATTAGCTGTAATCTTGTATATAAACTTTTTGGGGAGCTTTATGTGCGTATTAATGTTCTGAGAATCTTAACCCTATATTCTCAAATCAATATTTTACAGGAAATGCCATACAAGGGACGGGATTATTGACGGCTTGGCTATATGCATTCTTGTTGGCAAGTCAAATCCTTGCTTGAAAAGAATAAACAAAGTGGTTGTCCTGATAAGTTTTAAACGAGGATATCTGCAGCTGTGCGAAAATCTCTGAAGGCTTATATTCTATTTGTTTACTTGCCGAATACGCTAATTCTGGGATATAGTTTTATGACCTTGTTTTAACCCATGCATATACAACTTTTGGGGTTTCTCAGGCTTTGGTCGTGTAATACATCATCTCAAATTGACCTTTCCCATCCCTCTTTATTATTCCCTCTTTAAATGCCATGCAAAGTTTACTTCTTTTAACCTCGACTGCCCATTTGTCTGCCACCATTCCTGCCATGGTAGTTTAATTACTGCTAAATTTCTTACTTCCTTTTAATTATTTTATCACTTCACAAATATCTGTTGAGATTGGCTTGGCATGTTCAACGTTAATGTACCTTACAAATTTGATAATCACGGAAAGATATTGTCGCTCTTCTATTGTAAAATAAATATCCCGTTTACAAGCTTTATTAGGATTCTTTGGCCTAAGGGGAAAAGGGGGAGTGCACCATGTCAAATTATTAAGTAATATTCCAGTAGCCATGTACCACACTTTATCCAAGTATATAATTACAATTTTATGTATAATACACTTTTAGTACTCAATAAATAACGCAATGCAGCTTTGTTATAAAAGAAAATTAGTAACTTTTGTCAGAACGAAATTTTCTCTGTTTCGCTCTGTATGTGACATGCTTCAGTTATCACAGTCAGTAGTCATTGGCTCCAATTCAGTTAGTGCTCTTTTTTTCTCGTTTATAATCATAAAATTGTAGTCTCAATTATTTCAAACTACTCTCATATTTTTTTCTCACCCATATATTTGATCTTTTAATTGTACATCTCTTTTGTTCTAGTCTCTTCATCTAAGTTTTAATTCAATTTAAAAAAATATATTACAATTTAAATTATTCTCTAAGTTAAAAAGATAATTTATTTTGAAAATATCTTTTTATTATAATTTTGAATTATATGAAAATAAACAATTTCCATGATAATACACAACCTATTATACCAACTTAATTAAAAAAAATAAAATTCTCAATAATATGATATTTAAACATTATTTCTTTAGAATGTAATAATATATAGTGAAAATTAAGATTAGGCATATTCTTTATAAATAAGATAATGTCTACTTTGAATCTTTCAAAAATATATTTATATTATTTAAAATTTTTATTTATGCAGATGTATCTTATTAGTCTTTACTTTCATAAATGAGAATAAAAAAGATAGTTTCTGTGAAGAAAAAAATCATATTTAATATATTTTCATAGATAAGAAATTAAATATTAAAAAAAATTAGTAGAAGATATACAGTGTTGGATAATTGTTCTTGTTCCATTATGATGAACTTATCCAAAATTAATTTCGGACTATTATTGTTCCTTGCATCATTAATGCAAAAAATAAAGGTAATAATAGCTCTTCCTTAACAAATCCAGCATTTTTATTATGTTTTTTTTTTGGAACATTATATGTAGGATGACAAGACAGGTCAGGTATGGTAGGGTGAGTTATTACTTTCAATTCGTTTTGGCTCATCCCGTCAAGCCCACAAATTCGTCGGTCGACCCACAACTCACTTTAATAAATTTTTTTTTAATATGATACAATACAAAAAGTTAGAAAAATAATATATAATATAAAGATTTATGAAAAAAGAATTCTAAAAGTTTCGAGTGTCTCAACATAATTTATAAAGTCTCGGTAGTTTTATAATTACTTAAACTCACATTACACAAAACACTTTTCTTTCTCTTCTCTTCCTCATCATCTTTTACTCTCTTTTATTGAAAGATTTGATTTAAAATAATAAAATAAAATAATAAATATGATGGGTCAGCCAGTCCTTTGACGGGACGGACCTAGACACTGTAGTCCACCATGACTATAACGTGTTAGCCTCGTCTCGTCCCGCTTTTGGCTGGTCAAAGGCAAGACGGGTTGACCCGTTTTGTTATTCCTAATTATATGATTTTGTTAACACTGAAATTAATTTTAAGCAATTAAAAAATATAAATTTATTTAAAAAGAAAATAACAAAATAAAGGAAGTAACACAATTTTCATATTGAAAACATATTTATAGTAAATATATTTGTTTTCAATTGAATACTGTCATCTTTTAATCGTTTAAAAATAATTATAAGTTTTATTATTATTATTATTATTATTATTATTATTATTATTATTATTATTATTATAATAGTTTAATTTCCATGAGTTTTAGCACAGATTTGTTTACACTATTAGCCCATCAAAATTGTTATATATGAATTTTAGAGTAATTAATATAAAAAATAACAATACATTATAATTCATAATTGAACTGCAATATAAAAACTCTTTTTAAGCTAAGTACATTTTAATTAAATTAATATAATTGTTATTACCATTATTATGAATTTAATGTAAATGAACTAAAAGTATCAATATTTTTAACATTATAATCTAACCACAAACTTATCTCAATAACTACATTTAAAAACCTTAATTATATAATTTTAATTAGTTAATAACATAAAAATTATTTATACTACAACTTACACAATACAGTAACATTATTTCCCCCTCTATCTGTGTTTACCATATTATTTATTACTTCATTACTTATTAGTTTAATATATTAAGAATATTTTTAATTATTTGTTAATTTTTATTAGGTTTCTAATCCAAAAATATATTGTAATTTTGTGTTTGTTTAAGAAGATTTTTAATTATTTGTTAATTTTTATTAGGTTTCTAATCCAAAAATATATTGTAATTTTGTGTTTGTTTTTCTACAATTTTTTTACTTGACTCCTTGAAGTCAATACAACCATCGTAAACGGTTACCTTTTGATGATTTCAAATCAACCAGAGATTAATTTCAAGACTCAAATACAATTTTTAAACATATTTAATTATATATATAGTTTAGGGACCTAATGAAAATTCTCAAAAAGTGGTAGAATCTAATGTATTAAACCATTACTAATGTATTATAAAAAATAATACATCACAAATAAACATGAAACAAATATAATGATATAAAAGTTTTGATTTTTTTTTTAATTGTTGTTTTTTATCATTTTCTCAAAAATTAAAGATAATTTTAAATATTATTTTATATTTAACTTGTGTTTGGATTAATTGAAAAGTTGAATGAGTAAAAAAAGTGAGAAAGAAATAAAAAATAAAATTGTTTGAATTAAGAAAAAAATAATAAAAATGAATAAAAAGTCAACTATATTTATGTATTATTAATAATATTATTTATTATTTTAATATATTTTAGTATATTATGTATTATTATAGTAATAAAAAAAATTAATTTTATCATTTAAAATAATTTAAAATATAATTAATTATATACAAGATCATATAATCAACGATGTACAATTTTTTAAACTTTCATAGCCTTTCTTCACAAAAATGAGAAAATGAAATTTTATTTTAATTCTATAACTTTTTTTCATTAAAATAAGTCAAATAGAAGCTTAAAGTTGTTTTACCTCACTAATCAACCTCTCAAATTACATTTGTTAAAAATAAATAAGTTTATAATTCTTTAACGTTAATTATGAACTATATATAATAGAAAAAATAGAAATATTTATATTATTATTTTAAATTCTAAAGTTATAGAATTATTTAAAAATAACCTGTTCATTTTTAAATTAAAAATATGTTGTTTATAAAAATTAGAAATTAGTAAGGGAGATATTCTTGACTCTATTATTTGTGTTTACATGTAATAGGGGCAAAATAGTTCTCTTCTTTTGGTGAGTTTAACAAAAGAAAATAGGTATCTTCTGAAGATTTAATATAAATTAAGCTCAAGAATTCTTACCTCTTGAAAATTAAAAAAGAAGGAAGCATCATGATGATGATGAGAGACTGTGATTCTTATTTTATTTTTTTCAAACCAGACAATAAAGAATATCAATAGGAAACGCATCATCATAAATTATTTTTAATTCAAAGATATTTTGAAACTTAGATTCTCATTTTAAAAAATGGTTCTCTTTTTAGCATGGTAAGAGTGTAGTTGGTGTGTGTTTAATGCAACAGGGTCCTTGTTTTCATGACCAAGTAGAAGCCACTTTAAGGGTCAAGACTTAGCACCAACGCTAAGAGACCAAAAAGACTAAAACAATGATGCACTCATTCAAGTGTTATGCGTGACTCAGTCTCTTCTAAGCTTTCAAACTTTCAACCCACAAGACATGCACACCTTCTGATTCCTCTCCAATTCATCCAAATTCCAAGGTGTCTCCCTTCTTTGGACCTTTACTTCTTCCTTGTTTTTTCCTTTTCCAACTATATTTACTTTCTTTCTTCTTTCATTGTAATTTTATGGCATGCCTGTGATCTGTAAAAGGGTAGTTATTGGAGCTTAAGATGATGGAACAAATCTTAGATAGATAGTGGCTTTTCTTTTCCAAGAGCAACAACTTACCTGTATTGTATTTTGTTGATTCAAATTGCCAGAGGTGAAGTTTATTAATTTTCCCATTATTGGTTTACCCTTGCTTTTAAGACTGAAGTCCAATTCCATGCACCTGTAAAGGAAATCTAAGGAAAAGGGAAACACATAAATTAGAAAAAGAAAAGGAATAAGAGATTTGAAGAACTTGTTTTCCGTTGAAGCATTTCCATGTTTGAGATTCAGCTTAACTGTTGACTGTTGTTGATTGAATTGAAGAGCACAAAGAGTTCTTCAACACAGATTATTTCCTCTCTGTCTTGCAAAGTAGAATTAGTTGACGAAGACACTGTAGCTTATGCTTGACACGCTGCATGTTGTTTTCTGTAAGGCAATTCAGATATCATGGTTGACGAAGAAGGATAAGTTGATCAAGAGTTTAAATGTTAACCCATGGTTCTTCTGATCCTCACTCACTGTCAGGTCCTTACAAGTACCTTCTATGATTTTTTCTTCCACAAATCTCTTTCACCAATCCACAAGCTAGAGTGAGTTTCTGAAACACATGCACATGCAAGGATTTAAGTCCTCTGCCTGAACACAACTTTTCTAAGTAGTTATCCGAAGTTGTTTGTCCCTTTCATAGAAAATTGTTTCTTTAGAGTTCGGATGCTTACATTACTCCAAACTCTCTCGAGGAGTGTATATTGGCTGCTTCAAAAGTGTGATGACAACATGAAGTTATAGCCAGATTCAGGCTTCTCAATTCTATTTATCTTCTGTTTTCTTTTTTGAAGTCAAGTGGATAATTGTTCTTAGAGGTCGGCATTAAGCCACAGGGTGGAAAACAATGAATTGCTTGTGTGAGAATGACTGTGGTCTATTTTCTTCTCATTCAACATCACCAAGTGTTAGTGGATGCCCATTATGGGGGACTTCTCAATCCAGAAGTTTGAGCTTGAAAGTGGATCTTCTCCCACAACAATGCCACAGGAGCACAACATTGAGTTTTCATTTCCAAGATCAAGATTCATCTTCAACTCAATCCGATAAATCTTATCCTGGAGTTGGTTCAGCACAATCCGGTATTGGATTTGAGCCCTGTCTTTTTGTATAATTCTGAATGCTTGTGCTTATCAGCTAGTGTCTTTTCATTCCTTTCTGCTATAGCTGTATTTATTTCTAACCTGAAACTGTAGCAGTACACTGTACGGTAATAGAAATGAAATGGATTACTATGCATGACTGTGATGTGATCCTATGTTGCTTTATCCTATGTCATTTCTTCCAAACTTGGAAATTCTCTTAGATGGCTTATTCAGTATCAGAAAATTCTTGTTAAATTCCCCGGCTGTTTACATCATATACCATATTGATGAGTATTTCTCTGCTTTGGATTTAGATCAAATGTATGTTCAGCATAGTTCTACTGGTTCAACACTTGGCACAACCGGGGGAAAAACTATTGGATGTGTCATCAGGTCATTTATGGGGAGTCATGATTTCACCTACCCTCCTCCACTATTGGATCACAGCCAAACACTTGTAAGTAGATACATCCTCTAGTTCTTGTGAATGAAGGTATATATGCATATGTTTTCTTAAAATTTGTGTTTCAGGCTCACATTGCACGTCACTATGCTGATCCATGCTATAGCAGCCTAATTGCTTCTTCATATGGTCCACAGTGTAAGGTAATTAGTATCAGTAGAGATTATTGTGCTGCCGATAATTTACCAGCATGCCATATGCTCATTGCTTGAAAACGTTCCTCAGTTTTCCTTTGCATCTCATTCGTTCTTCTCTTGCCATTGCTTTTCTTATTTATCAAATTAATTATTATGGTGGCGAATTTGTCTCTTAGACACCAAAGTTTTCTTTATTATAAATTTTTAACAATTGGAGATGCAATCTTTACCAGAATATTCTTGTTGGCCTTTACATTTGAAGATGAGATTTAACAATTTACTTTCTTACTATTTTGTTTTCATCCTCTTTCAGAGCCATGTTTCTTACCGTTTTACTTCTCTAAATTATTTAATTACCTTGCACAACAAAACCATGACACTTGTAGCATGAAGACGAATTCTGAAAAAAATCTGACTAGATTCCTCGTGTCCAGCCAGTGGAAACTGCTCCTATTCGAATTCCTCTGCCATTGGACTTTACAGAAGAACCAATATATGTGAATTCAAAGCAGTACCATGCTATTCTGAGGCGAAGACATTATCGAGCAAAACTTGAAGGACATAACAAACCCATCAAAGATCGGAAAGTAATAAACGTGTCCATGTTTTCTCTCTACACTTTCTGTTAAACCAAACTAATAACACTGCTATCATGCAGCCTTATCTTCACGAGTCCCGCCATCTTCATGCATTGAAGAGAGCAAGAGGTGCTGGTGGACGGTTTCTCAACACTAAAAAGCTTCAACCATCAAATCTTTTACGTGGAAATACTGCAGAATCTAACATGCATCAAATGCAAAACTATAGAGATTGTGATAATGCCAGAAATATGCAGAATTATACATCTGATGAGGGTGGTGGTGGACCCACTCAGCACCATCTATTTTTCTGCACGTGAATGACTAAACTGGCTTGTTGTTGGACACACCATTCTGCTTGTGTTCCATTGGAAAGTCATCCTTGGCTCATATTTTACGTTGTTTTGTTGCCATTATTGTTTGTTTTGATTTCCCTCGACATTGACATGGACCTATTATTATACACCCTGAAGATGTTTGAAACTGATTTTTCAATAACAATGTTTTTCTATGCTGATGCCATTCTGCAACATGTCTGGTTGAAATTCGTATATGTGGCTTTTAATGTTCGGTCTCTAATACCATGCTTTGTTGACACCTTTGCTCTAACCAATTCTGTAACTATTGACACATCCTATAGCTTCCGATAATTTCTACAGGCCAATAATTTTCCTTTCCTTCCAACTACTGCGTTGATATTTTGGTGGATAATATTGTTTATTGAAATAGAACTCACAATTGCAGTTACCATGTCAAAGGTGGTAAAGTAAAGACAGAACAACTTCTGTTTGCTCCAAAGATGTTAATAATAGCAGTAGCATTAACTATTTCTGAATTTTTGGTCCTTTCTTGGGTTGACGAACTTATCTATAAAAAAAATTAACTTTTCTCAAAAGTTAATATTATCTTATACATAAATTTGTGTAGAAATTAATTTTAAAATTATATATTTTTTAAAAATGGTAAAATTTGTCAAAATATTAACTTTAAAAAGGAAAATTATAGAGTATATATGATCAGGATAAGATGACAGTGGGAAAAAAGAGACATGGTTGCAACTTGCGAACCGGTGGGTCCCACGTTATTTAATCATTGGATGTATAATGTACGGAATAAAATAAACGGAAAGTAAATAAAAGTAAAATCGACGGTTGATAAGCGTGGAACCAGCGAGGTCATAACTTGATTGTCGTGGAGTCGAGCACAGAGGATCGAAGCAAGTTGTTTCATTGTTCATCGTGCTCATGAAATAAATTTCACTCTACTGTACTCAAACGCTGCACATACCATTCCCTGCAACTGCGTTTCTTTTATTCTTCTCTCTCTCACAATTTTGTGGTGAAATAAAGTTGCGTTTTGCATTGCGGTGAGACCCTAAACGACCTCGTTTTCACGGTTACTCGGAATGGAAGCGCGAAGTCGCTCCGTGGAAGACATATTCGAGGATTTCAAGGGCCGAAGAGCAGGCATCATCAAAGCCCTCACCACCGGTAATTTTCTTTTCGATTTCCAATTCCAGTTTCATGCACCGTTAAATTAATTAATTGTTTATTTAACACTGTTCTTCGCGAATACCTATTATTTTTCTTTATTTTTTTCCATGATGGGTTAACAAATTATGGAACCGGAAAAGGTAATAATCATAAATAATGAATTATGGCAAGGGATTGTTCACTGATCTACTGTGGCGGATTCTTTCTTTTTGTCATTTTCGATTGTGAGTGTTACGTTAACCTGCGAGCAGTTACTGTTTCGTTACGACATTCGGTTTGTTGTGGTTTTAGAGGGAAAGAGAACGTGACACCAGTTTGTTGTATTTAATGAATATAATCCCTTATTTCGCGTTTCTGTACCTGCGGGGAATTTCAACCTGATGTGGGTCGCACGTGGCGGATTTTTATCTTTTCTTTATTTATTTATTTATTAGGTTTCAATGTTTGAAGGTTTTGTAATTTTTTTTTCGTACTCGTTTAATATTTTTGGCCTGCTTGTGCTGTTGCAGATGTTGAAGATTTCTACAGCCAATGTGATCCTGGTTAGTTAGTTACCCTGATTTTAGGCTTGAATTGTTTCTTTTAGCGGTTTGCGGTTGCTGGCTCTTGAGTTTTCCTGATGCTCTTGCTTTTCTAGTACATGTACTGAAATTAGGTTGATATGCCAGCAGGACTATTTTGCTTGTTCTAGTGTGTGATTTTCATTGTACCCCTCTTGAGGCTCTTGCGAAAGGGATGCCAATTAAGTGTAGCTAGCTTTTATCTTTGTTATGGAAACTTTGGTCATGTATTTATTTCAATTGACGATGATAATTTGCTGTTCTCTATCATCTGATTGTTAGCTTTGCATGGCCACTTTTATTTTTTAATTGCCTTCTTTGTGATCATCAGTCAATGTAGCTGGAAATTATATTGCGGTATTTATTTCCTTCTATGATTAAACTATATTGCTGTAGACTTTGGATATACGATAGACACTTGTAGAATGGCAGTAGGCCAGTAGGGTTAGTATGGTGCTGGCTTTCCCCATAAGGTTTGTGATTGGTTGCGAGCTTACAGTGTTACATAGTTGAGGGGAATGCATTGTTTTGCCATCCCTAGTCTCATTCTCCCCTAGAGATATTCATGTATTATTACCCTAGCTGCAGAGCTAGGATGATATGAAATGCTTGATACTTCTTAAAAACCTCTTGGCAGTATATTTTTTTCTGGGAGTAAAGATATTATGGAGTTATTCTAGCTGCAAATAAAAGTATGCTATAAAGGTAGAATTACAAGTCATTGTCCATATTAGATTTCTTTCTTTTGTAGATATTTTATATGTGTATGAGCTTTATTTATATGTCCTTTGTTTTATTCTTTCAGAGAAGGAGAATTTGTGCTTATATGGATTACCAAATGAGCAGTGGGAAGTAAATTTACCTGTTGAAGAAGTGCCTCCAGAGCTTCCTGAACCTGTCTTGGGCATTAACTTTGCTAGGGATGGCATGCAGGAAAAAGACTGGCTATCTTTAGTTGCTGTTCATAGTGATACATGGTTGCTTGCCCTTGCATTTTATTTTGGTGCCAGATTTGGATTTGATAAAACTGACAGGTATATCTTACTCTGAGCACAACTCGCATAACTCATGTCAACTTGTAAAGAATTTGGTTTGAGATGATGTTGAAGATAAAGAACTAAAGGAGCAATTTAGGTCCAACTTGTCTGATTTATCATGTTGGTTCAGTCAAGTTCCTGGGGGATGTTTTAATTTTTGTTTTTCCTTTCACCACCCTTCTTACTGAAAGTTTACCTCTTGCTTAGTACAAGCAATTTTCTCCATTCAATAGTTATTTGGCTGCATCACTGTTTTTATCTCAGTTGATTTATAGTTGTTTCTGATTAATCATTGAAGAAGCAGTTTCCCACCATGGAGAAGGGTAAAGATGTTGAAGAATAAAATAACTCGTTTGAACCTTTTCTTTCTGAGAAAAAAAAAAAAAAGTTGAATTCGTGTAAATGGAATATCCTTGTGGACTTCTTATCTGGCAGCCACAATCGATGTTCTTTCTGTCATCATTTAGTAGGCTGTGTATTTGTTCTTGATAGTTGGTAATGTTGTATATGTTTTCTCATGCATCATTCTACTCATGATTTGGAATTTGTAATGCAGGAAACGACTATTCAGTATGATCAATGAACTTCCAACAATATTTGAAGTTGTTACAGGTGCAGCAAAGAAACCAGTTAAAGAGAAGTCTTCAGTTTCAAACAACATTGGCATCAAATCTAAGTCTAACTCTAAAGGGGTAAACTACTTTTTTTTTCCACAAACCTAGACATGACATATAAATACAGTTCATAAATATTTATCTCTCCATGCTGCAAAGGAAAAAATCAGGATGTTTTTCAGGTGTAGGCTGTTTTTACAGAAAGAATTGTAGAAAACTGTCTTGAATTAAGTTCCCTTGGTAAATGATTAAAGAATGTATTACATGTGCTTTAAATATTATAACCAATATATGACGTCTTGGGAAGTATTATCAGAAGTTTTAGAAGTTTAGTAATGGTATCTCCAATATATAACCCTTAACCTAAAGTATGGGAAGCTATGAATTGTGGGATTTTTTTCCTCTTTGCAGTTTTTAATTCTGTTTTACTCCATTTTTTTTTAAAATAAAAAAAAATAGAGAAGTGGTTTGGCATGGTGCATCTGCTAATAAGATGAAACTTGTTATTAAGACTTAGAACGAGAAACATTACGAAAAACTTCAAAAAGGCAAGAAATGAGGGTTGTGTTCAGCTTAACTTCATTTCAAGGTGCAAACATTTAGTATCAACTGTGATGAATTAAACTGGCTGACACTGAATTGGAAAAGAAAAGAAGAACAAGACCATGTAGTTTAACTGATTGCTTTGAGCAAGTAGGGAAACAATTATTTAGATCAAGAAGTAAAAGAGTTCTACCTCATTATGGACCCTGTCAACTGGAACAGTATAACTTTTATAACTTTACCTCTCCAATCATTATCTGTTCTAAAGACTGAGGTGTAACACGTACATTTGGTGATAGGGAGAAAACTTTGGCCTTGCATATTTTGTATTCGTTTTGACCTCACGCATTCAAATGAAAAATGAAATAAGATAATTACTACTGAGGGATGGTTTGAAGAGTGTAAGAGGTCCTAATATGTTTTTTACATTGTAACATATTTAATTCAGCGTATAGAACATTCAATGTGGGTATTCATGATAGTGGCATCTCATGTTTTTAAAGTGCAACAATGAAGTCTGGCTGTTAATGGAGCAGTCACTAGGTTCTATGTAGATGTACTTGCAATTATGTGTTGGAGGAGCTTAAGAATATCATACTTGTATAGGCAGTGTCTGTGTCATCTTGTTTCTGGTTCTATTTTACTCGGATAATTTCGGTTCTTATCTAATTGTTGGCTGGTGGAACAGCGGGCTTCCGAAACCCAGGGCAGACAGGCAAAGGGATTATTACAACCAAAAGATGAGGATGAAGGACCAGAAGAGCAAGATGACGATGAACATGGAGAGACCTTGTGTGGGGCATGCGGCGAGAATTATGGTACTGATGAGTTCTGGATTTGCTGTGACATCTGTGAGAAGTGGTTCCATGGCAAATGCGTGAAGATCACCCCTGCTAGGGCAGAGCACATCAAGCAATACAAGTGTCCATCGTGCAGTAACAAGAGAGCTCGCTAATCAAGTTTCCTTAATGAACAAACTTTGTTCGAGCCTTTACTAATCTGGTTAATATGTTTTTCCTTCTAGATGTAGCTGACGGATAGCTCATCTGTTTGACACATGTAGATTTTTTGTCTTTTGTGTTGGTTGTCTGGGGAAAGTTGTGTCTTTTCCTAAGCCTTGTCCTAGCTATGGATCCACGTCGGCATATGCTTCATACGAATGGGGTAGAAACCATAATCTCCTGGCCACCTTATATATTAAGGAAATGGAAGTGCTACGACATTTGCACCAAACGAATGGGATGCCATTTTAGCATCTTAATTTTAAGTCCCTTTCGGTGTTTGAGAGGAAGCAGTGTTTAGAATTCTAGGGCTTTTTATCACATCAAGCCAGAATTTGACAAAAAACAGAGTCCATGAGGAGGTACTCTAACCTATAACACTCCAAACCAGATTGTTGTCAATAATAGGAGCCTAGAGCACAGAATACTCTAGTCTAAACAAAACACTAACCTATCGAGACTTGCCTGAACAACACATGATGTATAGTATGTTTTGTATCACGTGTAGATGGAAAAGCTAGCAGTTATCGCCTCTGCGTCAATTATAGCGAAAAAAATTAAGGGTCATTTCATTCTGAGCCACTGTACTTATTGTGATAATATTTCGTCAACTTGGAGCTTTGATTGATTCCTTCATTTTCTTGGATGCGTAATTGGGGGATGGCTTTAAAGTGTATTATTATTAAACCCTACAAACTGAACAAGAGTAAATTATAGTCAAGTTTCAAAAGATTCTGAAAACTAGTCTACTTTTGGTTTTAATTCTTCCACTAGCTTTTTAAAACTATTTAAGACATTATATCAATGCTATATTATACTATTTTTTTTGCTAAAAAGTGTTAGACAGTGATCCTTATACAAAATTATTATATACATTACAAAAATAAAATATTTATGTAATTTTGCAAAAGTTTAGATTTGTAAGTGTAATATTAGATAAGCTTTAAATTAACATTAAAATGACAAATGTTGGAAAGTGAAAAGGTAATTAATACAAGAAATTATCAACGACTGAACAAGTGTTTTCTTCTTGTAGGTCGTAAGCTTTTGTATTAAAATATAGAATTTTATAAATTTTGTAAGCAAGTAGGTAAGGGAGGAGGAGTGAGTGCAGGATAAAAGGTGGATGCATGATAATTGGTATCGGTCGAGTCTCACTCCAAATTGAAAACGGAACACACTCCATCCATGGCCTCCACATATCTCTTTCAGTCTCTACCTTTCTCTCTCCAAACCCCTAAACGGGCCTCTCCAAATCCCGCAGCCCACTTTACAATCCGAGCCCAATCCCCCCTCACTCAGAACAACGCCGCCGCCAAGCACCGCCGCCCAGCCGACGAGAACATCCGCGACGAGGCCCGCCGCGTGAATGCGCCCCATGACCACCACCTCTTCTCGGCCAAGTACGTTCCCTTCAACGCCGACCCCTCCTCGTCGGAGTCCTACTCCCTCGATGAGATCGTGTACCGCTCCCAGTCTGGCGGCCTCCTCGACGTCCAGCACGACATGGCCGCCCTCAAGCGCTTCGACGGCGAGTACTGGCGCTCCCTCTTTGACTCTCGTGTCGGCAAGACCACCTGGCCCTACGGCTCCGGCGTCTGGAGCAAGAAGGAGTGGGTCCTCCCCGAGATCCACGACGACGACATTGTCTCCGCCTTCGAGGGTAACTCTAACCTTTTCTGGGCCGAGCGTTTCGGCAAACAGTTTCTCGGCATGAACGAGCTGTGGGTCAAACACTGCGGAATCAGCCACACCGGCAGTTTCAAGGATCTCGGCATGACCGTTCTCGTCAGCCAAGTCAATCGCTTGAGAAAAATGAACCGCCCCGTCGTTGGTGTCGGCTGCGCTTCCACCGGTGACACCTCTGCAGCTCTATCCGCCTATTGCGCTTCCGCGGGGATTCCTTCCATTGTCTTTTTGCCTGCTAATAGAATCTCTCTTGCTCAGCTGGTTCAGCCCATTGCCAATGGCGCCTTTGTGTTGAGTATCGACACTGATTTTGATGGATGCATGCAGTTGATTCGAGAAGTCACTGCTGAGCTGCCTATCTATTTGGCCAACTCTCTCAACAGTTTGAGGCTTGAGGGGCAGAAGACTGCTGCTATTGAGATTCTGCAGCAGTTTGATTGGCAGGTTCCTGATTGGGTCATTGTGCCTGGTGGGAATCTTGGCAACATTTATGCCTTTTACAAAGGGTTTAAGATGTGCCAAGAGCTTGGACTTGTGGACAAGATCCCAAGGCTTGTTTGTGCTCAGGCTGCCAATGCTGATCCTTTGTATCAGTACTTTAAGTCTGGGTGGAAGGAGTTTAAGCCTGTGAGGCCCAGCACTACCTTTGCCTCTGCCATCCAAATTGGTGATCCTGTTTCCATTGACAGGGCTGTTCATGCCATAAAGAGTTGCAATGGGATTGTGGAGGAGGCGACTGAGGAGGAGCTGATGGATGCTATGGCCCAGGCTGATTCCACTGGGATGTTTATTTGCCCCCACACTGGGGTTGCTTTGACTGCATTGTTTAAGCTCAGGAACAGTGGGGTTATTAAGGCCACTGATAGAACTGTGGTGGTTAGCACTGCTCATGGCTTGAAATTCACTCAGTCCAAGATTGATTACCATTCTAAGGATATCAAGGACATGGCTTGCCGCTATGCTAACCCACCCATGCAAGTGAAGGCCGATTTTGGGTCTGTTATGGATGTTTTGAAGACGTATTTGCAGAGTAAGGCTCATTAGGTTGGCATTGCAAGTTTTGTTCCTCCTGAGTTACTCATCTTTATTTGTTTACTCTTAGGCACTACTGTATTGTCTTTTCTATGAGCTAGGTTCGAGTGTTGTAATAATTTGCTTTATGCATTATTATGTATGCCAATCCATATTGGGGCATCTTTAGGGTATTTGTTGTAGATTTTTCTTTGTTGAGCATTTCATAGCTCGCTCCCGTAGAAAAATGAATTGAATACGAGGAGGATTGCGTATTGTTGGCTCTTCACTGGATTTCATACCAACCCCTCAAAGAAAATAATCCCAACAAATATAATTAGAGAACAGCTTTCTTTCATGAAATGTTATTGAGATTAACCATGCAACTCTCTGCAATCTGTGAGAAATAATTAAATCAAGAAGAAAAGAAAATGACAGGAAGGAGCTGCATTGTTGGACTAGGTGATTAAGTAATTGCAAAGAGTATGCACATATTTTACTGAATTACATGAAAGCAGCACTAATTGAAACTGCACACGACGAAGTAGTAGTCAATTTAGATACTTCATCTTGCTCTTTCTACTAAAGATGGTTTTTTCTTTTCCTATTAGAAGCCAAGCAATAGTCAATTTAGATACTCCATCGTTCACTTTCTACAAAAGATGAACTTTTGTTAGTCAATAAGTATATATTTCAAAGTATGAAATTTGCCTAAAAGGCCTTCAACTGTATCGCGTGATATAGGAAAGGAGTTGAATGAAGTGTAGTGTGTTGGATATCTTCTGGTCCCTCTGCTTTCGATTGTGGGAATGTAGTTTACTGCTATTGTCCCACTGACATCACAACAGAAGAATGGCTCTTGCAAATTTGCATCTGTGAGTTGAAGTCGGTGTCTGTAGAAAAGTCAAGGAAGGCAACGGCGATTTGGAATGACATTTTTTTAGTGCAACTTGCACTAGTTATCATGAACACCTATGTTAAACCGTGAAGTATTATATTATTCGCATCCTTCAATTGGCCCATTAAACACTTTAGTTTTACAAATTCCGTGTATAACAAGCATACTTGATGTTGGAAATCTCATTATAAGATGATATCAAAATATAGTATATAAAAATGTACAAATCTTATCTAATATGCGGGATTTATTGGACTAGATTAAACTTAAAACCCACTTTTATAACTTGTAAATTCTCCGCAACTAAACTGTTAGAGAGCAAATGGGTTAGTCTTGGAAGATACTTCATCCAATCTTCATTCACCCATTCTATAGATGCTTATTTACAGTGTTTCTTTAAGTTCAAAGGAAAAATGGTGTTAGTGAGGTGTTCATTAGAGAAACAGTTGTGCAATTATTTTTGTTATTATTATATATATAAATAAATTAATATATACATATATCTGAAATTTAAATCGGCTAAGTTCAAATTATTACGTCATTTATATATAACTTAGACTTCCAGTTATACTTAAAGTTATGGGCAAGTAACCAAATATACTTAATATACAATTTAAGATACTTTTGTTAGATATCTTATATTGAAACAATTTCACTGTTTTCTCCAATGTCACATCTTACGCAAGTAATTTATGTATAAATATGTTTCAATGATACAAAAAATTAGATTAATTATTATTTTATTTATATATTTTTTCAAAGTAAAAATATTATTTAAAAAAAAACTTATAATAAAAAATACAAAACTTCTTTCTTAACTTATTTAATAAAAAATTAAAATGTTATATTTTTAATAAAAAATAGTATACTGGTGTATCTTTCTTAAAATATATATTAGAGTTGCAGAAGATTCACCAAGTAAAAGTTATATGTGATGGAGTTATAAATAGATAAAAAAATGTTGGAGAAGTGAAACTCTCACGAATTTTATACATAAATAATATATTTTTAAAAATTATTAAAATAGAGTTATTGTCAATTTATTTATATTTGTTTATTGTTTATACAGAGAATCTGATTATGTAGGTGTGATTCTTCTCATTTATTTTTCTCTCTTTGTTACTTTCTTATTTTTCTATGTTTCCCTCTTCCGCTTTCTCTATTTTAATAAATAATTAAATATTATAACAATTCTAATAATCTCCATAAAAAGTTACATTAATTATCCTTTAAATATAAAAATATAAAAAAATATTTTTTGTATAAATTATTTAATAAAAACACTAATGTATATTTATTAAAATTACATTTTTAAGATTTTAAATTTTATTTTATTATCATTTATCTATAATTTTATTGGAAAATAATTTATAACAAAACTAATAAAATTATTTAAATTTAACATACATAATTAGTTAATCTTTTAATGCTTTTAAATTAGTTTATTTGAATTTTTTTATAATATTTTATATTTTTACAATATTATGTGTGTAATTTATTATTTATGTCAAAATGTAAAAATATTAATTTATTTTTCATGTAATTTGTCAAAAAGTTTAATTATTTTAGTTTTATGGTTGATTTTTAAAAATTTTACTTTAACATCTTAATTGTGTTATTAAATTTCAATTTAATAGTATTTTTATACGATATGAGAAAAAGAAAATAACAAAGAGGGGAGATGAGAAAGGAGAAAAAGAGAGTGAGAGAAAATTAGAAAAAATAATCAAATAAGAAGAGAAAAAAAAGAGATGATGGAGTGAAAAAAAAAAGTATTTTCTTTTATAATCTTATTTTCTATTATTAAATTCTAAACATAAAAAGTGATCGAGACTTATTAATTAAATAAATTGACAAAAAAAATATTTTATTAATTTTTAATTATTCAGAACAACTCTCTGAATGAATGCAAAAATCAAAGGATGGAGACTCTTATATTCAACTTGGTCCAGTTTTGGGTTCTGGTGAAGAGCGTAGATTGGAAGTACCAATCCCCTGCTTCTGCTCCATCCTTAAACCTGCTCTGAACCTTTCAATGAAAGTATCAGCTTTGGTGTCAACATCAGGGCTAGGATCATAGAACAATAAGATTGCAGATTCTCCACCATCTTCACTTCTTGCTGACTCCACAACTTCATCTTCTAAATCTGAAGAACCACTACTAATGCTATTTATTCTAACAAAGTCTCCCTGAACCCGGAACTTCCACGCCGGCATCTTGAACGGCGGCGGCGGCGGAGGTGTAGGGATCAAAGGTGACTCGGTACCATTACCAGTGACAATCACATTTTCCTCCGAGAAAGTCTCTCTCTTGTTTGATGTAAGGGAAGGAGTCACACTCCCACGAATCGGTTCGGTTTTGGATGATGAAACGTGCGAAGATGAAGCAGATTCAAGTTTTTTCTTCTTGCTTTTCTTAGAAGGAAACAGATTATGAAAAACTGAGGACACTCGTGGATGTGAATGAGGTTCAGAATTTCGAATACGCTTAAGATTTTCAAAGCTTCCTTTTCTTTGTTTCTTCTTCTTTTCTTTCGAAGATGTCAGCAACTCTTTAGTTGCACTTGCTCTCTTATTCTTACTTTCCAGACTCCTCTCCGCCGCCGGAACTGGTGGTCGTGACGCCGGTAGCGGCGGAACCTCTTTATCAACCACTTCAAAATTCTTGACGCTCTCTTCATCCAAGTCAAATCCACGGTAACCGTTAACGTGTGTGTCATCATAAAATCGCCATCTTTCATCAGCGGCGAGCCACGGCGACTCTTGGCGGAGATCCGGGTAGGAGTTGAAACTCCTGAGCCTGTTATACGATTTATATGGCGTACGATCTGACTCCTCGTACCACGGTTGCGGTGTTGTAGGGTTTGGTTTCTCGTACTGGTGTGGCGTGTCGGAGAAGCTTTCGTCGGTGTTGTTCCGGCCGAGGAAGCAGCAGAGAATGGCGAAGAGGATAAGCACGAAGTTAAGGGAGTCCCAGCTCTTCTTCACGGAGTTGGGTTTGAAAAGATGGTTGGGGAGAGAGTGCAACGTGGGAATTATGACCAACGTGAATGCAAGTACAATCACCAGAACGCACACGACAAGTGCACCGGAGCTGAGAAACAGCGAGTACGACCGGCGGTGGCTTCCATTCTCCGTCCAGAAGGTTTGCGGCGCGTCTTCTTCTTCTTCTTCTTCTTCTGCTTCCATTTGGTTTTCGCGTAACGTGATGAAGTGATCGATGATTTTAACGTTCGTAAATGTTCTTCGTAATCGTCGAGCACAATTATTCCTTTTGTGCTCTTTTGATTGCTTATATAGACATAAACACGCGATGATTAATTACTATTCAATTATTTCATTTTATGACATTTTCTTCGAAATGGTCAAATTTTAAGGCAAAAAAAAAAAGTATTTTTATTTTATGCTTACATAATTACAATGATCAATCATTGGACTAACTCAATTCATGCCATTTCACGTAATCACGTTGCTTCTCCATCAAGTTTATAATAATATTATTGCAAATTAAATGCAAATGATTTCTTTAAACTTTGTTTTTCCCACCACGACCCAGATTTTGCTATTAATATTGTACCTCTTGGTGTTACTTCTGGACATGGCTTCCATAAAGACAATAAAAATAAGTTTAATTAGTTACGTTATAAACCTCATAATACACTAAACTTCCTATAAACCTCATAATCTTATTTTTAATAAAAAAATAGATATATATATATATATATATATATATATATATATATATATATATATATATAAACCTTCTTTCAAGCAAACTCATTATATTATCGCAATAATATTAATTATTTGATTCCTTGTATAAAGGAAAACGTGTTATGTAATGGACAGCTTGTGATTTTTTTTTATTATTATTATGTTAAAAGGAACCATGGTCTAATAAAATTGAAGCATGTTCCATTCTTTCGCAATAAGCCTTCATTTTGTTACGTTTTGTGCAGGGCATGTTTTCTGTATTTAGAAAAATTAGCGTCTGACTTAATCTTTTAGTCTATGATCCTACATTCTTTTAATTTTCCTTTAAATTTAAAGTCTCGTTGTAAAAAAAAAAAACTAGGTTTTTTATTATTCTTGCTACAGAAAATGTTTAAAATAATTTATATATTGTGAAATCATTTACGCACTTAATGATACACTTTATTGTTTAATTATAAACGATTATATATGATTAGATTACCTTTTTATTAATGAAAAACTATTATTCGTTATATTGTTTTTTTAGAAACGAAAAATATGAAGAATATATATTTTTCTCGTTATGATATAAAAAATTAATAATAGTCAATGAAATTTTGTGACAAGACAATTGAAAAGTAAAGAGGTTAAGTTTCGTACTTCTTTTTCAAGAAAAGGAAAGCAACACATAAGAAGAATCCTTCAATTACATATGTCATATTCATAATATTATATTCTTTTTATTATTTAGCTTATATATAATAATAATAATAATAATAATAATAATAATTCTTGAATATAAATAAGAACAAAAATAATTTATATATATTGATATATTTTTTATTTATTTTAGATGTTATTAGAGATAGTTATGATAAATTAAAATTATAGAAGGAAAAGAATTTTAAATGTTACCAACTGTTGAACTATTCGGGGAAGGAAGAAGAAGTTAATATACAACGGGATTCAGCTGTGTTCCTGCTAAAAATAGTAATTAGGGTTCTAAACCTCGGAGACCGGAATCAATGAGATAATAATAACCATATTGATTATTGAAGTCTTGGATTTTTGTGGAATAATCAACGTCTTGATTTGACCATGGCTTCAAATGCAGGAGAAGGAGAGTCCACCTTGATCGCCATTGATATCGATCGGAACAGCCAACATGCAGTCAAATGGGCTGTGGAACATCTCTTGAAGAACAACTCCCCTTGCACCCTAATTCACGTCACAACGAAAAACTTACATCCAAGTAGGTACCTTTCTCCTCTGCAATTTCATATTCCACGAAGGAAACAATGACGAAAACAGTTTAAATTGTTGTATCATCTCTGGATAAAGTTTTGTTCTTGACTATATATGTAGTAGATGATTTCGAGGTTTTCCCTAAGCAAGGTCGTCCACCAACAGAAGAAGAATCGCAGCAGTTTTTTCTTCCCTTCCGAGGATTCTGTGCTCGAAAACGGGTGCGTAATGGCTATGAAATTATCACCTTGGCTATAGTTATGAAAAATGATGATGAACAATGAATATTTCAGGTGGTAGTTAAAGAGTTAGTTCTGCATGACATTGACGTATCAAACGCTCTTGCCAATTTCATAGTTGACAACTCTATCAACAACGTTGTTCTTGGTGCTTCTCGCTCCAATTCTCTCATAAGGTCGTTCTCTTTTCTCATTCTTAATTTTCATCACTGCTAGGTAGAACATTGCACCAATAAAATAGTGTCTTCCTAAATGTTAATTAACCACAGGAAATTTAAAGATGTAGATCTTGCAGCAAGCTTAGTGAGGTCTGTGCCAGAGTCTTGCATGGTGCATGTTGTATCAAAGGGAAAAGTGCAGAATATTCGACCAGTAGGTCATTCTCAAACTATTAGTATTTCGCCATTAAAATCTCTAAAAGGGATTAGGGGAAGTTTTCGTTCCAAAGATTTAAACAGGTATGCGTCAAGTTTTGTTCTTACAACTTTCATTCTCCTTGCACTTTCTGTGTTCACAATCTTTATAATTTGATGTAAAAAAATTCTTACTTGCTTGTTAGATGTTCTTATATTTTTTACTCAGAAAATCGTTGAAGTATAAATTTTGGCAAGGCTCGAACAATGACGAGGTATATGCGGTCACACCACACAAGACTCATGGAGCGACAACTTCTCCAAAACCATTGGATGAAACTCACACCATACAAAATTCACCCGATCAAATGACTCCGATATCAAATGAAAACCAATTTATTGTCGATAAATCAGATAATCACACTCGCAAGAGCAAATTTTGTAAAAAGTCCCGAGTAAGTGATATCACATTATTATATAGTTTTATATGAGACAAATACTTACTTTTATACACAATTGTCTTCCTTGTAAAAACAAAATCAAACTTTCTTTCAATCTATTAGTTGAATCCACTAATTGAATTTGAAACAACATAAAAATTCAAAGTGATTAATCACATAACGAAGTGTTGTTAGTGAAATATGATTTTGTGTGATATTTTTATCTTTCTTATCTAACCTACTTGAACTTTGCATTGATCAACAATTTGATCATTTAGTTTCAAATTTTAAATCTTATATTACCTCTTGTATTTACACTTTTTTTTTTTACTTTATAAATGCGTATTTGATTATTTTACAGAAAAACACGAGGAACACAACATGTAAATTAGAACTCGATCAAGAGAGAAAAATGAAGAAGGTAATGTCATATTATAAATTTTACCTCACTCTCTTGCTTTTAACATAATTCACCAAATGGAAGATTTTAAAGTATTGATATTTGTCATTTAGGCAACAAAGACTATGCAAAAAGAGGGAAACTTAGAAAAAGATAAGCTTGTTGAAGTGCCTACATTAACATTGACAGAGATGGAAAGAGAAAAACTTGAGACAACTGTGAAGTCAGTTGAAATATCAAAACAAATGGAAGTAATGGAAAATCACGAAGAAAAGCAAATTGAAGTCGTGCATGACAAAGAAGAGGGGAATAAAACATTAAACGAAAGTGCACACAATAAAGTTCAATTTAAAAGATACCATATTAATGAAATTGAAGTAGCAACTAATTACTTTGACAATGACCTCAAAATTGGTGAAGGTGCATATGGACCTGTTTTTAAGGGAGTGCTTGATGACATTGATGTTGCTGTTAAGGCCCTGAGACCAGACATAACCCAAGGGGAGAAGCAGTTTCAACAAGAGGTACTTATAGTTTCTTTTTCTGAAAAACAGGGAGAGTCATGTTACATGAACATTACAATTTAACCAAAATTTCACTTCAGTTTCTTTTTATTTGACAAGAAAGTTGTAATTACTAATTATTCGGTTCATGTCAGGTTAATGTTTTGAGCACGATAAAACATCCAAACATGGTTAAACTTCTAGGTGCATGTCCAGAGTATGGATGTCTTGTGTATGAGTACATGGAAAATGGTAGTTTAGAAGATCGTCTTTTCCAAAAAGATAACACCCCAACAATTCAATGGAAAGTTCGATTCAAAATAGCATCAGAAATTGCAACCGGTCTTTTGTTCCTTCATCAGACAAAGCCTGAGCCTATTGTGCATCGTGACCTCAAACCAGCAAATATTTTGTTGGATAGTAACTACACAAGCAAGATCACTGATGTGGGTTTGGCGAGGCTAGTCCCTCCTAAAGTACCCAACAAAACCACTCAATACCATAAGACAACAACAGCTGGTACATTTTGCTACATCGATCCAGAGTATCAACAAACAGGACTATTGGGTGTAAAATCAGACATTTATTCATTGGGTGTAATGTTGCTGCAAATTATAACCGGAAAGCCTCCTATGGGTGTGGCTCACCTAGTTCAAGAGGCGATAAACAAAGATAGATTTTCAGAGGTTCTTGACCCAAATGTCACTGATTGGCCTGTGGAAGAGACTTTATCATATGCAAAGTTGGCTTTAAAGTGTTGTGAGATGAGAAAACGAGATAGACCAGACCTTTGTTCTGTCATTTTGCCAGAGTTGAATCGACTTAAAAACTTGGGAGAAGTAGCCACTAACATTGATTGATATTGTGTCTACCAAACATGTAAGGGACTGACTTATCTTTTTATCAAAACCTTAGTTGATTGAAACTACTATTTTGCAAAAGCTCAACATCATATAAACCAAGATTTTTTTACTAGATGAACAACAACTTAAGTTATTCTAGATGCTATATTTTCCTCCAAATTTGTGTTCCTTTGATAGCATTTGCCAAAGATTAAGCTAGACAAAACTATTATGGAAAGCTTTCCATGTCATGTGAATTTTTGTCAAGTTCCTCTCAGAATATAATTTTATATGATGTACATTTAGAAGACAAATTAATAACAATCCTAACATGGAAACAGAAATTCAACATAAATCCATATAAAAAGGTTGCTTTTCAAAGAAATGAGGTCTGAATCAAGTCTTATTTTAATTTTTCTGTTGTTAGTTTTCTTTAATCTTACGTGAGAATTCTAGTTAATCAAAACAAGAGAAAAGGAAAATAATCGTTGTCTAAATTTTCATATTTTCACTCATTTTATATGATATATCTTCTTATATTTCCACGTATCATATATCTATAAATTTTATCATTATATCTAAAAAATATTTATTAAAATATTTGAATTATTATATTCGTTATATTTATTGATATAAGAAGTGTATTTGTATTTTCTATATTTTGAGCTATTTTATAAGCTAGTCCACAAATTAATAAATATTTTACACTGGTTACTTTAAATACATTTTAGATAATTTGTATAAAGAATTAATCTAATTCTTTTATATTTTGTATATCTGAACTCAAAAGTTCTATTAAGAATTTCAAGTATAATTATAATTTTTTTTTTCAAGAAACGTAATTGAAAATACTTGGCGAGAAAGAAGGAAAGAAGTTTCTCGTTTCCGGTTCGATCATGAAATAAAAATCAAACCCAACTGGACCGGATCTCTAACGAGCCGCCATACACTAATTCATAACTCTCGAAACAGCGGCCTTCGTTCTTCTGCGACTCTCTCTGATTCTTTCCTTTCTTTCTAAAACCCTAACCCTAACCTCCACCGTCTGGAAGCCTCTCCAATGGCGTACCAGACCCCGGATAAAGATTCAGGATCCGATCCGAAGTCTCCAACGCGTCTCTATAACCCCTACAAGGACCTTGAAGTCCCCATTCGCAACCTCTACCAGCTCCCGACCTCCCCTGAGTATCTCTTCGTCGAGGAGGCTCGCCGCAAGCGTCGATCCTGGGGGGAGAACCTCACCTTTTACACCGGATGCGGCTACCTCGCCGGCGCCGTCGGTGGTGCCGCCTCTGGCCTCGTCGAGGGCGTCAAGTCCTTTGAATCCGGTGATACCACTAAGCTCCGAGTTAACCGCGTCCTCAACTCCTCCGGCCATGCCGGGCGCGCCTGGGGCAACCGCCTCGGCGTCATTGGCCTCCTCTACGCCGGCATCGAGAGCGGGATCGTAGCAGCGAGGGACACCGACGACGTCTGGAACAGCGTTGCGGCGGGACTGGGCACTGGCGCTCTGTATCGCGCCGCGAGAGGGGTACGGTCGGCGGCTGTCGCTGGTGCCGTTGGAGGCGTTGTGGTTGGAGTCGCTGTCACCGCGAAGCAGGCGTTGAAACGCTACGTGCCTATATGAGAACGACACATTTTGTGAGCACTTCATTTTTCTTCTCTTTTGGGGGGTTACTATCAATTTTGAGCTATTGTTGGGTATAAGCATTAATATACCGTCATGTGGCAGTATTGCCGTTGCAAACAATTGGATTTACTGTTATGCATTTTTTTCCCTCTTGATAATGGCTAACCTTTCTAATGTAATTTGTCGAATCATCTTGCGTGAATAATTGAGCCGGCTATAATGCTGGATATATAGCATCAAAAATATTGTTTCTCTGTCAATGAATGCAAATCGAGGAGTCTGTAAACGGTGTCACAAAATATGTTGTGGTACATGATCTGATAGAAGTATTGGTTAGTCATTTTTGTGCTTAAAGAATCCCGCATCATGCTTGTGTTCGATTAATGAATTCAGGGGATATGCATTGTATACTCTAATACGATCTGTGATATTAGACCAATGAATTGTGTGCCAAGGTTAAGTATAAAGTATGTATCATTTGGTGATTTCTGGTGGAATATCATTGGTGATTTTTTGTTTTGTAAGTGTGGTTATACTTGGTTTTGTGCCAGCAATTCCTCTTTATATCTTGGGAAACTAGTTAGTGTATTGTGTTCAATCTTTATTTAAATGACTATTATGTCATTTATTCAGCTAATAATTTGTATGAAAGGAGACGTGTTCTCTATATGAGTTGTGCTGTTCTATTCTGGTTTGGCTACATATTATCTGATGACGCTATTTCAATGATAAACCACTATTAGGGTCTGCAAGGAACATTTTTCCCGTTAAAAGAATGTTTGCACAAGTAATTATTGTTTTGCAGAATTCAGTTGGCAGTAGATGTGATGTTTTGCTTGAACTTTGTCATCATTTATAGATTTGCTCTTTTCTATGATACACTGATACTATGTGTATCAGATACAGCGATATGCCTGTCCTAAAAATAATAGGATACAAGACGAGTAAGAGACATATTTTAAAATGTATAAGAATTAAATCATAATAAATATATAACTGCAATTATGCAAATCCAAATTAAAATCACATTTCTTAGATCTGAACGAAATAAAAAGTTATACATCATTGTCATTATAAATTACTTTCAATTATTTATATATAAGAATAACACTATCATTCTCAATACTTTTTTAAAACAATATTTCTATGTTTCTTTTATGTAACGCATACTTATATGCTTTTTGTAGTTTTATAGGATATACATATTTTAAAAGTTTGGACATGTCATCAATACGTATTGGTATGCTCTAAATGTAACGATATTAGATATATTAGATATGTGAAACAAATAAAAGTATTAGTGCTTCATAGGTTTAGATATTTCATCTGTGTTTCATAGGTTCTTCCATCCTTGTAGTTTAGCTTTCAAAGACATTCTGATCTTGTCATGTAAGAACTTCAAATTGTTAATGCAGCCCTACACTTATGACGCAATATGCTCATGATCAAAGCTGGGATACTATTAACTACCCCAATCTCTTACATCTTAATTGATGCTACTAATTCTTTTGCTCAAACCATAAAAATAGTCATTGAGCTTTTCTGTGTGCAAATTACCTATTATGCCTGCTTTCTGGTCTTGCTAGGTGTTTTAGGTCTAGAATTGAGTGAAGATAAGTTTCCGAGCATATAATTGTGTTGGTTGGTTTTCTGTAGAAGGGATATATATTGCCAATTAGCACTGAGGGATTTCACCCCTTAATTTTTTCCTTCAATGTTTTATTTTTCTCATATCTTCAGTTTCCAGTGTATCCATCCGATAGACCTTGACATTTGGTTTCTCCAACATAATAAAAGTCTTAACATAGAAACTAACTAAGGTCAGCCCTGTGTTGGTGGGTGTAGGTTGTTTGCATGGTGTTCTAACTTTCCAAGTTTAAACCCTATGTGCCCGTTTTTGTACATACTTATATAAAAACTATTTTGACATGGCCCTAAAGATTTGAACTCCCACAAAAATAGTTGTTATTTGCTTGCGTTTATGCTGAACATCTTGTTTTATACCGAAGTTATTGCCTTTGGGATTGGACTTTTTCTTCTGTGAATGAAAAGACAAGGCAGAGGAGGGTGTTTTATATTTGCTCTCTTTCCTTGAAAGTCATTCTTCTTGCCCTGGATTCAAGCCAGGTCCAAGGATGGGGCAGGGGGGTTTGAAGCACTTTACATCTGTCTCTTTCCAAGCAGTCTTGGTGGGATAAACCTTCTTCCTAGCTGCCCGCCACTGGATAAAGGAAGAGTCCCAATTCTATGACTTTTAGTTTAAGAACTGCTCTCGCCCCTGGATAAAGGAAGATTCTCAATTCTATCTCTTTTAGTTTAAGAACTGCCCTCGCACGTAGATACCCATCTTAGCAAGCTATCAACTGTGGTTTGAATATTCTGAACTTCATTTTTATTGCCGAAGTTTTTTCATACATTCATATACTCCTTTTCCTTATTTGGAAAAGGCTTTGGTGGTTTCTACTTGTAGTATTACATGACTTGATGAATGGTTTTGATAATCTGGAATATTGACAAGCCTGTGTGATTTTGTTACTGTATTCATTAGTTTTGATCTTATTGTCCATAGAACTAAATTTAATCGTCCATAATATATGATAGTTAAACATTTTGGATTGCCTGAAGAATGAGGAAAACAACCAAGAAAACAGAATATGATAGAAAAAATTAAGGCCATGTAAATGCCATCTTTACCTTTCTGTTTGTTCATGGGATCTTAAATTTCATTCTATATTTTCTTTTTGTCTCGACCAATTTGTTCTCAGATTTTTTTATTTTTTTTTTTTCACATTAAGTGCGTAAAACACAATTGCGATGAACCACTTTCAGTTCTTTAGTTTCTATTTACTCCTTTACTTGTTGGTGATTCGCTCCCATCATTTTTGTTTAGTTTTATCCATACTTGATAACGCAGCAATGCAGAGCCAAAATTTACAAATCTTCCTGGAGAAATTAGAAGTATGTATCTATGTGGCCTTTCCTGTCACTTGTAAGAGCAGAGTCTAAATCACCCTTATTGAAAAATTCAAATGCTATTTTTGTTCAGACGTAAAGAAATAAACATAATTGGTTACGGACAGTTACAATAACACTGGAAAGGAATTGTGATGGAAGCCATCTGTTTATTCTTATCACAAGATGAATTTTAAGACTTCCAAGTTGCCTCCAATTGCACCTGAACTTTATGAAGAAAATATGAAAAGCATATTGAAGGATGAGAAAGAACAACATTTAAAAAATAAAATCCTGATTTCACTATATTAATGGACATTAGTACCCATAGAAGCACAAGACCTTCTTGGTACACTGCATGTACTTTCAAAATATATAACCCAAGTAGACCGCAAGGTCTGAAATGCAAGACAGAAAAACGATGCAAGAGTGTTTGTTGGGCTTTTCTTCTCTTGAATGGTGGCCCAATTTCAGTTCTTCAAAATAAAGATCAAGAGAAAGAAAGTTTCAAAACATGTGAGATTGCTGATGAAGACGATAAGGTTACATCTTTTTGTTTATCCAATTTGTGAAATCGTTCAAGTTTGTGCGTTTTTTTAAGAAATGTTGGACTTTTCCTCTCAAGTTTTGGCCCAATTGTCCATTATTAAAAAAATAAAACAGGGAGAGAAAGTTTCAAAACACTTGCAATCATATATAGAAGTTCTTTCTATAAACTTAAATAGAATTTTTTTATCCGCATATAATAAAATTGAATTAAATAAATAAATTTAAATTATTTCATTTTTTATTTATATCATTGTTAAAAAATAATAAAAATATTATATTTATAGGATTAAAAGATTATTTATTAATTAATAATTTATATAAGTTTTTTTATTGGACATTATCTAATAGCCTTATTAGAGATAACTTCAGTAAAGTCAAGTATGAAAGTATCAAAATTTATCTAAGTTTAATTTAATGAAGTATCTAAAACTATGTTTAAGATTTAAAGTAAATAACACTTTTAATTTATCAAATTACACTAAGATTCATCTAATTTTAAATTTTACATAAACGTCTTGTTTTTTTTTTAAATAAAATAAAAACTTATATATTGTCGCCAATTTTATATTATACATATACCTTTTTAATTTTTAAAAATAACTAAATATATATGGACAACCATAATAATAAAAGACAACTAGAGGGGAGAAAACATGAATTTTATATTATTTGTGATATGAAAATAAGAAAAATAAAAAGAAAAAGGTATTTAAAAATATAAGGTGTTAATTTTAAAAATATTACATTAAGTATCTTTGGAAGATCATTTTTACAGATTTATTTTAGAATAGAAATGATTTTTAAATTTTAAGTTAATATGGATATGATTTATATTAAAATAATATTTTTTATAAATAATTTTTTCAAATAAATCCTTTTGAGAGATGTTATTCTTAATAAATAAAATAAGTATAATGATAAAAAATAATAATAAAATTATAATTTGAGTGAAGAATATTACTGTAATTTACTTTTAAAATGATATTAATAAAATTATCTATTAATACTGTCAAAAGAATCAAGAAGTTATGCAACTTACTTTATTACAACCACTTGGTAAAAGTTAAACAAATTCATGAATATTTTTTTTCAAAACTAAACATTAAAATAATAAAAATGATAAATCTAGTTATATTGTTTTCGTTTAGGATGTGTCATTTGCATGTGTCGTCTTAACGACACTTGCGCACTCGTTCTTTGTTCATGCATGCAGTGAGTGTGACACCTTGCCTTTTCAGAACTCGTGCTCATCGTTATATGCTATCTATATATAACTTGTTGCATGTGCACATATCCTTAGGGTCTAACAATTCTTAAGGTTTGGCAAAGATGTTTCAAGTTCCAGGGGTGTCAGGAATCCTCAACCCAGGAGGGGGGCATCATAACAAGATCAAAGGAACAGTGGTGTTGATGAGGAAGAATGTGTTGGACTTCAACTCCGTCGCTGATCTCACCAAAGGAAACGTTGGTGGAGTCATTGGCACTGGTCTCGGCATTGTTGGTTCCACAGTTGACCACCTCACTGCTTTCTTAGGCAGAAGTGTCTCTCTCCAGCTCATCAGTGCCACCAAATCTGATGGTTAACCAATTTCTTCGCTCACTTGTTTTCTATCATCATCACTCCCTATATTTAAACTTAAGTCAACATCTCTAGACATATAGATAAGAGTTTTATACCAAATAAGCATCAGTTTCTGATGAAAAATCCATCATTGCACTACTATATATGATTTTTATTGATTCATATATAATCTACTACAGTGTTTCTGTCAGATCATAAAGTAGTTTCTCACAAAAATATATCACTATATATATATATAGTTTAGACTTATTAGGGTACGTAGGTGACTTGATATTGTGTGAGTGTTATGCAGAAAATGGAAAAGCAAAGGTTGGAAAGGAGTACTTCTTGGAAGGGATCATTACATCGTTACCAACTTTGGGAGCAGGGGAGTCTGCATTCCATGTTCGTTTTGAATGGGACAGTAGCATGGGAATCCCTGGTGCATTTTACATGAAGAATTACATGCAAGTGGAGTTTTACCTCAAGAGTTTGACTCTTGAAGATGTTCCAAACCAAGGAACCATTCGCTTTGTTTGCAACTCATGGGTTTACAACGCTAACCTTTACAAAAAAAGCGTGCGCATATTCTTTGCCAACCATGTACGAGTTAGATATTTTATTTGAAATTCTTATCAAGTAGTTTAGAATCAATATTCAGTTCATATAGTTCATGAGAACTCAGAAACTCATGTAATCTAATGTAGACTTATGTTCCAAGAGAGACACCAGCACCACTTGTGCATTATAGAGAAGAGGAATTGAAGATTCTAAGAGGAGATGGTACAGGAGAACGCAAAGAACATGAGAGGATCTATGATTATGATATCTACAATGATTTGGGTAATCCAGATCTCCATGAAAATTTTGCTCGTCCTATTCTTGGAGGGTCTAGCACTTATCCCTACCCTCGTAGGGGAAGGACTGGTCGATATCCAACAAGGAAAGGTTAGTGTTCTATGGTTCTGTTAATCAACGTTGTAACGTTGATTTTTGATAATGTTAACATCTTTGTACTATGACTATTTAAGTTTTCTAATCAAGTTCAACTCAACAGATTCGAATTGTGAGAAGCCAGGCGAAATTTATGTTCCAAGAGATGAAAACTTTGGTCACTTGAAATCTTCGGATTTCCTTGCAAGTGGAATAAAATCTTTATCTCAGTATGTCTTACCAGCGTTCGAATCTGTGTTCGATTTAAACTTCACCCCGAATGAGTTTGACAGCTTCCAAGATGTGCGTGACCTCTGTGAAGGTGGAATTAAGCTTCCTACAAATGTAATTAACACAATTGCCCCCTTACCAGTGGTCAAAGAACTCTTTCGTACCGATGGTGAACAAGTTCTCAAGTTTCCAACACCTCACGTCATTCAAGGTGTGATAAATAAATATAATAAACCACACATACATACATATATATATATATATATATATATATATATATATATGTATGTATTTATACATTATACTTGAAATCTTAAGGATGAATTCACAAACAAATCCAAAACCTATGTTTTGGACGAAATTATTGTTCTATTTAACAATGATTTTACATGTTTACTGAGCAGTGAGTAAGTCAGCATGGATGACCGATGAAGAATTTGCAAGAGAGATGATTGCTGGAGTAAATCCTAACGTAATTCGTGGTCTTCAAGTGAGTTTAAATACTTGTTTCTAAAACAGATTGAGAAACCAAATTTGATGTCCACCTTCAATAGGCTATTGCTAGTAATATATTAAACTGATAGGTGTAAACTGTATATATATAATATAATGAATAACGTAAATTTTTTTTATTTTTTTTTTGTATTTCATGATATTCTTCTTTAATGAATGGTAGGAGTTTCCTCCAAAAAGCAATCTGGATCCTGCAACCTATGGTGATCAAAACAGTAAGATCACATCAGATGTGCTTGATCTTGATGGAAACACAGTGGACGAGGTAAACATATGCTTAAGCCTGAGGACTGGTGCACTAATTTTCCACTTAATAAAGTAATAATACTTGTGGTGTGATTTAAGTGAAATTAATTTGTGGAACAGGCTCTTGCTAATAGGAGGTTATTTGTATTAGACTACCATGATATCTTCATGCCATATATAAGGAGGATAAATCAGACTTATGCCAAGACTTATGCCACAAGGACTATCCTTTTCTTGAAAGAAAATGGAACTTTGAAGCCGGTGGCCATCGAATTAAGTTTGCCACATCCTGGTGGAGACCAGTCAGGTGCTGTTAGTCAAGTCATCTTACCAGCAAAAGAAGGTGTTGAAAGTACAATTTGGCTACTAGCCAAAGCTTATGTAGTTGTAAATGACTCTTGCTATCATCAACTCATGAGCCATTGGTAAGAAATTTTTCACTGCATTCAACGTCAACAAATTCAATCTCTGATCTCTTTCTCAATATATGTATGAAATATATTAATCAATGTATGAAATGTTTATTTTGTTCATAGGTTAAATACTCATGCAGTGATTGAACCATTCATCATAGCAACTCACCGGCACCTTAGTGCGCTGCACCCAATTTATAAACTTCTGACTCCTCATTATCGTGATACCATGAACATCAATGCACTTGCCAGGCAAACTCTAATTAATGCTGATGGCATCATAGAGAAATCCTTTTTGCCCTCAAAGTATTCTGTGGAGATGTCTTCGGCGGTTTATAAGAATTGGGTTTTCACAGATCAAGCACTACCTGCAGATCTTATCAAGAGGTAAGTAAAATCTCTTTATATATATATATATATATATATAGCAAATGGTGACTTAATATATAAGATCGAAAATATTAAAAATAATGGTTTGAAATATAGGTTTATATTTTGATGCAAATCATAATGATGCATGTAAGTATATATTTGCTTGATTCAGAGGAGTGGCAGTTGAGGATTCATCTGCCCCACATGGACTTCGTCTTCTGATAGAGGACTACCCTTATGCTGTTGATGGACTAGAGATATGGGCTGCGATTAAGTCATGGGTCCAAGAATATGTGTCATTGTACTATGCAAAAGATGATAATGTCAAATCTGACTCTGAACTACAACAGTGGTGGAAAGAAGCTGTGGAGAACGGACATGCTGATTTGAAAGACGAGCCATGGTGGCCTAAGTTGCAGACACCCGAGGAGCTTGTTGAAATCTGCACCATTATCATATGGACTGGTTCAGCACTTCATGCAGCCGTTAATTTTGGTCAATACCCTTATGGAGGTTTTATTCTGAACCGCCCAACTTCTACTAGAAGGTTACTTCCTGAGAAAGGCACACCAGAATATGAAGAAATGGTGAAGAGCCACCAAAAGGCCTATCTGAGAACAATATCATCGAAGTTGCAGACTCTCATTGACCTTTCAGTGATAGAGATCTTGTCAAGGCATGCCTCTGATGAGGTCTACCTTGGCCAAAGGGAAAACCCGCATTGGACCTCTGATTCCAAAGCTTTGCAAGCCTTTCAAAAGTTTGGAAACCAGTTGAAGGAAATTGAGGAAAAACTCGGAAGTAAGAACATCGATGAGAAATTGAGCAACCGATTAGGACCAGTTCAATTGCCATACACTTTGCTTCATCCTACCAGTGAGGCAGGGTTGACTTTTAGGGGAATTCCTAACAGCATTTCCATCTAAGTGATCCTATGGTTTTACTTTAATTACTGTATTGTACTTCCTTCCAATAAAAAAGATGCAAGCTAGAGACCCGATAAATCTCTCATCTTATCTAATGTTTTAATTATCTTGTGTGTGTTCAAATGCTGTAATTGAGCCCTCAATGTGGTTTTTGTTTGCAAACAATCCGAGGATTGACTACTGTTTGTGTTTAGCTCCTGCATGATTAATGTACCTTCTGCAGATTGCGTAACACAGAACTTTATGATATTAGTAATATTTTTGTATTATACTGATATATTTAAAATTAAACGCATATAAGAAATATAACTTATTAGTATCAAACAAAGATGAAAGATACCTATACGAATGAATTTTAAAATAATTAAAAATTTATTTTATTATATAAGATTAAATTAGAAAATAAACCATGGGTGAGAGTGGTGTGACGCGCAATTTATCAAGCCATGGATGGGTGTTTAGGAATAAATAAAAGCAGGACAGAGGAAGAAAAGCATACGTAGTAATGTATATGAAAAGCAACACAGATGTCAGTATAACACACAAAGGAATGACACATGACAGTATATCAGAAAATTTAGAACATTTTTCCTAATGAATTTGAGTTTAACTTTGCAGAAAGAAAAAAATAATAATAATCCAAATACATACTCTAAAGAGGTATTAAAACATTTATAGTAAATGGAACTTGTGGTGTCTCTTGCTATTAAAATATATTGTACAAAGGACAAAACTTGTATTGCGGAGAGGATTTTATGAAGCCCTACAAGGCTAAGAGCAACCATGGACAAGAAAAAGTGACATATTTTGTGGTTATCATCCCATCATCATCACAACCGATCAGAAATGTATTACAACTGTACTGAATTGGCAAGAAAATATATCTTGGATACAAGGGACATGAAATTTGAAACTGAAATCGAAATAGTGACTTAAATGAGAAGATTTTTTTATAGTTTGCATCACAATAGCATTGTTTTCTTTCTTTTCCATTATACAATCACAACTTTCATTATTAATACAAATACAAGTGCATCTAGAAACTCAGAATACATAATCAAACATACAACAGTGATCAAGGAACTAGATTCCATCTATTTCACATTTATTTAAAAGCAGGGAAGTTCAGCAACCATAGAACCCTTAGATAGAGATACTGTTGGGAATTCCTCTGAAAGTCAATCCCTCCTCACTAGAAGGAAAGAGCAGAGTGTAAGGCATTTTAGCTGGACCAGTGCGGTTTCTCAATGTCTCGTCATTGTTCTTCTGTACAAGCTTCTCTTCAATCTCTGCAAGCTTCTTTCCGAACCTCTTAAAGGCCTCCAATGGCACGGTATCAGAAGTCCAATAGTCACCACCATCTCTCTCCCCAAGGTAGAACTCATCAGATGTGTGCCTTGACAAGATCTCTATAACCGTAAGGTCAATGAGGGTCTCTTTCTTGCCAGTAATAGTTTTCAAAAACTCCTTCTCAGGGTTCTTACCCAATGCAACATACTCAGCAGAACCTTTCTCAGGCATGAATCTTCTGCTAATAGTTGGCCTGTTAAGGATTAAACCACCATATGGATACTGTCCAAAGTTAACTGCTGCGTGAAGGGCTGAAGCAATCCATATGAGGGTAGCAGAGGCTTCAACCAACTCTTCACGTGTTTGCATCTTTGGCCACCATGGCTTATCTTTCAAATCACCGTGACCCACCTCAACAAGTTCTTTCCACCAAGCTTGGAGTTCAGGGTCTTTTTGAAGTACCTCATCCGACTTGTAGTAGAATGCGACATATTCTTGCACCCAGGACTTGATGGCATCCCATATCTCTAGCCCATCAGAAGCATATGGATAATCCTCAATCAAAAGCTTAACACCGTGAGGAGCAGATGGATCTTTAACAGCAACTCCTCTGTGCATCCAAATAACATTGATTAGCACCACAGTTGTATCAAGCCTGAGCCCTTTTTTCACACAAAATACAATACTAATTTGTTAAAATACTTTAAAAGATTGCATACCTCTTGACAAGATCATTGGGTAATGCTTGATCGCTGAAAACCCAGTCTTTGTAAATCACAGCGGACATTTCCAAAGAGTACCTACTCCACAAGAATGTTTGCTCTATAATACCGTCTGCATTGACCAAGGACTTGCGGGCAAGTGAATTAATGTTCATGGTGTCACGATAGTGAGGAAAAAGAAGTTTGTAAATAGGGTGAACCACACTCAGTTGCCTGTTTGTTGCTATGACGAAAGGCTCAACAACGGCATGAGTGTTTAGCCTGTCATGCATGTTATCACGTCAATCATTTATTCATAAATACAATAACAAAATTAACTGCATGGATCTCATTGTGAATTCACAATATCATACCAATGACTAACGATTTGGTGGTAGCACGAATCGTTCACAACAACATAAGCCTTTGCCAATAACCAAATGTAAGCTTCAACTCCTTCGTACGCAGGCACATAAACTTCGCTAAGAGGACCATATTCGTCACCCTGACCATGCGGCTTACTTAACTCAATTGCCAATGGTGTCAAAGTTCCATCATCTTTCAAGAAAAATATGGTTCTTGTAGCATAAGTCTTTGTGGTAGATGAATTTATTCTCCTCAAATATGGAATGAGATAGTCATGGTGATCTAAGATGAACAACTTCTTGTTCTCGATAGCCTGTTCAACCACGTATAATTAATTGCTATTCATTTGATGCACATTATAGTGAATTAATTTTAATGTGAAATTGGATACTCGTATCATTACCTGCTCAACAGTGAGCCCGCCTAAGTTAGGCTCCAAATGTTCTTTTGTTATTATACAGGTATGATCACCATAGGCTTGAGTGTCTAGCTTGCTACGTGGTGGAAACTCCTGGAATAAATTTAGCACGCAATGAATCAGGTTAGAAATCTCAAATTTGAGACGTAAAATGCATTCAGCCTTTTGGTCGCATGCATTTTCTCACCAATCCACTACGAAATTAAGCTTACCTCAAGAATCTTAATAACATTAGGATTGACACCAGCAATGGTTTCTCTAGCAAATTCTGCATCGGTCATCCATGCAGACTTATCCACTGCACCAAATAAGAATAGTTCAAAAGTTCATCCACGTGATTGAATGTTGAATTCAAACAGGAGTACAGTTGTAATAGATGTTAACTCTTCTCTACATATTCAAAATGTGTAGCATACCTTGCATGACTTTAGGTGGTGGATACTTGAGGAACTGTTCGCCATCAGTTCGAAAAATTTCCTTGAGAACTGGTATAGGAGCGTATTTGCTAAGAAAATTTGTAGGCAGTGTAACTCCACCTTCATAAAGCTTGCGCACTTCCTCGAAATTATCAAACTCAAGGCTCAAAAGGCTTCCATCGAATGCATCAGTCAACACAGGCAGCACATCTTGTGATACAGACTTCAATGCATAAACGAGAAAATCCGATGACTTCAAGTGACCAAATGCTTCATCTCTTGGAAGGTAAACAAAGGCGCTCGGCTTCTCACTGTTAGGATCTGTAAAGGTGACGCAGAACATATGTCAGGATCTTAAGAACATCCTTAACCAATTTATGCCAAAACAACAACATCAAAAGTGAGTAGTAACCTTTTTTAGTTTTTCCTCTTCCGGTTCTTCCTCTACGAGGATAAGGTAAGGCAGAACCTCCAAGAACGGGGCGAGCCAACTGGGCATTTTTATCTGGGTCACCCAAATCATTGTAGACATCATAATCATAGATCCTATCCGATTCCTTGCGTTCTCCAGTTCCATTCCCTCTTACATTCTTCAACTCTTCTTCTCTGTAACTCACAAGAGGGGCCGGTGTATCGCTAGGAAGATATGTCTGCATTATTATTATACAATTAGTAACTTAGTTTTCATCCATGTGTGGTGTCTCAAAGATCAACAACATCAACAACAACAGAGGGTTAGTTGAAGTGCTTACGTTGTTGGAAAAGAAAATGCGATCAGTCTTGTATGAATTGGAATTGTAAATCCAGGAGTTGCATATGAAGTGAATGGTTCCTTGGTTGGGAATGTCTTCGAGAGTGACAGACTTGAGGTAGAACTCATTTTGCATGAAGTTCTTAATGTAAAATGCACCAGGAATTCCCAAGTCAGTCTCCCATTCAAAATCAACATCGTATGCTTCTTCCTTAGCTCCCAAGGTTGGCAATGATATCTGCCCTCTTAACTTTGTAGCACTTCCAGTTTTTCCTTTCCCCTTCCCTGTCAAATTTCACACAAAATTCTATATTCAACTTTCTATATCAAATTTCTTCTTATATTAAACTTACTCCAAAAATTCCAAAATTAATAAATATTCTTCATATCATGTGATTCATATTTCCAACTTTTTTTGAAACATTAATTCAATTCAACTAAAAAAAAAAAAGATAATCTTTAACTCTACCGTATGTTGAAATTATGAAGAAAAAAATATTTAATTAGAAAATTAGGTCAAAACCAATATATACATACATACATACATATATATATATATATATATATATATATATATATATAGATCCACTAATTAATATTTTTTCTTCATTTCATTATTGAATTTTTTATATTTAATAAATAAAATAATAACTTATCTTAATCATTAAATTAAAAAATTAATGATAAGTAAAGATTAAATCATTAATTTATATTTTGTAATAATATAAATTTATGTGTTGTTATATGTAATATCTATCTTTAACTAAATAATCATTTTCCTGACATAAAATAAGCATCAATAAAAAAAATTGTTTCGATTAAAAGAGCATTTACCTAATGAAAGATAATTTATTATATTTTTATAAACATATGTTATTAATGTATTGTATGAGACCCGTCAATAAAAGTTAACAAATCATTTTCATGACATAATACTAAGACAAGTTTTGTTACAAATAAAAAAAGCTTTAGCCTAATGACAGATAAATTATTATATTATTGATATATGGTATGATGATAAACAAAGTCTGTACACCCAAAATATAAAATAGAATAATTAATTAAATTTAATTATAATTATCTTAATAATATGATTTATGTTAATAATTTTAATAATTGATCATATGTATGGCAGCAATACTATATTGCATGAATACGTGGGATAAATTTGTTAACTTTTAATATAATTATCTTACTTATTAATTAATTAAACTTTTTTAATTTTATTGTTTATATATTATTTATAAACATTTCTCAATTTGAAAAATCTAACGATCTCTTTAATGTCTATTCAAATTCCTCCATTTTAAAAATATAATAATTTTACTATAATAATTGGATAAACAACAATTAGAACGGTGTGTTTTTATGAACAAGTATAAACACATATTATATATGAATTTGAAGACGATGCAGAAGAAAAATGGTGAAGATGGTAGTGAGTGAGTTACCGTCAGGCTTGGTAGCACTGATCAACTGGATGGAGATGGAGGTGGCAAAAGCAGTGACAGTGTCGATGGCGGTGCCGAAGATGTCGAAGATGGTGTCGACGACGGTGGAAGGGTTGGTGATGCTGTTGATGTCCAACACATTCTTCCGCATCAACACCACTGTCCCCTTTATCTTCTGCTTGTTCCCTCCTCCGAAAATTCCAAACGCCTTCTCCATTCTTCTTAATCTTAATCTTAATCTTAATCTTAATCTGATCAACACAATCACTAATCCTCCTTATTTATAGACATTTTTATTATTCTTTATTCTTTTTCACCATTAAAATCACGCTTAGGCCATGTGGCGGGCGTTACAATGATAAACAAGTTTAGCGTTATTAATTATTCTTTATTTTGTCTCAACTGAGCTTATTCTTCTTCATATTTTACTCATCCATCTCTTCATTACTTCATTCACATGTTAAGCAATAAAAACAAATTATCCAATCTTATTCTCTTAATTCAACTATTATTAAACGTATGCATTTTATAGTATAACTTTCCAAACTCCAATACTTTTAAACTCTCATTTTTAGTGTTATTATAATATGTATTACATTTTACATAATCTTAATAATTATCTTTCTCTTATATTTTATAAAAATATTATCCTATCCTTTTTATAATAATGAAAAAACGAATTGTAAGTTACTTTGGAGTTAATAAAAAAAAAGTGATTATCAAATATGAGTCTTTGACTAGGGAGACCTACAAGTAATATTCATGAATTTTATTTTATGTGGTATAATTTAAATATTTATTACATTATTTTATATATTTTATAAATTATTTTTTATATTAATATCTTAAGATAATATATAAGAAAAACATAATTTCTTTATTAATTTTTGCGGTTGTTAGGTTAAACAAAAAGTTGTCTTGTATTAAATCAAAATATATTATTTTATTGGGAGAAAAAAAAAATGTTTACTTGATCGACAGATTTTATTGGAGGAACATATTAAAAGTCTTACCTAATCTAATATCTATTATACTATTCTAAATATTCCTAGAATCTTATATATAAAAATACTATGTAACTAATTTTTAAAAATTATTATTTTATGTTAATGTTCTCGTTATTATTTCTCAAATTTAATTTATGTGTAATTTTTAGATGTATAAAAAAAATATTTTAACTTTAACAATAAGATAACATCATTAATATCAACAACTACATTATTATTTTTTTTATTTTTAAGTTCGACTCTTATCATAATTTTGTCATAAAAAGCTTTTTTTTTTTTTTTTTAAAGTGTCTTTTGCAGGATCCAGGATTTTGTGTTACTTTACGTGGCTCACCGTCACTGAATGTCCCTCTACCTGCCACCATTATTACTATCATCCATGCAAAAGCATCAAATGCGCGCTTCTTTAACATATCGTAGATCCCCTGCTACCTTCCGCACCATACTTTCTCTGCGCCTTAGTCATTCATAATATTTCCTTCTTCATAGAAACTAATGAATGGCCGTGATTTCGTAAGATGATGGTGTTAGATAACTTTGGCAGCATAGGATCCAAATTCCTTTGACATTCAATGCAGAAGATTTAAAAATGTAATTATAAATCATAACCCTTTCTTGCTTGTGGATATATGGAATAATAAACCTATTTAGAAATGAGTTTAATTAATTAATTAATGTAATTAATCCTGTTGAGTTAAGAGGTACCCTATCCATACAGCGTGGAGATGAAGAAAAAACTGATTGAAGTGAAAGGTGATTGGTGAAGAAGAAGCACGACAGAGAAGGTGCACGCAGGGACAAAAGAGTCACCTAATAAAAAATTATTAAATTATAATAATAAACCTAAAACGCGGTCGAAGGTCGACGGTGAATGGAACCTTTACTTGTTCCGACAAGATTGAAAGAGATAAAGTAAGTGACCCATGACGTGATATTTTATTATTATCTTTTCGTTTTCCACGACTCGTGAGATTCGTGTCTATATTCTATTCTATTCTACCAACAAATTTATCATATTATTATTATATTCTGCCTCGTGCTCCACGTTCCCTCATTTTTTATTATTATCTTCCTCGCTGTTCTATTATTTAATTGTATAATTCTTGTGCCACGTAAGCTTCATCTTACTCTTAACCATTCCATCATATATAAGAAACAAAAAATATTACCTCTTATCATATGTATATATATATATATATATATATATATATATATATATATATATATATAATAGTTCGTAAAATTTTATTTTAAAATATATATGAATTTTATACCAATTTAGTTTGTATTTTTAATTATATATGAATGATTTATTTAGTGAATTATACATATATTTTTTTAGTGTGTATATAAAACCTTTAATTATATGTTTGTTAGAAACGTGAAATTATTGGGACGAAAAAACGCGTGTGAAACTATATCTAAAAGCGAAGTGTGGACAAATTTGGTTCTGTGATGCATTCACGTGTGTCACTGTTAACTTCGTCGACCATAGACTCATATTTTCTAAAAACTTTTTTTAGTCAAAAAAATAATTTTACTTATTTAATATCAATTTATATAATATTTATTGTATATAATATTATAAATTTAATTATATATATAAATATATTTATCTTTTTTATATTTAATTTTTTAATATGGTATAAGAGTTAAAGTGTAATATATATTTTTTATTTTAGATAAAAAAATTATGTTAATATGGGTTTTATTAGTTTACTTTTTTTAATATTAAAAAAATAATAGATCAAATAAAATATATTTAAAATTACACCTCAAAATTAAAAATTATATTTTTAAAATTCTACTTATTGTTTTTCACATTAATTAAAATAAAAATAATACTATTTTTACTAAAATTTGATAATCCAAATTAAATTAACATGATCTTAACTTAATCTATTTGATTTAATTTGACTACAAAATTTAGAGACCGAAAAAAATCAACCTAGGGTTGTGTTTTAATTCCCCTGATTGTTATCATGAATAAATCTATTTTATAAACTCCCCTGATTTATATTTTCCTTGTTTTATGGTTCACTTTCAATGCAAAATAAAATATTAGGATATGTTTCAATTACACATGTACTGACCCAAAAAAAAATATTAATTATATAAAGACCGAGGAGAAAATAAAGAGAATAAAACAAAGTATTAACTATATATCTTAAAACAATTCAAATCTATTATAATTTTTTTATTTCCTCAAATATTATTATTATTAAAATATAATTAATATAAATTTACTTGACTACGAAAAAAAATTAAAAATTAAAATTCACAATTTAAAATTTAATACATTTATTAAATTTTAAATTAAAGACTGTTGATTTATTTATCAAATTTAAAAATGTTGTCCTTCATTTTATTTTTACGTAACACTTTTAAAATGGTTGATATTTTTTATATTATCCTTATATAATAAAACAAAATAATTTGTTTTCAATGTTGATAAACGATATATGTTTGTCATAATACATATAATTTTAACCTAAATTAAAATGTGTTGTGTAACGAATTGAAAACTAGACTATTTATTTTTTTGTTTTTTTTTTGTTTTTATAGTAAACGATCAATTCATTTTAATAGTTTGCGAGTCTTATAAATTAAGAAGTCACTCTCATAATTTTTACAGCTTCCAAAAAAAAAATCATAAAAAAAAGGAATAGTTACGATTGGATATAAAAAAAAATTGTTACAATAAAATATTTACACGTCAGATTTTCTTCATATATCTAACATATTTAATATATAGAGAGAATTAGTAACATAAAAGAATAAAGAGCGAGTACAAGTATAAGAAATAATAATAATAATAATAATAATAATAATAATAATTATTATTATTATTATTATTATTATTATTATTATAAGAATTAGAAATATTAAATTAAAAAATCACCATAAATAATTTCTGTATAATTTAAAATTACTTAATTTAATGATTTTTTATATTCTCTTTTATCTTTTTATTTTTTTAATTTGATAAAAAAATCATTTTAAAATATTGACTATATAAAATTGCATTACATGGTTTTATATAATAGTAACAAATAAATTAAATGCATCAGTTTTATAAGATTCTCTAGTGAGGTTTCGTGAGATCCTCCCAGAAGCTCTAATGTTATTTTTTAAGTAGATACTATTATATTATATTATTTTTAAGATCCTCTTTTAAACTTTGTTTTAATGATGAGATTTTATAAGACCCACAATTTTAATTTTTAAATTTATAATTTTACAACTTAAACAATTAATTTTATTATTATAATAAAATATTAATTAATTTCAATATAATTATACATTTAAATATATTATTATAATCAATTATTTAATATCATTAAACATAATAACAATATTATATAAAAAACAAATTAATAATATAATTTTTTATTATTCTTAAATTATTTATATCCTCAAATTCATAAACTTTTGATTATAACTAATAAGTTTATTTAGGTCTATAAGAAGAGGATGCGATTAGATCGTGTTTTGAATTTTATTTTTACTTTTAGGAAGATGTTGAGTGATTTTTTTAAAATAAAAAAAATATTTGTAAAAGACACTAACGTTTAAATAAGTTTTAGAAAAATAAAATTTGAGAATTAATAATGAAATATAAAGTTGAAATATATATATATATATATATATATATATATATAATTTTTTTTTATTGTGTAAGAAAATAATTTGGATGGAAGAAATTAATGTGTTTCCATATATAGGATCAAAATTTCAAAAAGCATGTATGAGGAAATTGGGAACCTGACGTTACTCTAAAGGCATAAACGACAAGATAAAGCACATGTCAGAAGGTGGTGGTCAAAAAATAAAATAAAATATCACATTAAGAATATAAATACTATTTAATAATAACTGTCAAACTATTAAAATAATCTACACAATCATATATTAATATTACACGTGTTAATTAGCAATTAGTACTGGTAAGAAAAAAAGCAACAATGAAAATGGAATGATCCAAGTTCAGTTCAATGTCTGTGCCAATCATTAACCATCGGTTTTGCATCTTGCAAAACAAAAAAAGAAAAGCTTATCCCTTAGATTTGATAGTTGATGTTCTTCCTCGTGTATAAATAGGAGCATTCTGGGTCGTGTTCTCCACAGAGGGAGAGAAGAACAACAACAACAACCTAAGAGAGAAGAGAGGGTTCGTGGGAAGTAAGAATCAGGCAAGATGTTCGGACTCATCGGGAACAAGGGTCACAAGATTAAGGGGACAATGGTGATCATGCGAAAGAATGTGTTGGATATCAACAGCATCACAAGTGTGTCGGGAGTGATCGGAACCGGAATCAACATCATTGGTGGTGTTGTTGACGTTGTCACTGCTCTTGCTTCCCACATCTCCATTCAGCTCATTAGTTCTACTAAGACTGATGGTAATCACTTCTTCTTCAAACCCTTCTTTTTCTATCATTTACTCTTCATTCTCAGATACAACTTCACTTCACTAACTTCTTTCATTCTTGCAACAGCTTCTACCTCTACCTTTTTTGAAATATTGCAGGATCGTCCTTCATTTTTGTAAAACATTAAGATTTTACCATTTCAAATATGGTCTAACATCGATAAGATATATTTTCAAATTATAATATATAAAAAAAATATAAATTAAGATGTTATAATGTGTTTATAGTAAAATGCTATGAATGATAGTAAATGTGGATAGTTGTTTGAGTTTTTTACATTTTGATGAAATTTGCTTTCTTATTACAATTTTTTTTTTATAATTATAACTGAAATCGTATCTGTTAAAATGATTATAGAATATACAATGTTTTTTTAAACGTTAAACTGAATGTTTATTTTTGTCGTTAACGTAATTCTTTATCAAATTAAAACATTTTTTTAATAAATTTGGAAAAATTAAAATATAAAATATTACAGAACAATAAACATATTAAATAAATTAAAAATAAAATCATTTATTGAACTTGTTTCTTTCGTATCATCGTTGCGGTCCCTCGTCGTTTTCTCGCACTAATTACATTTCTGTCAATAATATTACTAATAAAAATAATTGGTGAAATAGTTTCAATTTTACTTTAGTCTAACAAAAGTAAAATTACCCATGTTAATATTTTTTATAATTTTTTTTAATTAGATAATTGCTTTGTTTTGTTGTGTGGAATTTTATGTATACAGAAGTAAATTAAATTTTGTGTGTGTTTGATATGATAGCACAAGGGAAAGGAAAGGTTGGAAAGGCGACAAATTTAAGAGGACAGGTATCATTGCCAACGTTGGGAGCTGGCGAGGATGCATATGATGTTCATTTTGAATGGGACAGTGATTTCGGGATTCCTGGTGCATTTTACATTAAGAACTTCATGCAAGTTGAGTTCTACCTCAAGTCCCTAGTACTCGAAGACATTCCCAACCACGGAACCATTCACTTCGTCTGCAACTCCTGGGTTTACAATTCCAAAGTCTACAAGACTGATCGCATTTTCTTTGCCAACAATGTAAGCTTCTTAGTACCTCCAACAATGTTATATGTTGTTGACATTTTGTCACAGTTTTGCATGATGTGTAGTAACTTTGTTGTTGTTGAACTTTACAACATGACATGGTTGAATGAATTGGTGTATGTGTTTAATAATGCAGACATATCTTCCAAGCGAGACCCCAGCTGCACTTGTGAAGTACAGAGAAGAAGAGTTGAATACTGTAAGAGGGGATGGAACTGGAGAACGCAAGGAATGGGATAGGATTTATGATTATGATGTCTACAATGACTTGGGTAACCCAGATAGCAATGAAAAGTACGCTCGTCCCGTTCTTGGAGGTTCTGCCTTACCTTATCCTCGTAGAGGAAGAACCGGAAGGGGAAAAACTAAAAAAGGTTACTCACTTTTGATGCTTTTTTTTAGCATAATTGGTTAAGGATGTTCCCTAAGATCCTGACATATATTTTGCGTTCACCTTTACAGATCCTAACAGTGAGAAGCCCAGCGACTTTGTTTACCTTCCACGAGATGAAGCATTTGGTCACTTGAAGTCATCCGATTTTCTCACTTATGGACTGAAATCTGTAGCCCAAGATGTGTTGCCTGTGTTGACTGATGCGTTCGATGGAAATGTTTTGAGCCTTGAGTTTGATAATTTCGCGGAAGTGCACAAGCTTTATGAAGGTGGAATTACATTGCCTACAAACTTTCTTAGCAAAATCGCCCCTCTACCTGTGATAAAGGAGATTTTTCGAACTGATGGCGAACAGTTCCTCAAGTATCCACCACCTAAAGTCATGCAAGGTATGATACATACTTTGAATATGTAGAAAAACATACATCAATATTAGCAATGTACTCCAGTTTTTATTCAGCATTCAATCGCGTGGTTGGAGTTTTGAATTGTTCTTATTTGGCGTAGTGAATAAGTCTGCGTGGATGACTGATGAAGAATTTGCAAGAGAAACCATTGCTGGTGTTAATCCAAATGTCATCAAGATTCTTGAGGTAAGCTTAATTTTAAAGCTGATTTGGTAACAAACTATATGCAACCAAAAAGTTTGAACGCACTTTGCTTTTCAAATATGAGATTGCTATCCTCATCCATCACATGCTAAATTTATCCCAGGAATTCCCACCACGAAGCAAGCTAGATACTCAAGCCTATGGTGATCATACTTCCATCATAACGAAAGAACATTTGGAGCCAAACTTAGGTGGGCTCACTGTTGAGCAGGTAATGATATGAGTATCCAGTGTCACATTAAAATTGTTTCACTGCAATGTTCGTGCTATTGTTTTGTAACTATTTTGCCTTTTGTTTTTCCTTTAATGTGATTCCAATGAACAGCAATCAATTAATGACTATACTTGGTTGAACAGGCTATTAGTAGCAAGAAGTTGTTCATTTTGGATCACCATGACTATCTCATTCCATATTTGAGGAGAATAAATTCAGCTACCACAAAGACTTATGCTACAAGAACCATATTTTTCTTGAAAAGTGATGGAACTTTGACACCATTGGCCATTGAGTTAAGTAAGCCTCATCCTCAGGGTGACGAATATGGTCCTCTTGGCGAAGTCTACGTGCCTTCGAGCGAAGGAGTTGAAGCCTACATTTGGTTATTGGCTAAGGCTTACGTTGTTGTGAATGACTCGTGCTACCATCAACTTGTTAGCCATTGGTATGATATTGTTAATTATTAGCAAAGAGATCCATGCAATTAGATTTTTTGATGTATCTACGAACAAATGTTTAACGCACCTAACGTGGTGGATGGCAGGCTAAACACTCATGCAGTTGTTGAACCATTCATCATAGCAACAAACAGGCAACTGAGTGTGGTTCACCCTATTTACAAACTCCTGTTTCCTCACTATCGTGACACCATGAACATTAATTCACTTGCCCGCAAGGCCTTGGTCAATGCAGACGGTATTATAGAGAAAACATTCTTGTGGGGAAGATACGCTTTGGAGATGTCCGCTGTGATTTATAAGGACTGGTCTCTCCATGATCAAGCATTGCCTAATGATCTTGTCAAGAGGTAAGTATTCCTTGAAAGTTTATGAACAAATTAGTAATCGTCAGACTTCATATAACTGTGGAGCTAATCGATGTTATTTGGGTGCAGAGGAGTTGCTGTTAAGGATCCATCTGCTCCCTATGGTGTTAAGCTTTTGATTGAAGATTATCCTTATGCTTCTGATGGGCTAGAGATATGGGAGGCTATCAAGTCTTGGGTGGAAGAATATATCTTATTCTACTACAAGACAGACGAGGCACTTCAGCAGGACCCCGAACTCCAAGCTTGGTGGAAAGAACTTGTTGAGGTGGGTCATGGTGATTTGAAAGATAAGCCATGGTGGCCAAAGATGCAAACTCGTGAAGAATTGGCTCAAGTCTGTACTACCCTCATTTGGATTGCTTCAGCCCTTCACGCTGCTGTTAACTTTGGACAATATCCATATGGTGGTTTAATCCTTAACAGGCCAACTATTAGCAGAAGATTCATGCCTGAGAAAGGTTCTGCTGAGTATGTTGCATTGGGTAAGAACCCTGAGAAGGAGTTTTTGAAAACTATTACTGGCAAGAAAGAGACCCTCATTGACCTTACGGTTATAGAGATCTTGTCAAGGCACACATCTGATGAGTTCTACCTTGGGGAGAGAGATGGTGGTGACTATTGGACTTCTGATGCCGGGCCATTGGAGGCCTTTAAGAGGTTTGGAAAGAAGCTTGCAGAGATAGAACAAAAGCTTGTTCAGAAGAACAACAATGAGACATTGAGAAACCGCACTGGACCGGCTAAAATGCCTTACACTGTGCTCTATCCTTCAAGTGAGGAAGGGTTGACTTTCAGAGGAATTCCCAACAGTATCTCCATCTAAGACTCTATGGTTGCTGCATTACTGTGCCTGCTTTCAGTAAATGTGAAATAGAAGGAATGCGATTCCCTTCATCCAATTACGTATGTTAAGTTATGTATCTGGAGTGGTTGAATGTTCGTGTGTTTGTTGTTAATAAAGACATTGTGTCTGTACTCTGTATGATGGAGAGAATATAATAAAAGCAGCTTCTCATGTTCAAACACTCCTAGCATTGCAAACAGCATACCAGAATTCACATTTTATAATATCTTAACCAAAACGATATTATTTATTCTTTATAAGTATACGATGTGATTTTAAGTTGGTCTTTAATTTTTAATAATCTAGAAAAATTCTCTAGTATTTTTTCTCTTTCATCTTCTTTTCAAACAGGATATCTATTTATTTATCGTTAAAAAGTACATTTAAACATTTTTATATATAAACTAAATTACATTTTAATATAAATATAATGACTTAATTAAAATATAATTAAACATTTTTATGTAAACTTAAATTGCATTGCATTGCATTTCATTGATAATATATAAAACCAAATATATAAAATCTGAGGTGAAAAACAAAAAATTGTGAATACTTTCCTAACAAAATAAACTATTTTGTCAACATTATTTATAATGAAAAGTTTTGAATGTTATAGACACAGTCCCTTACACAACAACAACAACAACAATGTGACAATAGGATTAACATCCTTTAAATTGTACTAGATTTCCATGATTTAGCATTGAAGTGGTAGTAGTAGTAAACTAACAAGCAGTAACTCTGCATTTATTGTTTGAAAACATCTTTTACACAAGCACATTTGCTTTTACTAAGGCAGAACATGAAAGCCTTTTAAAAAAACACACTAGGTTTCCACATGCAGGTGGAATGGAAGAAGGAATTTGAATTCCTTCTCTTGTATATTTTATTCAAGCCACAAAACTTAAGGAACCACGCATCTCTTCAGATAGAGATGCTGTTGGGAATTCCTCTGAAAGTTAAACCTTCATCACTAGAAGGGAAAAGCAGGGTATAAGGCATCATAACTGGTCCATGGCGGTTTCTCAGTTTCTCATCATTGTTTCTCTGTGAGAGTTTATTCTCAATTTCTGCCAGCTTGTTTCCAAACCTTTTGAAAGCCTCTAATGCCCTTGTATCAGATGTCCAATTTGGATTGTCCCTCTTACCTAGGTAGACCTCATCAGAAGCATGCCTTGACAAGATTTCTATAACAGAAAGGTCAACAAGGGTCTGAAACTTTGGTGTAATAGTCTTCAAGAAAACCTTCTGAGGGCTCTTTCTCAGCTCCTCATACTCAGCAGAACCCTTCTCTGGCATGAATCGCCTACTAAGAGTTGGACGGTTTAAGATTAAACCTCCATAAGGATATTGTCCAAAGTTAACAGCTGCATGTAGTGCTGAAGCAGTCCATATGACAATAGTGCAAGCTTCAACTAGCTCTTCACGAGTTTGCATCTTAGGCCACCATGGCTCATTTTTCTTGTCACCATGACCCACCTCTACCAGTTCTTTCCACCAAGCTTGCAGCTCAGGATCTTCTTTAAGTGTGTCATCCGATTTGTAGTACAAGAAAACATATTCATGAACCCATTTCTTTATAGCATCCCATATCTCAAGTCCATCAACAGCGTAAGGGTAGTCCTCTATGACAAGACGAATGCCATGAGGGCACTCTGGATCCTCAAATGCCATTCCTCTGTATCGCAATTTACAGATAACAACATGACATTAATTATGTAACTTCAAAAGTTCCTTCAACTTTTGTTAACAGCAAATCAAACTTGGATGAATATGAATCAGAATCACCTTTTTAGAAGATCAGCAGGCAATGCTTGATCCGTAAAAACCCAATCCTTGTAAATTACAGCAGACATTTCCATAGAATACCTTCCCCACAAAAAGGTTTGTTCTATAATTCCACCGTGGTTGACTAGGTTTCCCCGAGCAAGGGCATTTATGTTCATGGTGTCACGATAGTGAGGGTGCAGGAGTTTGTAAATAGGGTGAACAACGCTGAGATGCCTGTTTGTTGCTATGATGAAGGGCTCAATAACTGCATGTGTATTTAACCTATTATCCATGAAAAGATGTTAATAATCTTTCTATAGATATATAAATTGAACTGTTTTTATATTATTTTGCTGAGAAAAATTATACCAATGGCTGACTAGTTGATGATAGCAGGAGTCATTCACAATTACATAAGCCTTTGCAAGAAGCCAAATAGAACTTTCAACACCTTCATCTGCAGGCAGAAAAACTTGACTAACAATACCAGATTGATCGCCCCCAGGATGTGGCAAACTCAATTCTATGGCAACTGGCTTTAAAGTTCGGTCGTTTTTCAGGAAAAGGATGGTTCTAGTAGCATAAGCCTTTGTGGATGTTGCATTTATTCGCCCTAAATATGGCATGATTGAGTCATGATGATCAAGTAGGAACAATCTCTTACTTTGAATTGCCTTTCCAACAAAATATAATTTACTCGTTATTATTCATAGAAGCAACAAAATAAAACGAAACACAAAAATAACAGAGATTCGAAACAAAATTTTATCATATTATGTACCTCATCTACAGTGAGCCCTTCTAGGTTAGGCTCTAGGTGTTCTTTGGTAATTTGACTAGTAGTATGATCACCGTAGACTTGGCCATCTAGCTTGCTTTGGGGAGGGAACTCCTGCAGTAGTAAGTATTGAATAATTATAAGAAAATATATGATCGATGTAAACATTATCAATGCCAAACTTAACATGAAAAGAAAATCTAACCTTTTAGTTTGTTGCACTTTTTATAAAAACAAAATCTTAATTTAGGCTTACCTGAAGAAGACGAATCAAGTTTGGATTTACACCAGCAAGCATTTCTCTTGCAAATTCTTCATCAGTCATCCATGCAGACCTACTCACTGTTCAGGTAATAACAATAACTATTGTGAGATAGGGCTAATTCAGAGACTAATTAATGTTGCTTTGGATCCATTTTAGGAACAAGCACTTAATATGAGATACCTTGAATTACTTTAGGAGGAGGAAACTTAAGGGTCTGTTCACCATCAGTCCTGAAGATTTCCTTGAGCACGGGTATTGGACTTATCTTGCTAAGTACATCTGTTGGCAGCTTAAGGCCACCTGAATACAGTCCATGAACTTCATCAAAGCTATCAAACTCATTGGGTGTGAAATTCAAATCAAAAGCAGTTTGCAACGCTGGAAGAAAATTTTGAGATACGGATTTCAGTCCATCAGCTAGAAAGTCTGATGACTTCAAGTGTCCAAAAGCCTCATCTCTTGGAAGATAAATATCAGCGCTCCTACTCTCACTATTAGGATCTGTTTCATCAAAATACCATAATTTATTAGCGACCAAAAAAAAAAAAAAAACAGAAATATTCAAAATCATAACTGAACATAAGTACTTCGAAACAAGTAGCAGATAGCAGCACTTTGCTGTGTCAACATTCATCCAACATTCCAACATAGCAAGGTCAGGTGTAACACTTTCTTAATAGTGTAGTTGACCTGACATCTTGTTAGAGGTTAGGTTCATCAGTTTTAAAACAATTATATTCCCACCTTACAAAAAGTTCATATCTTTATTTTCTATTTAGACAATATATATTTTATGAATAATAATTAAAATAAATTAAAAACCTAACCTTTCCTTGTTGGTCTTCTACCAGTCCTCCCTCTACGAGGATAAGGCAAGGTGTCAGACCCTCCAAGAATAGGACGGGCATGGCTTTCACCTCTATCTGGGTCACCTAAATCATTGTACACATCATAATCATAGATCCTGTCCCACTCTTTACGTTCTCCTGTTCCATCTCCTCTCAAATTAACTAACTCTTCTTCTCTGTACTTCACTAATGGAGCTGGTGTTTCACTCGGAAGATATGTCTGCAATATATGCTGTTAGCTTCATCTTTTCATCAAAGTTACTGTGGATTTAAAAGTATATATATATATATATATATATATATATATATATATATATATATATATATATATATATATATATATATATATATTTCATTTATAGTGGCTGGCATGAAATGCTTGACCTGGTTGACAAAGAAAATGCGATCACTTTTGAAGTGTTTGGCATTGTATATCCACGAGTTGCAAAGAAAGTGAAGGCTTCCATGGTTTGGAATGTCTTCAAGAGTCAAACTCACAAGGAAGAACTCAGTTTGCATGAAATTCTTGATATAAAATGCTCCAGGAATTCCCATCTCATCGTTCCATTCAAAAAGAATTTTGAATGCAGATTGGCCTGCTCCCAAAGTTGGCAACGAAGTGATGATACCTTCCAAAAAGGTAGGTTTTCCAAGCTTCCCCCTTCCGTTGGCTAACCAAAAAAATATGAAAAAAAAGTAAAAAACAAAAGCCAAAATCAGTGAACCCGTTTCACTTTCTAGACTCTTATAAAGAAAGATATATATACACATGACTTAAGGTAAAAGAAAAATATTATATCGATGTAATGAAAACCAGAAAGAAGAAACAAACCATCTGGTTTGCTGGCACTAATGAGCTGGAGAGAAACTGAATGGCCCAAGAAAGCAGTGAGATTATCCACTGTGGAACCAAGAATGTCGAGACCTTGACCAACAATTCCCCCAACACTGGTTACGCTATTCACGTCCAACACATTCTTTCTCATCAACACCACTGTCCCTTTTATCTTCTGCCCCTTCTGGATCAGACTCGACACGCCCGAAAACATCTTCGCAACCCACCGAAACTATATATGATTTTTTTGTTTTGGGGAGGACTATGCAAACATCAAGCAATGTTGAAAGGAAACTGCTGAGGGTACGTAGTATTTATAAGGAGGAAGACAGTGAACGAAGGGCATCATAGTAAATGTCTCAGTGTGTAAAGCTGTGTCATAAGTGCATGCAGAGAACACACATATGAAAAAAATACTTCAAATTCTTCAACCAAATAAGTTGAATAATGATTTTGAAAATAATAAATGTGAAAACAAGTTCATCATGCATGCATGCTAGAGAGGTTATCTGATGACACCTATCTCTATAACTCAAAACACTTTCATTTAGAGCCACATGCCCCAAACCGCTTAACACGTCAATAACAATACCATTATGTCTTCTTATATTTATTACTATATTTTTTTTTTTTAAGAAATTACAATATACAAAATTTAAAGGATAAAATAAAACCATTTTTATTTTAATATTCTCAAATATAGTTCTATTTAAAACAAACAAAATTCTCTGTTCACAAACTAGAAGTAGTATATATTTTAGTGAAGATCTCATCTGAAACAACCTTATCCTATAAGAAAAAGATATCTCTTGCACATGGGTGCAGTAGTTTGATGATCTTGTCTTTGCTCTCGACAAAATTTCTGCAACTTTGAAGGCGGTGATGTCAATACACAAAATGAGAATTAGAAATTGCAAATTCAATAAATAAGATGCATGAAAGTTAATGAACAATCTATAAATTGTGTTGGCAAAACATTTTGTTATATATCAAAAAAAAAAAAAAACTCAGAATAAAAAAAATACTTAGAATTGTCGGTTAATAAAATCCATGAATTTGGTCTTGAATAAAATAAATTTAAAGAGGGTTGTGATGTGTGGTGTCCAACTGAGTCCATGCAAGAAATACAGCACGTGCAAAATGCTATATTATTTCCATTTTTTTCCTACAAATATCAATGTTCATCTTCTCAAACTTTTTTTTTTAGAAAAAAAATAAAATAAAATTTATAAACTGAATAAGTTTGCATATAATTTTAAATAAAACTTTAATCTTATTTTAGCATAAAATTTGTATATCACCAATTTATTTTGGTTATCAGCTTATGAAAATAGCTGGTTTAAACGATATATATATATATATATATATATATATATATATATATATATATATATATATATTAAGATAATATATTAAAGTACTAACCCCTAATTTAAAAAAAATATATATATATATATATATATATTTAAATTTAATTATTCTATTACAATTATTTTTTCTTCCTATTATTTTTTTTCTTTACTTTTTTTATATTGTCCGTTGTTTTTCCTTTTTTTTCTATTGTGAAATATATAAATAAGTTAGGATTTTTTTTCATATTTTTACTCTAAAAGTAATTAATGTCATAGATATTATCAATTAACTATTATAAAAATGATTAAATATTACAACTATTTTAATTCATATAAACAAAGGGAAAAGAAGAATTATAATACTATTATCAAAACGAATATTTGTATTTATTAATTAGTTTGATTAACTTTATAACAGGTAACTTGTACCATAACTAAATCATTAAATTAAAAACGTAATCCATAATGTAATTTAGATCGCATATAATATAATTTTTATTATTAAATATAGTAGTTTGAATCATAATCAATTTAATTTTAACAAAATAATAATTTGTATCATTATTAATTTGATTAATATCCAAACTTTTTTAAAATTGTATATAAAATTAATTACACAACGCATTAATTTTTAAAAATAAAATAAGACATCGGCAATAAGTTTTGTTGTGTATAATTTCACAACATTTTTATTATATAAACAAATTTTTATTTGATGTTGAGCAGTATTTTAATGAAAAAAAAACTTAAAAAAAAAGTGAAGTGTAAACTTAATATTATTGAGTGTGAGAATAATAAGGCCCATGACTTAAATGGGAGAAGAGTATTTGGGCCAATTTGTTTATAAAGTTGGTCAAATTGGGCCGACAAACGAATATTCGTGTAACCGTATTCAAATCAATTCACTTGTATATTTAATCATTAATTAACAAGTGTAAATAATATAGACTCTAAAAAAAATATGGTACTAGTACATGTTATCAAACTTCAATTTATTATTATTATTATTTTTTTATCTTGGCGTATAAAACTACAAAACAAGCATTCTTAAATTCATTAAATTAATTAGTAGATTATGCTTAGTAAGACATTTAAGTTTTTATTATTATTATTTATTTTAAAACATATTAGTCCTTGTTTGGTAAATAACATTTTTAGTATTATTTTATACATTCTAGTTTTTAATTTTTATTCTTATATTACTTGTTAAATTTGTGTTATACTTTTTTTTAATTAAGGTAAACTTTATTATATAAATCAGCGTGTTATTTTTTCTAATTTAATGGAGAATAATTTGATATATGGTATAAGATCAGTAATATATGTAGAGTAGGAAAAATAATAATAAAAGTTAAAATACAGCATTAAATGAAGTTGTATAAAAAAATTTCTCATAATATAATGTAGACTAATTAAAGTAATAAAAAATAAAAAATTATTTTGTGTGTTTTATTTTCGTAATATTTTGATCTAACTGGGCCAGTGGTGTAAAATGAAGTTGAATAAAATTTTATTTATTTATTTTTTATAGGAGCAGAGGGTGACATAAGGTAGAATATGAAGAAGAAGCAATAATAAAAACATTAACGAAACCTAATCTCAACACATTCCTTCTATTCTATTCTCTCTTCTCTTCCCTTCAACTCCACGGCGCAGATCCGAGGAGTTTGGGAAACCCTAATTCCTCTTTCGCTTCCCATTCTTTGCTTCTCTCTTTCTCTCTATTCCACCAAGATCAGGTAACCCTAACCTCTCTCTCTTTTTCTCTATCTCTCTCTCCCTCTCTCTATCATCTGCATAAATCCGCTTCTATTTTATTTCGTTTTGATTCCATATCACTCTCGTTGTTGTGTTTTAAATATGAGATTGATCTGATTACTTTCTTCGCAAAGCTTTTCATTCGATTTTAGGTTTTCTTTATCTTTTTTTTCTCTCCTTTTGTTATATGTTTTTGTTTAGTTCGAACTTAAATCTTGATTCATCTCCGTCTTTCTACAATTGATGCTCTTCTTTATTTTATTTTTTGACACAGATTAGAGTAATGTTCCGAATTTTGATCAGTTTAATATATTTTTTATTTTATTAACTGGTGCTTTTGAATTCTTTCTAGACTTTGTTTTCTTGTCTGCCTTCGTGCAGTCCTTCGCCTTCTTTCACTTGCGTTGTCTCACGATTGATTTTTGGGACTAATTTTTGTACACGGTTTTGGATTTGTACACGTGTCTGTTTATTTGTGCTGATTTCTTTTTTCTGCAGTGATGGCAGGATTGGCTCCCGAGGGTTCGCAATTTGACGCTAAGCAATATGATTCTAAGATGAATGAATTGTAAGAAGTTATTGTACTTTATATTTTTCATTGCATTTGATGCTTGACTTATTTATTTTTGCAGATTTCTGTAATTTTAATGCTTTGAAAATTAATTGCAGGCTTTCTGCTGATGGACAAGAGTTCTTCACCTCATATGATGAAGTCTATGATAGTTTTGATGCAATGGGTTTACAAGAAAATCTTTTGAGAGGCATTTATGCCTATGGTATGGCAAATGATTTTTCCTTTGTCTCTTCTGGTACTTGTTTAATACTTGAGAAATATTAGGGATGTAACCACTCTTGATAATGGATAATGGGTTCATTTTTTTAAAGAATCGACACTCTTGAAAGTCACTTATTTTCAAGGCAACCCAATAGACCTTCTACAGAATACACCAACAGTAAAGTGAATGCTTTAAAAGTAAAGCTTGTTGCTAGCCTCTTAATACCTTTGTCAGTGAGTGTGGCAGCGTTGCTAGCTATACTCGGCAACTTTGAAGATGTGGACTACCTCTTGTATTAATCAATTTAAACATCGATTCTATTCAATGTTTACCCTGTTTGATTTATAATGTTTCATTCTTTATCTGTGCAATCGTCATATCTGGAATTTCTTGCAATTTTAATGACATTTTAGCAAAACAATTTAAATTATCATTTAATGCTATGATAAATTAGTGCACAGAAATTTATCTTTGAAGTTTAAAAGTAATTAAAATTTATTTTTTGGGGAGTCTTAGTGCAATTGTTTTGGTTGTCACCATTAACTTGGAGTTCTTAGATTTGGAGTTTACCTTTTCAAAACCCTTTGATGTTTACTGCATAAGTAATGTGTGCCAATATGATGCATTGACTTCTTTTTTATCACATCACATGCTTTGAGTTATTCTAGTTCCATTTTTGCCATTAAACTAAATTCTAGAACATTATAAAGTGGATCTGCCGGTAACAAGCTTATGGTATCTATCTGTTTTTATTGTTATGAAACCGAAATCTTCTTAGATGATGGGTTATCATGATGGCATGTCTAGAAGAACAAAAACATGTTAGATGCAGTTAACTCTAGCGCAGACTGATGTTTAATATTTTATTCTCGTTCTGTAGGTTTTGAGAGGCCATCTGCAATACAGCAAAGGGGAATCGTTCCTTTCTGCAAAGGTTTGGACGTGATTCAGCAGGCTCAGTCTGGAACTGGAAAGACAGCTACATTCTGTTCAGGAATTTTGCAGCAACTAGATTATGGATTGGTTCAGTGTCAGGCTTTGGTTTTGGCACCAACAAGGGAGCTTGCACAGCAGATTGAGAAGGTTATGCGAGCTCTCGGTGATTACCTTGGTGTCAAGGTTCATGCTTGTGTTGGTGGGACCAGTGTCCGTGAGGATCAGCGCATTCTCCAAGCTGGTGTACATACTGTTGTTGGCACTCCTGGGCGTGTATTTGACATGCTACGTAGACAGTCTCTTCGTCCAGATCACATAAAGATGTTCGTTTTGGATGAGGCTGATGAAATGCTTTCACGTGGTTTCAAGGATCAGGTTTGTTGGTATTCCATTTGTTTGTTTTTAAAATAAGCAATTTGTTGTTTTTCCTTTGGCTTTCATCTAAATTTTTCTGTGCATATTACTGATGTTTTTTTATTTTGTTGCAATATTTATCTATATTTTAAACAGCCACATGCGTTTGTGCTAGATGAAGTCATCTTGTGTTTGAAAACTTACAGTTTACATTTTCGTGCATGAAATGCAGATCTATGACATCTTCCAGCTACTGCCAGGTCAAATTCAGGTTGGAGTGTTCTCTGCCACAATGCCACCTGAGGCCTTGGAGATTACAAGAAAGTTCATGAATAAGCCAGTCAGAATCCTGGTAAAGCGTGATGAATTGACCCTTGAGGGTATCAAGCAGTTTTATGTGAATGTTGACAAGGAAGAATGGAAACTGGAGACGTTATGCGACCTTTATGAGACTCTGGCTATTACCCAGAGTGTTATCTTTGTGAACACAAGGCGCAAGGTGGACTGGCTCACCGACAAGATGCGAAGCAATGATCACACAGTCTCAGCTACTCATGGAGACATGGACCAAAACACTCGTGATATCATCATGCGTGAATTTCGCTCTGGCTCTTCACGAGTTCTAATCACCACTGACCTCTTGGCTCGTGGTATTGATGTACAGCAAGTGTCTTTGGTTATAAACTATGATCTGCCTACCCAACCTGAAAATTACCTTCACCGCATAGGGCGAAGTGGGCGTTTTGGAAGAAAAGGTGTTGCCATAAACTTTGTGACTCTGGAAGATGCCAGAATGCTGTCTGATATTCAGAAGTTCTACAATGTGACTGTAGAGGAGTTGCCATCAAATGTTGCTGATCTGCTCTGATGGGTTAATTTTTTATTCTCTGTTAAGTCATCAGGGCTATTACTTTTTGACAATTATTATTTTGTGCTTTCCTTTTTCTTTTTGAAATTTTACCCGTTAGAGTTCAAAGACACCTGACTTTATTTATAACGGATTCTATAAATTTGTTTATTTGCTCAAACCCATTTATTTTTTACTTGCATCCTATGTATTTTATACCTCTGCAATGCCCGACGCACCCAAATGCTAACATACTATATTTCTTCCTTACTAAGGTTTGCAAAAAATATTATGAATTTTATATCCACAATTATTATTCAACATTTGTTTACGATTCCGAAAAGGCTACAAATCGAGTTTTCTACACTCGTCCTTTTCTTTTCATCACCAAGGGTTTGTATTATTTAATTTCATTGAGCGCCTTTTTTTCTGATTCAGATGAATGTGGCATATAATAATAAAAGATATAGAGAAAAGTGAAAAAGGTTATTTTAAACTAGTTTCTTTTTTATAATAATAATAATAAATTATTTAAATAAAATATCACTTGATAAAAATATAAAATTGTTTTTTGGGAAATGACGAGAGATGACATTTGATTAGCTAGACAGTCTCAGAAATCTAAAAGAAATCCGCTGATGCGTGTGTTGAAAAATGCGTATGTAAGAGATATCTTGACTTGTATGCGTTATGATATGATCATGAGTGGGTAATCTCTTGTGTTATATGATATATTGTTTTTAAATTTAGTATCTTGAATTTATTCATATGCCTAAATATTTTTTGTTCCACTCTCTGTTAGGCCCCACGCTTCCATGATTTAAGAAATCGAGTGACCCACCGAAAGTTGAAATATGATACTTGGAATTCTAAGATTTACCCTTTTGATATTTTAACTGCAAAACTGAGTTTTATCTCTCGAGGGTTATTTTGTGGGATTTGTCGTTCTTGTTACAATCTATTCCATTGTTACGATCATTTATTATGTAAAAAAGGTATTTTCAGTTTTGAAATTTAATCCATTACAATTTTATTTTTTGAAAGACGTTTCAATATATTGAAAAAGAAAGATCATTTTCATCAAAAGTAGAAATTTGCAAGAAAAGAAGGCTTTATGCAATTTTATCATTCCCTGAAACACCGTAATCCCGGAAGTTTTCAAAACTTGATATCCTTTTAAGGTTAAAAGCTGTTCTAACCTGGATCTGACCGTGGATATATGTCCCTTTTTAATATACCTTGATTAATTTTTATGAATCTTGCACAATGCTTTTAAATAGGACTAATTTAACCAGTTAAAACATCAATTCAAAAATTAATACATTAATTGTGGCCAACATTAAAATAATAATCTATAAAATAATATTAAATAAATATTATCATAATTTTATACCCTATTAATTATATATATAAAAAAAACATCATCTTAATGCTCTTAAAATTGAAAATTACATAAAAGATCGAATAAACATATAATTACTTAAGATTAAACTTTAAACTACAACAGAAATATTTAGTTTTGATTGCGAGAAGAAAAAAGTGATACTGAAATCATTACAAATTATTTTACACGCAAAGTGTTGCATGCATGATATTGTTATCATATACAAGTTCTCCTCCCCCACTAGAAAATTTAGAGGGAAAATAGAAGCACATGAGGATGCATTATTGAAAGATTAGAGTGTTAAAATCGATCGTTTTCAATTCTGCATAATTAAAGAGTGGTTGAGAGTGAAAAACACATCCTAACTTCTTTATCAAGTACTTCTTTTAGTGAGACACTTGCAATTAGATTGAACATGATTACTTTAATGCTACTAGCACACACTTATCATGATAATTAATCATAGTGAATTGATTTAAGCTTGCACTTTCGGCCAAAACTTTAAAGCAAAGTTTGTAGAAAATTGTGAGAGCAACTTTCCAAATGCTTGCTGCTATGAAAGAGGACATAACATTGGAACTTGGGAGGTCCATAATAATTACCTTGGTTGATATAATAATTTCCTTTATTTTATTTTTTTCACTTGCACTAAACTGGAGTTTCCCACTGAAAATAAAAATATAAAGGTTTTTTCTTTTACCTTGTGGTGGATTGAAAAAACCAAGCACTAATAAGTGGGGACACTAATCCAGAGGGTGGACCATAATGGTCAAAGAAAATCAGACCATTTTCCCTTTTCATGAACAGAGATTCATCTTAGCGTGAAAATTTTGACACACATTCCTCTGATCCTATTTCTTTTTATATATCATTTGATATTTTAAAAACATTGTTTTTAAGTAGTCTTATAATCACTAAATAACTTTTAATCTTTTCTATTATGATGATTATATCAGTTAAGTTGATACTTGTTAGATTCTAACATTACAAGTATTCTTATTTGGAACAGTGACAGATAATGAAACTTAATAAATAAAAAATATAATCAAGCATAGAGGGTAGTAATAAAAAATGTCATTTCGTTATTTAAATATTATATGATGGAAAAGAACAAAGATTTTCAGTTTATATTTCTAAAAAATGGGGTAGCATAGCAGCATATATTCCTTGCTCCAGTTAACTGTTAATTTTAACACTTGCACGTGTGAAAGGTGGTGAATCCAAATGCCTCATGCAACTTTGCTCTGCAAAGATAGTTGGATCAGTCCTACCCTACCCTACTCATTTTCTCAAAAGATTTTATAATATAAATTAAGGAAAGAGTTTTCAATTTAATATCACAATCTTTTAAACGATAAATTAACTAAATGAACTTGAACTGTTATGTAAAAGAGTAACACTATAATTTGGTTTAACTTAAAGTAAGAGAAGCAATAAACAATATTAACATTCAGCAACAAAAAAGCAAAGCCTTCAACCCTTTTGTTTGAACTTGTTCTTTCTTACTACTCTCGGGGTATTGTGGTTGGCATGATCATGGAGTTCAGATCCAAGTCATGCAGAGATGAAAGGCTCCAGATTGAAAGCAACGGTGGAGGCAAGGTGGCCCCAACAAGCATGCAAGATCTGAGGTGTCAGAGTGCTAAAAATGCTTCTTCTGGCTGTGCACACCAGATAGGTAGCACTGGTAAGGAGGTGAAGGTGAAGAGAGGGAAAAGGACAGCTGCTAAACCATCAAAAAGTTGGAGCTTCAGTGACCCTGAGTTGCAGAGGAAGAAGAGAGTTGCTGGCTATAAAATATATGCTGCAGAAGGCAAAATGAAAGGCTCTCTAAGAAAGAGTTTTAGGTGGATCAAGAATACATACACTCAAGCTCTCTATGGATGGTGGTGATTCATGTTTTATTCTCTTTTCTTCATGTTTTCTTTTCTGTAATGAGAGTTACTTATTTGTTTTTTCTTTTACTCAGTACATTTTTAAATTAAATCCTCCAGCGGTAGTTGTTATATTCTATTTGAACAAGATCGTGTTTCTGGTTCAGAAGTTTAACTCATTTTTGTATGAAATTGCATTGTGTTTTGAGTGGCTAGTTTGGTTACTTCTGAAATTCTCAATTGTTAGTTCAATTAGATGAATATGATTGGTTTATTTGTATTTTTATTTTAATTATAAACGTCAAGAAGAAAAAAGGTGACAGCGTTATGAGAGAATCACTCTGGTTGTGTTCTGTTTCAGGCAGTTATATTGATAATAATGACCTGGGTTACTTGTGGAAGAATTCAGATTTATTTTGGTTTATGTATCATAGATGAATTGAAACCAACAAAAAGAGGGTAAGGAACAAAATGATCGGTAAAGAGAAAGTTTTCTCCTTTATCCCTGTTAATGTCACACAACACAATGATTGAATATTCAGAAATATCATTAACGTTCCAAATTACATTGCCGATCCTGCTTTTGCGTATAGAAATCAAGTTTGGAAAATAAAGTTTTAAAAAGTGTCAGAAATATTTTTCAATAGTTAATGAACAAACTATAGAGCAAGTGATTCTGCATTGAAGGCCAAGATACAAATAAAATAGTCTATGGTTGATCCAAAACAAAATATAATGTGGCAAAAAAAATAATGATAAAAGGAAAGATAATAAAGCTATCATGTCCATGATGTATCTGCTATATTATTAGAGAGAGAATACAGGACATTGTTAATAGTTACGTGACATTTGCGAAAGCACATTTTAGAAGTGGTAGGGTATGTTTTATTTAATCTATAATGTATTCTTATGAAGTTAATTTATTAAACACATTGGTTTGATTATATTTTCTTTTTATCAATTTCCATTTAATTTATTTTTTCTTCTGTGAAAGAGAAGATAAACACTTATATGATGATTGATTACAAAAATACAAAAATATGAGATCTTGAAATATATGTAAATTTGATCCACACGTAAAATGATGAGTTTTAAAATGTGAATGATTTCGAAAAATAAATGTCACAGAAAGAGAGAAGAGAGAGAATGCTGATGTATATATGATATGAAAAAGAAACTTTTATATAGATTAAAGATGTGAAAAAATCCGTTGCCAAAATAAATAATAAGTATAAAAAATTAGAAAAAAATCAAATGAACTTCTTGCCTACTAAACGATATTTTCTCAACGAAACAAAACCTAATTGTGAAAAAAATAGAAATTAATTCTCACCATTTCAATGAAAAACACATGAATATTAAAACATGTGATTAATTTAATTGTTGCTCTTAATCACATTCAATAATTGAGAGACAATTTCAATGATGATCCAAAATAAAGGAAGAAGATCAAGGAGGCGTAAAGTAAAATTATGTTAAAAAAGAAAGACCAACGTGGGTTCACGTCTTGGTTACGAATTGCCCAAATAAATTGTGGCAAGACCTGCATTACCCTATTTATTTTCTTCCAACCAAACACACCATAAGTAGTGATACACACCCTAGTTATAGGTGGATAAAATTGTAGTATTGTAACCACCGATCATTTTAGCAGATGGTAGCGATGCACTTGAATGTCAACAAGCATGATAAAAAAAGAAAGCATGAGACGTTACTAAATAGTATAAAAAGGAAACGATGGTACAAGTAGAACAAAGTTCAGTACTACACAGTCAACTATATTAACAAAAGCCTTTTCAAGGCCAGATTTGTGAGGAAATCTGAGGATAACTTTCTTTGCAAATTTTTTAGTGACAATTACCATCTTGTTGGAGCTTTCCTCCAACAAAATGCATACACAACTCTCCACTCGGTAGTTTATAAAACTGCTTCAAGAATTTACCAACAAAAGCTGGCTGGCTGAAAGCTGCTAATACTGTAACCTTTCGTCATTTAAATTCAGGGTCTCAAGACCTCGGATAGTTGACTTAAAATTCTTCATATTGGAAGTATTTCTGCCAGAGGATGTTTGGTTGTGCTCAAATGACATGATAGAACTTCTTTGAGCACCAGAGAGTTTACGGAGCGCTCCCGGACTAGCATCCATAGTGAGAGGATGAGAGGGCTCACCCTCATTCCCAACAACTGCATCGCGACTTCTGGATACAGCACCTCGCCTTGTAGATCCACTTGGCCGGAACAAATTAGAACTGGACAACTGCATATACCATACACTATTTAAAATAACGGGAAAACTAAACCTGGCTTTTGGTCACCATTCCATATATAAACATACTAACCATAACATCTTTCGATCCAGTTGATTCACTTGGAACTGGGGCTTTTTGTCTTGACAAGATTCCATCATTTGCAATAGGTCCAGAGTTTCTTCTTCGAGCAGGATCAGATGAAGACCAATCAGTATGCCTGCTGTTCTCAACACCTACACAGAAATTTCCCACATTAAAAGCAAAGCAAAAGGCAGCATAACATTAAAACACGGAAAGCCCGAGGTTGACCAAATTAAAGGAAAAATAAAAACATGTGCATAGAACAACTAAGATTTATGAGCTAAGTAAGAAACCATATACTACTAACAAAATAATAGATCAGGGAAATAGAAGTGAAAACGAAAGGAAATTATACCAGTGTGTCTATCAGCATTTGCAACAGCTGGTGGCACCGCAGAACTTGGTCCAGCAGCAGAACCCTGAATATGCTACTTAAAGTAAGATAATCTAATTTGAACAAGCAAATATCAAACCCAATGCCACTCTGTAGCAAACCATCACTTACGATAGCACGAGCGGGAGGTGTGGCAATTTGAGATTGCTGATATTTCAAAATGGTCCAATCAAAGACATAATCAAACTGGAATCCTGAAACAAAAAGAGTAACAGCAACCAAAACACATAAATGACATATTAAAACATTACCACCTAGTTATTAAAGACTACAGCACATCCAAAAGCGAAATATCACTAGCAAAACACAATGGCTCAAACCTTCACGAATGAAAAGGTCACGGAAAAGCCTTTTCAAATAAGCATAATCTGGTTTATCATCAAATCCCAGGGTCCGACAATAATGGAAGTATGAAGCAAACTCGTATGGGTAGCCACGACACAAAGACTAACAAAGAAGCAAACCACATTTTGTCATGATCATGGGGGCATAGATAATATGTACCAACTCACTATTTTATACAATTTTTCTCACCTCAATAGACGTACAAACTTTCCTCTCACTGATTTTCTCATACTTCTGCTTCTTAGTACCCGCTTTCAATCCCTGCCATGGGAGACTGTCGAAACAAGTAAAAGATTAAATTAAAAGAAAGTGATAAAAAAATAGACAATGAAACAAACGAGCATGAATGACTGACTACCTTCCTCTCAAAAAATACATAAGAACAAATCCAAGTGATTCTAAGTCATCCCTACGGCTTTGCTCTAATTAAGAACAAAAGGGAAATGCCAACTTCAGAATCAATTAACTATAAATATAATGACAAGGAGGTTGAATCATTGAGCACGTACCAATTCCAATATGAGTATTCATACTAGCGTATCTAGCAGTTCCAGTCAAATTCTTATTCTCTCTGACAGATTACAAACAAGTGAAAATCAGAGAAACCCCACAATATTCAAGTATTATTTTTAAATAATAAATTGGAAATGTTGTAAAGACATTCATATAAATAACAAATAAATTAAACAAAGAATAACACAAAATCATCACAGAGAAACTACTTAAAGATATTTTATAATATTAGGAATAGACATATAAGCCAAAGAGACAACAAAAGAAGAATATGAAAGAGACATACGATGATAACTTAAAAAATTATAAATAGGAAAGGGATTGCGAGTAGAACGAGTACCTTTTCTAAGTGCAATAGATAAGCCAGAATCAGAAGTGAGAGGTAAGGTTGAAAGATCCATGGTATAAAAAATTGATGGAGACAGATTTAAATCACAATTATCTGGAGGAACAAGTAAAGGTGTAGGAGGTGAATCATTATGACCTGTAGACTGAATTGGAAAAGAAACAATTATAGGCAGAACTTATTGAATTGATGAACCATCTTCCATTGGGGAAGAAAAGAAGAGTGTTTACTCAAAGATGGTGACATCAATAGACATATAATACCTTTTGGAAGATGGAAAATAACATTTATACTGATTCTGAAGGCGAGAGTACCCCAAGAAAACACATTTAATGGCCTTAGCACTTAGTTTATCAAGACCTGGAAATACATTGTGAACAAAATAAGTACAACCAAATACACGAGGAGATACATGGAAAAGGGGATCATCTGGGAAGATAAGAGAATGTGGAATTTGATTTTTAAAAGAGGAAGATGACATTCGATTAATAAAAAAAAACAAGCAGTGAGAACTCCGTCTCCCCAATTATGAACAAGGACATTAGCATTCAATATTATAGAGCATGCAGCCTCAATAAGGTATCTATTTTTCCTTTTTGTAATATCATTTTGCTGTGGGGTGTGAGGACAAATTAATTGATGTAAAATTCCTTGGGAAAATAAAAAAAAAATAAAAGGAGGCAAAGAAATATTCTTTGGCATTATCACTTCTGAGAACTTTAATTATCTTCCCAAATTGATTTTTAATTTCATTGAAAATGGACAAAATTTCAGATCTGTCTTTCATCAAATAAACCCAAGTACATCAAGAAAATTCATCAATAAAGGTCACAAAATATCAAAAGCCAAAAGAGGAAACACGATTTGGTCCCCAAACATCAGAATGAATATTTGAAAAAGGAATATTGCATCGAGTTTCAGACTATTTAGGTAAAGTAGACCTAATATGTTTTCTTAATTGACAAGATTCACACTCTCAAACCCAAAGATGTTGAAGATTAGGAGTCATCAATTTCAACTTAGATAGACTTGGGTGGCCCAGACGATCATGCAAAAGTTTAAGGGCAGGAGAAACTAAACAAGAGACCGAAGGACTTGGTTTTAGATAGTACAGACCACGTGACTCATGTCTTTCTCCAATCAAACGACCCTTACCATGATCCTGAAAAACAAAAGAATTGAAAGTAAAGGTTACAAAACAATTCCAAGAACGAGTAAGTTGACATAGAGAGATCAAGTTATAAGGGCAATTAGGAATGAAAAGAACAAAATTTAAATTTAGAAATCGGGTTAAAGGAACTTGACCAACACCTTGAAATTTCACTTTGGATCTATTAGCTACAGTGATTAAGTGAGGAATTTTAGGATAGGACATGAAGGAAAACAATGAACTATTACCAGATATATGATCAGAGGCACCTGAATAAAAAATCCATGGGTTCTGACCTTTCATAGATTGAGAAATGCATGCAGTTGAAGCAAGCATTGAAGAGGATTGACAGAAATCTTCATATCTGGCTTCTCCAATTTAGATGCATGGGCAGTCTTATCAGGAAAGCCATGCAAGGAATAACAATTTTCCTGGGTGTGTCATCCTATTACAATAGGTGCATTGAGGACAAACTTTTGAACTATCACGTCCACCTCAATTATTGCGTCCTCCCCCTCGAACCCGAGGGACAACCATAGCAGAAGTTTCAACAGTCTCCACCTAATTCTCATCAACCATGAGATTAGGAACCCGAATCAACCTAGTGACAAGAATATCCGTTGATGGAACATGATCGCCGGCTAGGATTTGATCACACACGTGATCAAAGTCAGAATGCAGACTTCTTAAAATTAGAACCATATATAGTTTATTGAGTTTGGGGTTTACCTCCTCTAAGGTATTTGCAACAAGAAACCTTTTTAATTTTTTCACAGCAGCCCTAGCTTTTGCGTTGTGAGCCATCATGTCATAATTGATCTGCTTAAGTGACGTCACTCTTTGAGTTGCATCAAAAAGACATTGAATATCATTAGCAAAAATGTCTTGAGCCTTTTTTTCAAAAAGAAGAACAAGTTTTGAATGACCTGAGAAACTTAAGAACATTCGGTTCCACAAACTTCCATAAGATTACACAAAGTTGGAAATTTATTTTCTCCCACTAATACCTTTCTGCAGCGGAAATAGAGTCTACATCCTTCTCCAAATGTTCGTGATGCCCTTGACCGAGAAAAAACAACTCAACTAAAGCAGACCAGGATAAGTAATTTTTCCAGTTGAGCCTGACACTAGTTATGGAGGGAGTAGTAGAGAAGGTGAAGGTAGAGGATGAGGTCATCTGAACCAGATAAGATGAATAAAGTCAACGAATAGGGTTACCTACAGGACCTTTCACACACAGTTCTCAAACCAGAAAACTAAGGGCACCAATGGACTCGGAGGACACCGGGGAGTCAGACGGAGATGGTCGGCCTTGATTCTGGCCACTGGAAGGTGGCTAACGACGGTCGGAGTTGACAACGACGACCGAAAATCAGCACGGGATCTTATCCGCTCTGATACCAACTTGAGAAAACTTATTTAGGATTTGATGCAGTGACCAAAGGCACTGATACATTATATTTATAGAAAAAAAGGGTACAATAAAGAGCATATAGATCTCAACCCAAACCCTTAACCCTAGTCTAAGGAACATTAAAAAAGAATACTAAAAGATACATAAACAACACATTTCAACTAATATTTTATAACTATATCAATTTAATGCACTGATTCTTGAAACACGTTCACAAACAAAATAATAGTAAATATAACCAACAATCGGAATTAAAAGAATTTAAATTGGATTGTTTGTTTGTGTAAACATCATACTTTTAGCTCTTGCACCTATTAATTTTCATATAACTAACAATGTAACACCTATGAGTGAGCTTGGTTAGTTAATCATAGAACTTTGAACAACAGGTACATTAAAAATTTCAAGCAATTCCATATCACACATTTTGGTAATTAACAGATTTATCAATATTACTCCTACAGCTCAAAGGTCTAGTGAAAATAAACTAGCTTCATATCTTGCCACAATTAGAATACTTCACAGCTGCATAAAGTAACAAACAACTCTTTTATTAGGAAACCCTCACACTAAATGTGAGTGTCCTTAAATAACTAACAATGATACATCATTTATCAGATATTGTATTTGCCATATTTAGTTTATCACTATCCCAATTCTTAAAAATAAATTGTTTTAACTTTGCAACAATTATACATAAAATCAGAAAAATGAAAAGGAAACAAAAACCTGTAAGGAATATGTTGATGGGTAGAGGTGTCTCTGTATTTCTTAGCAAGACCAAAGTCG